GACCGCCCGAACATGTATCCTCTATCCGACAGACGTATGCTCTAATTAATTGGCAAAAACAATTACTCGTTCAATCAGCTGGCGGGTTTCGACACAACTTGCCGATGAAATTTGCACAAACGTGTATAAATTCGTGATCTTGCTGCTGATTCTTCTTTCCGGGGGCGAAAATTTTATAATAAAAATTGCTGTATAGAGAATTCTGCAACGTCAGGCAACGTATCGACATTCCGTCTCAATTGATCATTCTCATATTTTACATGCGCCATTTATATCTCAGGAACTGGAATATGCCATCAAGAGATTCACTGTTTTTCAACATGGTAACATTCATTGACGATCTATTCCTGTATTTCTGGAGAAATGAAGAGAGAGAGAGAGAGAGGGGGGGGGGGGGAAACGCAAAGTTGAGAAGAATTTCCACGAAAAAAATCCGAGAAAACTAAGCTGTTCTCTCCGTGCGTAAACTCGTCGGTGACCTGGAGTGAACTTCTTTCGCGGCTCTTTTGCGAATGCCCATACAATCCAGCTCCTTCGCTTTCAACAACTCGCGTTTAAAACTGCACGGATGCGTTAAAGCGTCGCGCGGTGAAACCCGTCGAGTGTGAAGTACATAGAAAGAACTTTCCGCCTCGTCACACCCGACGAATGTAAGCACGTGGCGCTTTAAAATTAAGACATAAATCCCGGGGCGTGATCGTCGGGGGGATCCGTAAGGTCCGACCGATCGATTGCGAGGTCCGAGGTGTGTACTTTCGCGAGGGGATGCGTGACCTTCAACTTCACGGATCCTTAGCCGTAGGAAGGGATTCCGACCCTCCCTACGCGTCGTCCTCGAGACCCCATTAAGCCTGCGAATCCCATGAATGGAATAGTGACTCTTCACCCTGCCCACACTCTTCTGGGATTTTACGCAGTTACGTTTTCACCTTGCGTAATATTGCCCCGGGTTTTATCGCCTTCCCCATCGTTCTCCATTTGACTCCTCCGATTCGGGGCTGCACGGTCGCGGATTCCGAGAATCAGCTTATCGAAATTGACGACTCATCACGGCTGCAAGCCGTCGAGCTATCGGCACAGGTTTCCTCGAGACCTCGAGTCCTTGTTCGGCGATTTTGTCCGTCAAACTGACACGTCTTTGCTATTCATGCGACTAACAACGAGAACGGCTAATAAATAATTATTATCGATGATTATTTCAGGGAAGCGTCCTTTCGCTTTGCGTATGAAGACCGCGACGTCTCGGATTAATCGGCGAATTAATAATTAAACGGAATAGACGGAATATAAAATGTCCTTTCTTGTATGGAAGAACATTTTAATAATTAGATCCAATACACTGTATAATTATACGAGGGCTCGTACGATCGGATATTTTTTTAGGGCATCTGATATATGTTTTGCGTTAAAACATTGACATTTAAATCGGTTAAAATTCAACCTCTAGAAACTTGAACACTGGAGCCGAGTTCTGCGACTCTCATAAGTCGCCCTATATTCCATCGCATGCGGAATAATTAATATTTATCGCGCGTCTCTCCTATTTTCAAGTCACAGCCGTGTGCCCTGAAAGCAGAGGCGCGGGAGAAATTTTTTTTCGGGATAAAATCGGCCTCTCACACTCGCGTACTCGCGACTGGGCAAAACAAGCGCGTTGCGAGTCGCAGTTTCGACCGACGAGAGACGGATCGGATGACAAAGAGGCTACGGGGAATAATAAATAAATAAAAATACGCGCACGTGCGCATGCGAGGGGCAGAGGGAGGGAGCGAGAGAGTTGAAAATCTCACGTGACGCTCCCCGCGAGCTCTTATTCGCGTTACGTGTTACGAATTCGCGAAAAACCGAGTCCGGTCGTCGTGACGGCACGCTTTGCCGCTTCTTGTCAGCGAATGTATTAGTGATGGGAATAGAACACGTGCGGCCAATGACCCCATGCAACGTGGCGCATATGCACGTAACTAGCAGGCGCATGCATGCATACATGCGTCCATGCATATGCACATGCCGTCGCTCTTGGGGTAGCGGGCTTTTCATACGTGCGCATATATCGATTGCACACGACGCCTCTCGCGATGCGATAATGAGAAACGTACCTCGACCGCGGAGAGGGATTGATGGAAACTCGTCATTAATATTTACCGCGCGCGCGCGCGCGCGCGTGCGAGCGAGCGAGCGTAATCCCGCGCACAGTATCTTTTTTCCTCGCAATTAACATTCATTGTTCGCGTAGGAGGAGGAGCGAACGAGCGCAAAAGTCGCGCTCCAATAAATCTTTCGTTTCTCTTTTTCCTCTTTCTTTTTTTTCTTTTTTTTTATATTCACGCACGCGCACGCGCACACTAGGGAGTCCCTATTTTGTTGAGATACACACACATACACGTGTATCTATGTCTATGTCCAATGACCCGGGCTATTTATCGCGCCGAGGCCGCTCGTCAAATTTTACAGACGGCTACAGTTTCGAAACATGAATATCCATGTCGAAATTATTTCGCGAAAGTCTCTCGATATCGTGGATATTTGTTGGAATGACCGAGATGCTTATCAGAAGCGTCCTCTTTCGCGCGACATGAAAAAGTCACCGTGACTGCGGAAGGAGAACGAGAAAGCTCGGTGGAAAGCGGATCCAGTGACGTTAGAATTTCATTCAGCCGAACAATAGAATTCGATCGAGCAGCTCCTGAGGACGAACACACCGGCGGAGGCGAAGGAAAAGCCTCTGCTGAGCGCGGTTGAGCGATAAACGCGCGAGAAAGATGTCGCGCGTTGTCGCGGACGATTGTCAATCGACGCAGCGCGGAGTTCTCGCTTGTCAACGAAGTGAAAGGAATGGCCAGGGACAGGCGTGTAGAAGCTCGACGTGACTCTGCATCCAGGTCGAAGATGCAGCTACGGATTGGATCGATTTCACATCTGTGAAAACGCGCGACTGACTCCGCGCGAGGGACTCCGGAAAAATGCGTGCGCGAAAATCGCGCGCAGCGACTCTCCTCTCGTCCTGACGAGCGTAACGAGTCGTCTTCGACGTCGCCTGGGACGTGTCCCGTCGACGACGAAAGTGACGCGTCCACCGAATCAGCGAACGTGCTGCGAGGACGCAGATATCCTGCGAATAACGGAGAATTAGGCCAGATTCTCGTCTAGGCAGCGACGAGTCCGTCAGTCTCCCGTCAGTAGAGATGTGCGAACTATTCGAATTCGAATCAAATCGAATCAAATCTAATGTAATTCGATTCGATTCGAATCCGAATCCCTATGATTCGAATCCGAATAATTCGAATAGGAATCAAATACATTATCGTTTGCGCGCATCAGCTACAAAACGGGCCATCTGGGGCTGTATGTTTGAAGCCTTAACTTGTAATTAACTTAACTTATAATTAATAACTTAATTATAAATTACTTTAATTATTTAAATATGTATTTTACTTTAAGATGATATTACAATATCAATATTCCCTTTCATATTAAAATCTTCCATCATTATTTGCATGTTTAATAGTCATGTTAAATTTTTTAATGATTCGATTCGATTCGACATAAAAATTCTTGATTCGCACATCTCTAGTTTCCCGTGAAATTCTCCTGTTAACCGGGACGTTCACCTTGCAGAAGCATCGAAGAACGTCTAACGATAGTGAGGATAATCCTCTTTGGAAGTAATTCGTGAAGTAGTTGCAAAAATGAGGATTCGGCTTGAAAAAAAAATTTAGATAAGAGGCTTCAGAAGTCGGTGATCGCCGGTCGATCAAACGTATCTGCACGGAGAGAGTATTATAGTTTTTTCGCGAGTATTAAAGTTCTTTTCAGTGTGTCGTGTTTTTCAGTGACGCAAGAATAGACTGTCAGAGCCGGAGTTTCCCGTGCTGAGGAACACGATAAATTTATACGCTTCGGTTCGTAAAATATAAATAGCGCGCGGAAGGATGATAAATCAAGGCAGGATGTCGGTGCGCTCGTCGCTCATGCAAACTCTCTCTCTCTCTCTCTCTCTCTCTCTCTCTCTCTCTCTCTCTCTCTCTCTCTCTCTCTCCTCTCTCTCTCCCCCCTCTCTCTCTCTCTCTCTCTCTCTCTCTCTCTCCACGGCTATTTTCGCTACCAAATTCTTCCCGCTATATTCTCTCCCCGTGAATTTCTATTAATCCTATCTGATACGTTCACACTTGCAAAAACACCTCTCATGACTCGCGCCGATCCTTCCACGAGATAAATCGATCGAAACGTGTTTTTAGGCTAACCTCCGTCGGATATTATTGCGTAACTGAGCGCTCTAGCTGCGTAATAACGTCAACAATTTCATACGTGAAAAAACGCCTGCAGGTTTTCAAAATGTTCAACAGATTGTACTCTTAACCCATCGCGCGACCCGCGTGATGTTGAGAGTCCACCTCGACACTTTGAGTTTTTCTCGCTCCGGTCGATCCTACACGACTCAGCTTCTTATTCCTTCAATTCCGCTCATTAATCGTACGAGATAACTATAATGCTGTAAAAATGCGTCGTTGCGCATCAGGGAAATACATTGAAACATTGAACCCTCGTGGGCCCGAGCGAGCTGTCGAATCGCTCTTGAGGCGGAGGAAAAGTTTGCCAGGACGAAGGAGACGCCGTCGAGGTGTGAAGTACGCTGAAGAAGATCCAACTGAAATTCACACACTCGACGCGCCGACGAGACGTTAACACGCGACGCTCCGCCACGATCCGCGCGACGTTGACGCGCTGCGAACAGCTAATACACGTCAATAAGCGCAATTGATATCGGCGTATTGAAGTAAAACGCACACGCCGCGACATGCAAGAGAAAAAACGCGTTTCTCGGATATCACTCGGCCTCTTGTCGCCTCGTCGCCTGCCGTCTTTGCGACGGCATCGATCTCCGCGCTAGGATCGCATCTCCGCGCTACGTTCGTTCGCTGCGATTTTCAACAGCAGCGGGCGGCGATGTGCGCGAGAGAAACTTGTGTCCTCTCCTCCTTGATATTCATTCATGTACTCACAGTGTCAGCGGCGAACGGCCGTACGGACGGAGCACTCGGAGCGTCGTTGATCCGCGAAGCAGCGGCACACTCGGAAACACACTCTTGCGCGTCCTCTTCTGTTGGTCCTCTATATCTCCGTCTCCTTCTTCCTCGGTCTCTCTCCTCAGCAGCGACGGGGGTTCCGCGAGGACGCGGATCGCCCGCGACGATGATCGGCGAGGTCGCGCGCCGTCAGCTCCATCATCCGCGGTGGCACATCGCTGTGCTGGGTTACCGGGTGCTGCTGATCGATAATCGGATGACTGAGCGAGAGAGAAAGAGAGAGAGATAGAATACGAAGTCGAAGACGAGGAGGACGACGTCGATGACGGCGACAGCTGCGACGAGGAACGCCGAAAGTAGATTTTTCTTCACAGGGACGCGCCGCACCGTCGACAGTCCGATTCGATTTGCGCACAATGCGGCGACCGAAGAATCTCCACGAAAAATGCGACACGCACACGAGAACGAGGACGAATACGTGCGTGCGTGCGCGTTCCGCACGCGATTTCGCGACTCCGCCGAATGCCACGAGTCAAAGCGTGATATGCAACGCGGGTGCCGGCGCGAGAACGTGATCCGCCATATTGTTGCATTCGCGTGTTTAAAGGGGATCGACCCGAGCCAGGGAAGAGCGACGGGAAAGGGAGAGAAAGGGAGAGAAAAGGAGAGACGGACGATGGTGCTCTTCTATCGATACCTCGCCGGCCAGAACTCGCGTCGTTTTCAAGACTGTTCTCTCTCTCTCTCTCTCTCTCTCTTCGTGTTTCCCTTTTGATAATTTCTATAATTTGCTTGGCTGTCTAATTTCGACAGGATCCGAACCCGCCTGTTCGGCTCTCTTTTGTTATGTCCAGAATGTAACATTGTTATCACGAGGTCAGCGAAGAAAGTAACGGTAATGATGTCACTTCCCAATTAATGATTCTTATCATGTGTGAAGGTGGATAATGAAACCTTTGATCAACACTTCCCCTGTGATCTGTCAAAGTACATATCATGTATTTTATTTAGGTTATATTCGTTTTCACACATCTTCATGTCGATTACATTTTAAAACTTTCCTCCCTGCAACTACATTGAATTACAACGCCAGAATGCGACATTTGTTTCTCGCACCACATGCTGAAATAAATTTGTCTCTCTTTTTTTGCTCTTACTTTTTTCCTATGTCACCTAGTACCAATATTCATCTCGAGATGTAACGCAAGAAAGAAAAATATTCATAATTCCTCATTCCTGACATTATAATTCGGTATAGTTACAATCAGGGACCAGCAACCTTAATCTGTACTAGCGTACAACATAAACGATAAGCACTTATCTATTAGTAGTATCAAGACACAAATCAGGAATGATTCAAACATTGTATCTCATTACCAAAATATGCGCAACAATTACCATCTAAATGATTTAAACGCAATTAAGAATGAAATTCCCAAAAAAAAAATCCTTGTTCATAATGATTTAAAGATGTAAAATACAGTATTGATATAAGATTTGAATATAAAATTATATTAGTATATAAATAAGAAATTATCAGCTCTATATAATATATTCGTTTGTTAATATTATATTACTTGTATCTTCGTAAAATATCTGCTAATGAGCAAGTTATATTTAGAACATTTAAATGCTTAAAATTAATGCTATTTGCCATCTTATAGTATATTACACATATAAAAGGTAACCCAAAATTCACGCAAGAAGTAATTTTGATAGAAAACACAGTTTTATAATTAAAAATTGTAAATTTTTTATTGATTCATAAAGTATACAGTATAGGGTTATGTATGGAATAGCATATCGGGTAAATGGCCCCCATAGTTTTGCTGGCACATACGCATTCTTTTGTTGAAATTTTCCATGACCGTTTTGCATAAATGTGGCTGAATTTCGTTGATACAGCGCTCAATTTCCTCCTTCAAGGCGTGAGTGGTCGTGGGCTTGTTGGCACAAACCTTAGACTTCAGAAACCCCAAAGAAAAAAGTCCAACGGCGTTAAATCGCATGATCTGGGCGGCCAAATCTGATCACCAAAACGGGAAATTACACGAAACTACAGGAAATGACTCATGCAGTAATTGAATTGTTTCTCGGGCTGTATGGCATATGGCACAGTCTTGTTGAAACCACATGTCGTCCACATGCATATCTTGCAATTTAGGCACAAAAAACTGGATTATCATGTCGCGATAGCGAGCACCATTAACTGTTATTGCCTGACCAGTCGCATTTTCGAAGAAGAATGGTCCGATGATGCCTCCAGCCCAAAATCCGCACCAAACAGTGACACGTTGTGGATGCATTTGTTTCTCAACAATCACTCGTGGATTTTCTGAACCCCAAATGCGACAATTTTGTCGATTAACCAAGCCATCAAGATGAAAATGAGCCTCATCGCTGAAGATGATTTTGTTCGAAAAATCAGCATCCACTTGTTGTTCCATAATCCATTCAACGAACTCTCTTCGCTGTGGCCGTTTACCCGATATGCTATTCCATACATAACCCTATACTGTATACTTTATGAATCAATAAAAAATTTACTGTTTTTAATTATAAACCTGTGTTTCCTATCAAAATTACTTCTTGCGTGAATTTTAGGACACCCTTTACTATATATCGTATAAAATTGTATATAATATATACGACACTTAACATGTATTGGAAACAAGCAAATGCACACATACATGAGACAAATAAAAAATAATATGAAAAAATGTAAGAGAAGAAAATCATGTATTTTAATCCATTATATAAGTATTATATAAATGTGTATCTTCCAAATCCTATGCTAAGTCCTTAATATTTAAAGAATTTGGATTACGTGTATACTTAATTATACTTAAACAAACGACATTGGAAGTTGTAGTATTGGTTCCAATTTGCACTTAGCTTTATCTTGAAAGTCGTTATCAGTATAACGATCTCTGCAAACAAGAAGAAAAAGCACACATTGTCACGGTCAATCACAATAGACCATTGTCCAAATTAAACCATGATAGGCTACTCACCCTTGTATCCACATTCTCCCACGATATGCAGCTAAATGAGCGTAATAAGTTGGAGCTGGATAGCTCACCGATCTTGTACAGCGTGCATACATATGGCAAAGATGATACGTCAACTCTTCGAGTTGATTCTCATTGAAATTACTTTCGTTGCAAATACATCTGTATTTCGTAGGTCTTGCTGTACCCTGTACACATATACATATAGCATAATTATTACAAATCAAGCATACCTTTACCCAACTGAAGAAATATATACAACATATAGTTTGTATTGACGGTTTAGAGTGTAATTTAATTGACAATCTACAGGACGTCTGAAGTACGATATTTGTGTGCTTATACATTAGGTCAAACTGAACACGAAAATCTTTTACCATTTTGCAAATAGACACGCATAAACTTCTCAGTTATTAATTGGAGAAGATTGATCGCGTGCGCGATGCGATGGACGAGCTCTTACCGATATCTCAACTCTCTACTGATCAATCAGCAAGTAAAGAAGGGAGTAACATTTTTTTTTGTTCGGTTTGACCCAATCTACAAGTATGCAATAAATGCAATAAATATATTCTAATATATGCTCTCTATTACAAAGAAACAATTTTTCTATTATATGAATATATTCCATTCATTATTAATATCACTGTACCTACGACACTAATGCTTTACCTGAATACTCGCATGTGATACCAAATAAAAATCAATATGATTAGGATGAGTAATTTCAGTGTCAACTATCGTGCCGGCTCTCACATTCTTGTTTCTGTCGTCCGTTTCGTTAGGATTTTTCGGGAAAATGCGCACGTGATGTCTCTTTTGAACAATCACGAAGGTAAGCTCGGGTTTGAAATCGCGTCTTGTGCGTGCATATTCTATACATGCTTCTTTAATGCTTCTTATTTCCTTGTCCAAAACCATTGCGATTTGACCTTCACTTACACCGTCCCTAAATTCAATTGCACGTGTGCAAACAAGTATGTGTAATAGCAGAATAAGAAATAAAAAAGTTGACATCGTAATCTTAAAACTAGTTTCCCAAGCTTATATTAAAAAATTAAGTTTTTCTTGAAAAAGTGCTTATACATTTAATATGAAAAAAAAAAAAGTTTCTTTCAAGCGGTTTGATATTGAACAATATTACTTATACATACCGATAAAAGAAAATTCTTTTTGGTACTCTTTTCATTTCATTCACATAAAACACAATATGCTTCAACATTATTTCTTTCAGATCGGCTATTTCTTCCTGCTTTGCCTGTTGAAGTCTAATTGTGACATTATATTTGAAGGTAGTTTCATCATGACTTGCAGCGACCTTTATTATGATAATCTGCATTAGCATGTATAACTTACATTCATAGATATATGCACACTGTGCTCGAAAAGAAAATTACTTCTTCAAATACTCATATTATATGATACAAATGCACTAAAAATCTCTTTTATTAATGTACTAATTTGCTTTGCTTAAAGTGGATTTATGTGACAATTTTTTTATGTTAATAGTCGTGTCAATCGCAAATCAATTTGCAGAATCAACTGAAGTGTTTATTTCCATTATCTGTTTTGAGCAGTGCGTGAAAAAAAAAGTGCTATTCAATAATTGTACTTACCGCAGCTACAGAAGGTATATCTTTGGCATCGGGAGACGGATGGCTAACATCAGCACCAATAAGCATATAATTTGTATCACGCAAACAATATGGCCTAAGAACAAAATGTGTTAAAAAATGAGATTAAGAAATTTACGATGTATCAAAGCACAAGTATCAATTTACTTACATTGTCCTTGAAGTAAACGTATGATTAATACCATTTAATTTTGAATTCACTTTTAGAAGGATATTATGTGCCGTCGAAGAATTAGTAGAATACACATTTTTTATTTTTACACATTGAGTCAATACACCTACTCTCAATTCGCTAATTTTTTTCACCTTACCTGTAATAATACATTACGTATGTATTCAGACATACCTAGAATGGAAAAGAATGCACGAAATTGCTCACCATAGACTGCGTCTGTGTGATTTGGTAAAATAACAAATATTAATTTCAAATTCTTTTTCTCCATAAAGAGTTTTTCAATTTCGAACGGTACTGGTCTCACTTTTAAGTATGGCAATTGCGGTTTTCCTATTCTCATACCAACAATATTCGCTATAAAGAAAAAAAATCGATATGATACAATATAACTACAAGATAACAATTTATTATAATATATATATATGTGTGTGTGTGTGTGTGTGTGTGTGTGTGTGTGTGTGTGTGTGTGTGTGTGTGTGTGTGTGTGTGCGTGTGTGTGTGTGTGTGTGCGTGCGTGCGTGCGTGCGTGCATGTGTGTAATGTAATGTAATTTTAATTAAGACTATGACTCGTCGGAAATTTGAATTTACTGTAACTGTAAACTAATAGCTGTAATTATTAATACCATGACAGATTTTATTTCCGAACAAATCGACACAATTGACAAAGTGTTTCAACTTATGTAGAAAGACACTGTGAACAAATTTAACAAAGAAATATTTTATACTCAACCCTGGTCCTGTAGTATCTGCACAAAATCAGGTATTTTATTGTCCATATTCTGTGGGCAAGTATTGACGATAGTCCATGTATTATCTTCTAACATCGCAGGCGTATTAAATCTTTTGGCACGCCAAACTCCTTTTCTTACTTGCACTGATGCTCGATCGTATAAAAGTTCCGGAGGAGGTAAGATTCTAGCTTCGACTTCTTTCATTTCGGTACTGATACTCAAAAGAAACTCCTTTTGCATAACTGGACTATTATTCACATTAATTCCCCTACACTGTAAATATGTATAACATGATAAATTACAATGAAATATCTTTATAATGGAAAATAATGCTAAGTATATTTTACCGCTGTTATAATTTTGGTTTTACGTTCATCTGTGTCCGTAGCTGCGTATCGAATCATTTGAGTAGTTTGCGATTCATCCAGCTTTCTGTTAATAGCTTGACCAGCTACGATGCTACACAACTATAAACGTTTAATTGGAAACTTTTAATTCTCATTATTCAACCGGTTTCATGAATGTAAACCGGTGAATGTAAAAAAGTTTACTTACTTCTGCTGGCAAATAGGTTTTCCCATCTCTCTTACCTACCCAAAGGCAAGGGAGGTTTGGCCATATTATTTTATAATTCTTGATATTGGCGTAATATTCCTGTATTGTATACATCTTTCCATTTACCTCAAATTTATATTGCGTAGCATCGGGGCCTAATTCATTTACGCGAAATGTTCGCTTGGTGCTAGGTTGACCAGGTATTGCATAATTCACTTTTAAACCAGCCAAAAATTTGCTAATTTTGTTTATATTGTCATACACTGCTCGCACATTTATCTGATTATTAACCAAGTTACATAGTTCGCACATTAAAGCCAAAATGGTCTGTGATGTAGCGAAAGCTTTATGAGAGACTAAAACAGGATACATAAAAAATATTAGATAGATAACATGAGAGGGGGGGAGAAAGAGAAAGAGAGAGAGAGAGAGAGAGAGAGGGAAAGAGAGGGGAAAAGAGGGAAGTATGTTATAAAATATTTTTTAAAAATCTCTCCTTTTCCCCTCTCTCCTTCTCTTCTCTATAATTTTTTTAGAAATGAAGAAATATGATCATTAATATAATAGTACTTTACCATCTATATTTAAATAAGGTTTCCAGCCAATTACGGCGGATAAATATCCACCAACATGTAGATCTAATCCACTGCCTAATGCCTTCACTCGTCTATTATCTCCCGGTGGGAAAAGTGATCGTCCAACCTATTGTAAATCATTTATACTCAATAAAAAAAAATATGTATATATATGTATATATGTGTATGCATGTATATCGTGTATCTTGTGTGTATATTCATACATATTACTTTCACTAATAACAATAATACTCTCTCAAAATAAATAATAACAATGCACTAACGAGTTATTTTTAAAATGTAACTTTTTTCGTGTTGAATATTTTATAAAATATTAGGATACATATTAGGATATATTAATGGCATATATAAAAACATAAATAATAAAACAAGCAAAAATTGTAGTCAATTATTCACTTTACGATCCCAAAATAATCGATTATAAATTGAACAATTTTTTTTTACTGCTGAAGTCTTAATACCTGTATTTTTATATACCATAATCCTAAGGGCACACTTGAATACTAACTAAAATAACCATATGTATACTGACTAAAGTTCATTCTTACATATAAAGTTGTATCCTTTTAGAGCAAATAAGAATATTTGATTTTAATGAAAAAACTTGTTTTTCTGAACAATTCCCAGATATTTTTTCATTGGATTATTGGTTGTATCTTAAACTGCATTGAAAAAAAAAGGATTCAAGTACTGAAATCAAGTATGTTCCTGTATGTTCTAAAATGGTGTTCTAACTTCATATGAAGATACAGTACTTATGTATATATTTTTTTAAGATATGAATTTGTAACAAACTTTTAAAGAACACAAAAATAATGACTAAATACCAATAAAATAATTTATGAAAAATAATAAATCGTATGACTTACATTTATAAGTCTTGACGATGGTGCATGACGTAAGATAATGTCCAAAACTTGTATAGCAGTTTTATTAATAACAGTTTCATCGATACCAGGTCTCATATGTTTTATCCAGGAAAGATCGACAATACCTGCTTTGTTTAAAGTGACTTCAAACGTCCTGTGTTCTTCTTTTTCTTCGTCATAGAAGTTAATTTCCTTAACAAACTACATTAAACAATGAAAAAAGTACAAGTGATGAAATAACTATGGTAAATAAAAAAGCTTTAGTTTGTATAATTCTATACAATAACGATATTATTATAAAATAATTACAATTACATTAATCTAACTTTTTTTATGTATCTTGATCTCATTTCAAATCACCCAACAATATATTTTTATATTGATATTGCGTTAAATTTAAAGTTACAAGTAAATATATTTAATAAAATAAAAAAAATTTTGTATTTACAAATTACATTTACAAATTACATAAAAGAAGATATTTTTCCTAGAAGTTTTTTCAGTATTAAAAAGGATATGTAACAGAAAAGTTTTTTGGACTACAGTGACAGATGATCATTCTATATATTTTATTTATTACTTACTGTATTTGAAAAAGGCAAATCGTTTGCAGTAAATGCATTTGCCTTTCCATCAAACGCTGGATATCTATCACGAAAGTTTTCGGATCTAAATTGTTCAAATATCTTTCTAAGTAAAACTTTATTTTTTACTTCAAGTTTCACTGTAGATTCATCTTTCTTTGGCAGCCTCTTAGTCGTATCGGTAGGAACAACTTTTACGTCATAATGCACAGCTTTGTCTACAAAGTTTGGCTTAAACACGATTTCAAACATGTTTGTTAAAACTATCACTCGTTGTCCTACATTTCCAGCTTTTAAAGGATTTGGTCTCCGTGGTATATTGAGATCTTTTTCAGTCATATTTGATTTACTTTTGGTCTCCCATATAGCAACTTTTGACAACTTTTCAGTTACAGATGTAGGTGATGTAACCTTTCCTTTTAATCCATCATCTCCAGCACCTATAATGATATAAAAGTATAATTTAACATTTACACAAAGTGTGTAAATGGTGTGTGGGGGGGGAGGGAGGCATAATTAAAAAAGATAAATATATCTCAGCATTATTAACTTTTCATTATTACATTACATATATTGAAAGATCAAGTTACCCGCGGCCTGTCGGCCTGACGTTGATGGATATGAAAGTGGTTGCTGAAGTGGTACTTGTGGCACTTGCTGTGGAGGTTGTGCTACTTGCAACGGACGAATCCACGCTGATTGCTGTGGAGGTACTTGCTGTGATTGCTGTGGAGGTACTTGCTGTGCTTGTGGCGGACGAGCCCACGCTGATTGTACCGGTTGTGATTGCTGTGAAGGTGCTTGTGGCGGACGAACCCACGCTGATTGTACCGGTTGTGATTGCTGTGAAGGTATTTGTGACGGACGAACCCACATTGGTTGCATCTGTTGTAATTGTGGTGGAGGTTGCACTTGTGGTTGTTGCTGCACATACTGTGGGAAAGTTTGATGTTGAGTTGAAGGCTGTACTGGCGGTTGATTTGCCTGTTGTAGTCTAAATTGCTGCTGCTGTGGCGTTGTAAGTTGTCCCGAACGTGGAGAACCCCATGTCTGTGGTTGTGGTACTTGTTGTGGTGATGGAAACTATATTGGTGTATTAGTGTAAAATATCGTGTTTGAGATACTTGTGGTGATGAAGACTATTTTAATACGGGCTGTTTTAAATTTGACTCTAACGCCCGTTGAAATACCTGTTGTATTGGAATTTGTTGTGGATGTGAAAGACTTCCTGGTTCAGATATTTGGCGTGGCGCAGCTTGTTGTGGGCGTGGAGGACCCCATTTTCGTGGTTGTTGCTTTTTTAAAAATTAACGTACATATATATATATTCATGCATGTTAAGATATTTAGTTTTGATAAAGATTAGACATAACTAAATTTTTCCAGCAAACATATTAAACAGTATTTGATTCACAGTTCGTAACAATAAACTCAGTTGCTTCCTTAATAGCACAGATGTCCAGAGGACGTCCAGTGTACGTCTTGAGGACATCCTGCAGATGTTTCTTCATCCTTAGGATGTCCTTAGGACGTCCCCAGGAGAACATATGCTATCAGAGTTATTACTGGTTGCTGTTGGTGTTCTGGTAGTTGTTGTTGCTGCTGCTGCTGCTTCTGTTGTTTTTGCCGCTGTTGGGTATCTTGTTCCTCAAGTTTTGAAGTCTGTGGAGTTTGTTTTTGTTGTGAAGACTGTTGTCCACTTGTAGTAGGGCCAGTACTGGAAGTTGATGGAGCTTCTTCCTGAGTACGGTGCTTCTTTTTCCCTAAAATATAAATATCATATTTTACTTTTTCTTAAAAGCTAAAACCAATCACATTTTATCATCTTAATCACAATTAAGATTTATATAGTAATACACATTTGAATTAATCCTAACTGAGAACTATCTCGCAGGTTACCTATCGCGGTTACCTTAGCAGCTCGGCGGTACCTTTTCGGGAAAATGTACAAATAGGAATTATGTCATATTAAATAGTATATGAATTTTTAGATATTGAGGAACATGTGTGACAAAAAAATCAAAATTTTATATCTTATATTTTTCTAACATATGGTAATATGTGAAACAGTCACCGATATGCATTACAAGTTCGTTTATATGTATGTATTCATATATGTATTCATATATGTATAATAATTTATTTGATATTTTTCACCTGGTGCTTTTCTATCTGAGTCAACCCAGTCCCGTTTTTTACCTGTTATTGAAAATATGCATTAGGCACTTTCTCCTCTTTGAAATAAATAAAAATAAAACAAAAAATTGTGTTCTCTTTCTATGTAATATTGGTTAATATTTTTTTTACATATCTCAGTATATATATTATATTTTGATTTGGTTTTCCATGACATTTAAATAAGAACTTAACAAAATTATGCATTTTTGAAAAATTTGCACCCACACCATTAAGTTTATCCTGTATAATCACTAATATAGTCTTTGTCTCCTGAAAAAAGGACATCTGAGTACAGAGGGTTAATAAAGAAATTATAATTAAATTAATAGTAAGAAATTATAAATAAGACTATAATCTTCAAGATATAACTTACAAATATATTAATATAATCTGATTTATATAAGATTTATATGTTTATAAATCTATGTATATATAAAGTCTTTATCAACTCAAAGAAATAAAATTTCTTATATTGACTATATATTTAAATCAAAACATGATCTGACAGCAAATAACTACTTTAATTTTATAGTAAACTTTTATAGTAAACTTCATTTATCTGTCTCCATACAAGATGTTCAGAATTAATAAAAGTAACATTTTTCTGATAGTATATTGAATTCATTTTGAAATCCTTTATAACATTATATAAAAAAGCTTGCTTGGTTCCATTTGAAAAATTCAAGATGACCTTAAATTTTTTAAGAAAAAATTTTTTTCACATTTTTTTTATTGCAAGTTGTAGTTTGTACATATGCAGATAAAAATATTCACTATACAATCCTTTCTTCAAACTGTCAAAAATATCTAAAAAATTTTACAGACCATTACGCTAAATACCTATATATTTTTATACATAAACATATATAATGAAATATAAATATATTTTATTTTATTTTGAACAATTTCTTGCATCTATTTTGTCAATTGTATTCTTTATTTATTCTCTTTATTTATATTTATCAGTATTTATATTTAAAATATTTTGCTGTATATCTATTTTCAAATTTTTAATATACCAGAAAACTTTTCTCCTAAATAATAACACTAATGATGTTATATATAGTTTCTATACATAATAACATAAAAAATGTTTAAATACGTGTATATATATGTATGAGAGAGACAGTAACGTATAATTTTAAATACATGTTTAGAATAACTCAAAGAATCTTATAAGCAATCTCTGAAGACACAAGAATGTTTATATTTATTCTTGAAAATCATAAGAATATTAAACAACATAAAGTAATAAACATATACGAATATATACATGAAGTGATAAACACAAATATATATATATATATATATATCCAGCCATTTCCCGAAACAATAGAACAAGTTAAATAAGTAAGACATATTACAATACAATAAGTAATTAAGACATTCCATATTATTCGATTCATAATTAGATAAATCAGAAGAAAAATAAAATCATTAATTGGAGAACTAGGCAATGAATTTTACAATAAAAACTAAATATTTGTATAAAAAGACTTATGATGTAAGGTCAATGTCAAATAAATCACACATCGAACAATTGCGCGATCATGAGTAATAACAAATTTTTGCTTCCACGTAATATTTATTGCTTGGAGGACGATACTTTTCAATAATATCAAGACTAGATTTATCTGATTATTTATCTTTCCGCGTGAATCTAACATCAATATTAAAACGTTATTGTGAAAATTATATTAATTGCAAAATGTTGATCTTTGATATTAGTCATATATCAATATAAATAAAATGTCGGCCTTTTACCGAAGTTGACAATATGGTTTCTGTAATTATAGTATATGTAATGGCGCACATACCCTTCTTCGGCATTTTCGTTCGTTATTTCTGAGACGAATTTGATGTTTGACTCAAGTGCTTCGGTGTCTCGACCTTATCAATGATACAGATGCGTTGAAGAATATCTTGAATAATCGCTGAAACCACAATACTACCTCCGCCTGACACGATAGTTCAGCATACGCAGTTCCGCTTCTCGCGATCAATCTTTTATAGCAAAATAGTGGGAACACCTGGGAAATCCCTTACCAAGTAGCAATTAACGGATACTTTTCATTGAAAAACGCTGAACCATTTCATTGGTCAAATTTCAAGTTATCATGTGAGCTGTGCGATACAACACAATGGTAAACTTAGGCTGCGTTCCGAAATTCACTGCCAGTACTGAAAATCTATAATATACGTGACACAAACTATGTATTTTCAGTACTGGCAGTGAATTTCGGAACGCAGACTTAAGCTGCGTTCCGATATTCACTGCCAGTACTGAAAATATATACTTTATGTCACATATATTATAGATTTTCAGTACTGGCAGTGAATATCGGAATGCAGCCTTAATAGCGGCGTACTCGGGCTGTGTTCCAATATTCACTGCCAGCACTGAAATCTATAATATATATGACACAAACTATGTATTTTTAGTACTGGCAGTGAATTTTGGAACACAGCCTTTATTGCATGTCTAACCGTAGTGACCTGTAATTGGACGATCGCAATGTTCCTAGCGCAATGGCCCAATCAGGGTACCTATTATGGAACTCGTCGGAATCGATTCCGATCGAATTTATTTCATTATTTCCTAGATTTCTATTCTTCTTTTCTAGGGGAAACGGAATTATTCCGATCGGAATCGATTCCGACGAGTTCCATAACAGGTACCCAGTCTACGGTTGAGTATTAACAAGTAGAGATATGTTCCAAAATTCATCCTCGATTACTATAGTTAGTTCCGAAACTACCGGTGCAGCTGAATGTATAGGTCTGTTCTTTTTCTCTTCACCGCTGCACTAGTGCGAAAAGTTCGAGTGAGATAAGTATATATTTGTCTCACTTTAACTTATTACACCAGTGCAGCGGTGCAGAAGAAAAGAATAGACCAATTTATTATTAAATATTAAATATTATGGCTGCGTTCCGATATTCACTGTCAGCATTGAAAATCTATAGTATATGTGACACAAACTATGTATCCTCTATACTGGCAGTGAATATCGGAACGTAGCCTTCATATTCGTTGTATTGATTCTAAAGTCAGCAGCACACGGTGCTTGTTTTCGTGCTGGATTGCTTGCTGGATGAAAATACTGCGTTTTGATTGGTACATTTCCGAAGATGGATGGAAATGCAGCAATCAGAACGCAGTATTTTCATCCAGCAAGCAATCCAGCACGAAAACAAGCATCATGTGCCGCTGGCTTAATGTGCAATTAGTCGATCACGATTAGGGCCAGAGCACAGACTTCTGCATATCATCAACAGAGTTCTTCATTTCTCTCCTCAGGACAGAAATGAAGAAAACTAATTGGTTGATTCTCTTATGCGTTGTGTATTATGCGTTATGCAGAAGGCTGTGCTCTGGTCCTTAAAGGCCTATCCAGACAAACTTGCATAAGCGCGTAACGCATATGCATAAGGAAATTGACTAATCATATGTTTAATACAAAAAATATTTTTTTACTACACGGATCATAATTGGTCAATTTCCTTATGTATATGCGTTACACGCTTATGCAAGTTTGTCTGGATAGGCCTTTAGGGCTCCACAGGCGGAGCAGTGACTCTCATTCTTCTCGAGTCGGGATGCGTTCCGAAAGTTGCAAAAAAACGGTCACAAACCTTTATGCCCGCGAGTGTACGTCCATCGGACGTCCTATGTCCGAAGTTGTGACAAACGTATGTCCTTTGGACGTCTTTTGTAAAAGAAATGGACACATAACGGACGTCCAATGGACATCCGTATGCTGTCTGGGTATTAACCTATTAATTTATAAATATATATATTTACACATTATAATTATTTTTTTACCTCGTTTATCTCCATACTCTCCACGTTTCCACTTATTCACGTCATTTTAATATATTTTTATTTTAATTTGATGCCACTGATTTTATGATTATATAATTTATATTAATATTTATGAAGAATTATAATTCTTCGATATTTATTATTTATACATATCCATATCTGTCAAAAAAGTTTCACAAACTAACAGACTTACTACTTAAACAGTTTTACTAATCTACAGAAATTAAAATTACATCGTCTAGAGGTTTTTGTTTGTACCAATATTATCCCCTCCACTTTTCAGGAAAATGAAGCCTAACCTCGATCACGAAGATAAATTTAAAAATATGTTCTTTTTAACTGAACTATATATTTCTATATATCTCTTACTTTTAAACACCCTGTGTATAGGATATAATCCATTAGACGTTATAAATGTTTTAAAGCACTTAAATAATTTGTTGTGTCTAATGAGTCATACTCATAATAGAATATACACACACACACAGCATAGAGAGGAGGCCGATAAATTGTAGCTCGAGTCTCAGCTAAAATCAACTTTTTAGCTTGGCATTTTTTTCGAATTTTTTCCTTAGGAAAAAATTCGGCGGTGGTGTAACTTTACGTAGTTCGACAAATTCTACCGAATGCAATTCTAAAAGTTCATAAAAAATGGTTTAGTTGTAATGACCCAATTTATCAGCCTTCGTAAAATTAGGATGTACAAAATCAAACATTTCTTGTGAATTTTTAGGATTGCATTTGATAGTACTCATGGAGCTACGTAAGATGGTGCCACATTCAAAAGCTGTCGTTTTCTCGTAGGAGTACCTAGATCACACAGAAATTGGAAGTACTATTCAAATCGATTCGTCGACAGTTCCTCGTTCGTTTTGTATTGTGTTATTTAAATTTTGTGACTATATTGATTGTAGATTAATTTTGTCAGGATGTTCTATCAGGTGTTGCGACCAGTCATTCGCAACGTGGCCAGAAATGGTGAGAATTCTCATGCTTTAGATTAACTTGCTTCTGCGTGACGGCCATACCTTACATAATATACCTACCTTTGTATAAATCTGCACTAAATATTGTTCTGTAGCATATAGAAATGATAGATGCAAAATCAGTTCCACAAGTTTGATCTATTCTTTAGTAAGGATTATTTGATTTAATTTACAATTAGCTTCTCATCTTTAAACTTTGTGACATTAGTAACTTTGGAATGCTAAGGGTTGATTTTGACAAGCTGATTTTTAAAGATAAAATTATATAAAGTCATATGATGAATTAGCAAACTCACCTTAATTTGAGCGATTCTCTCATGCTTTTGATACCAAGTTATGCAAATATTCCATGTTAAAATATACAGAAATACAAATACATATGAGTTGATATGACACAAAAACTAATGTTTTTCTCATATAAATATGTATTTGCAATGCTAAGGTACCCGTATGTCCAGCTCAAAGGTGGTGGATTTTAAGTTTCCGACGATAGATGACATACCTATACCGAAAGGGTCATGGCGAGAATATTATGAAAAGAGGCAGAAAGTTTACAATATGCAACTAGCTATTGGGCTTACTGCTCTGCTGAGTACTTTAACTTTTGTATGTATCAATTTTATAACATAAACAATACTAGATATATTTACTTTAAAATATCATCTGTCATATGAAAATTCAATCTTTTGGTATAACTTTATTTGCATTTAGAAGGATCTTAATTCATTCTAATTTTAATTTTTTTATGAAGAAAATATATATGATTAATCATCTCTACATATCACAATATATGATGTACTATTAATAATCATAGCAAAACTTATTTTTTTTTATTTCTGCATTCATCCTTACAAAATATTTATGATTCAATTTCTTTTTTTAATTCCTTTATATCTTCCTGTATTGCAAAAATTAAAATAACTTTGTGCAATATATAAATCCTATATTTCATTTTCAGATAAAAGTATCAGGCATTATCTTCTTCAACTTTGGTCCACCTGAGGAACCTACTGAGAAGTAAACATTCATTTACATATTAGCTAATTACAATAGATATATAAAAGCAATCCAAGCACAGCTATAATGAATACTGTGTACTTTATTATGAGAGTGTAATATACACGCAATAAAAACCTTGTACTCTGTTCAATAAATAGTTCATATTTATAACAGTTATACTTACTTGCTCTATCCACTCTATTTTTAAATTAGACCCTATTTTTAAACTAGAAACAGCAAAATCTGTATCTGCTTTGCCTGCGTTAGATCATACAACTGGTACGATTTTGTACAAGATAAAAACTTGATATATAACTAATATCTTACAAAAGTCATAAATTAAATCTTTAATTTCAATACACTTTAGTATTAAAATAACTTTCTTTTATTGTTATTCAATCATTACACGACTTTTTGTCGGAGTATCATGAGTTTCGAAAACGCTCGCAAATGTTTTAATAACTACGTTAATACCTACTTGAGTCAAATTAAATAACATCATTTTACGTTTATTATATCTCAGCGATTTAATGAGATCGCGCTATTTCCGAGAAGAATTCTAAAATATCCTGAATGGTAAACTCCAATGTCACCATACTGTCTGGATAACAACGTTGTATCAGCTCTTCGATATTTCTGTATTGCGCGATAAATTCATTTTGCATCTCCCGCCAAACGACCTAAAAAATAATTAAAAATAAACTTTAATCAAAATGAATATAAGTGTCTCAAATTACAAGCAAAGTAACACAAGAACTAATAAAATCCTTGTGATGCATATAAATAAACTGCTCTTCTGCAGAATAACAAAATATATACAATAAAAAATCTTTCATAATAAACTTGGAACATATCAGTTTTTTTATTTTGAGTCATTTCCAGCAAATAATAGTTAAGTGTAATATCGGTAAATATAAAATAAAATCTTTAAGATGCGTACGTCTCTTACGTTACACTTACCTGTAATAAATTCTCCTCTTCGCACAGATGCTTCTCAACTTTACGATATAGGTTCTCCAAACCTTTCTTAACTTCTCTCGCAGGATACTCCTTCACTACTCGTCTTAACTCCTGCTTGCTGAAAGCCATCTGGTAACTAACTTCAGACTCTTTTACACCGGCCCCTACTTTGGCTTGAACGCCTTCAAAGAATAACTGAAATGTTATGTTATTTTGCTTTAGTCGAGATATTTTGATGCGTTCGTGTAAGAGTATGTCTCTGAATGAAAATTTACATTAAGTTTTTCAAGAGGCCGACCGAAGTATTGCGTAACGTAAGCACGCAGCGCGTCTTGATACTTTTGTTTAGCCTCTTTCCGCTCATGGTCCAGTACGGAAATTTTTAATTGCGACAACAAATCGTACAGGTGATGGAAATTCTCTATCAAATATGACGAGTATACCATTAATAACTGTAACATAACTTATACATTGTTAGTTATTGAAGCAGCAGGTATAGTTAGGGTTGTCAGATGTGAAAATTGAGAAATCTGGAGCTCATGAGAAAAGCTGGAAACCAGTTTGTAGAAACATATTTGTTGAATAATATATCTATAAAATGTGAGAAATTTTTTTAATAATATAAACATTTTCAATATCAGTTGAACAGCTGAGCACTATAAAATTTGGACGTATGACTATCCTAAGTATGCCAATTGTCATCAGTTACTGAAATATTACCCATTTTTATGACTTCCTGCGGCGTCTTGTGGTGTTCTCGACTGTGAATGACGATAGCGTCGAACATGGTGCTCACCAGCTTCGTGTACCACTTGTCGAGATCGACCTTTCTGTCGGAGTTGCGGAAGATCTTTTCCGCGGTTCTCGCAAACGGGCCGAAGTTCTCTATGTACGGTAGTATGCCGCATTTATGTCGGCGATTGACTTTCGTGTCGCACAATATGGACTGCAACTGCGCTTGCATGAACTTGTCAAACGCACGTTTCACGTGGATCAGAGCAGAAGCGAACGTCATCGACAGGAATGAGCCAGTATCCTGGGCAGACATGACATGTTGCGATAAACGGACCAACACGTACATACACCAGCTGCAAGCGACGTTATATAAATTATGTAGAATTCTATAAATCATATATTTATAGATAATGAACGCAAATTTGCACGAATTATTGCAAATGTGTTAAATTGCGCTATTTGCGCAGCTGCATCTAATGAAAATTCGATCCAAATCTGCAGAAATTGCAATATTCCTCGCACTCACAAACTGTCTATCTTGTCCAAGAAGCCGATAAAATTGTTCAACTCGGTCTCCAACGACGGGAATATCGCTGCCATGGTAGCGCGCACGTCTTCATTCACTTGCCGCTCCAGTCTCTTGCTCGCCGTCGAAGTCACCGATCCGGGACTCGCCGCGCCATTACTCGTGTTTTCTATCTCTTCTATCTCGCTACTCTGCGCAACAAAACGATAAACAACGTAAAACCAACGACAGAAGCGAATGCGTTTGCGTGAAGGTGTATATTCACCTTGGAAGGCGAAAGAACAGAGTCCAACTGGAGAAACGAAACGCAAAATCCCTGCTCAGCGAGGCATACCGGCTGCATCTGCGAGAGTACGCAGTCGAGCACCGAATCTAAGAGATTCCCTTCGCCCACGGGCGCCCACACTTCGCCGCTCAGCAGGCAGATGGGAGCCGGGTTGAGTAAATCCTCACCTTTCTGCCCGCTCGACCTTGATGTATTTACTTGAAACGTACTTTTTCTTTACTGACATGTCAGAATTTACGGACGACAAGATAGAACACCAATCGATCTCACAGTCGACAGTCACTCATGTTTTCGCATGTATGTCGTTTATGATTTGATCATCGATCAGGGCTCTACCGTGGAAGTTCTATTGCTCTACCTTGCAATCGTTTGGCTATAAGTTTGTTCTTGGCCTCCTCGAAGAAGCGCTTGAGATCCCTCTTGTACAGTTTGCTCATGGTGTCGGTGTAGACCTTGGTTAACTGTACGAACGCCTTGTTATCTAGCGCTCTCAGCAGCTGCATCAATTCAGTATACGGCACTAGCTCGTGATGAACTCCTTGGTGAGTAGGTAGAATTAGATCTGTCATGGAAGTCGATGTATCCCCGATATCGTTGCCCTGAAATATGATCGTGTTATATCATAAAGAGAGATAAGATAAAATGTTGAAAAGGTTTGTGTGAGACATACCAAATGTATGAACAGATTGTTTAGGTGTCTTGCAACAATGACTGAGAATTTCGCCTTGAGCTTGTCCAGTCGTCTTTTCTGCTCAGTGACAGCACTCAGTTTGTCTAAACCTGGTGGAAGAGGTGCTGTAATCGCTTTTAAAAGCGCTGCACCTGCCAGACTGAGCTCTTCTCTCTCACCCGGTAACTCGGCCTCATTCAACGTACGTTGATGTGTTGCAGAAATATCTAACTGCGACTGCAAGAGAGGAAATTAAGTAAATATTTATAAAATGGAAATTATTAATTACTGATTATAGTAATATTTCTTTTTACTTACAATTACCATATTTAGCTGATCTAATAATAACCTCGCGTTATTATTCGCCGTGTGTATAGCTTGATTCTTCTGCCCAACTCGAGCCATTACTTCTCTTATTCTTCCTAATGCTTCATCATATGTCGCTAATCGTGCCTCCACAATGGAAGCCTCAATTATTGCAGCGTCTATACTATTCATCAATTGAGTTACTCTCTGCTCAGATGCTAACACTGAGTGTACATTTTCCTAGATAACAATATAATAAAATGTTTGTACTTGAAAAAGTTTTCACAATATTAACTAATATGTTTCTCTCTCTCTCTCTCTCTCTCTCTCTTTCTCTCTCTCTCTCTCTCTCTCTCTCTCTCTCTCTCTCTCTCTCTCTCTCTCTCTCTCTCTATAATAAATATTTTTATAGAAGGATTTTTGAAACATTGTTATTTTACCCCATCAAGAATAGACAAATCCTTTGAAAGTGTCTCCATAAAAAGTTCAGCATTGGAAACAGCATATTCACAATTTTCCATCATCTGTTTTAAGTCAGTAGCTTCTTTTTCAGTGATAGGTTGATAATCTGAGGAAATGGGAGATGCTAAAAGATCTGGAAATTGGAAAACATACCATTAAATGAAAGTACCAACAGCATAAAACTAAATTTTGATTGATGAAAGTTTATCAGCATTTTAAATTAATTAAATTAAACAATAAAGATGATGATACCTGGTGTAAATGTAATACTGTCACTCTCCTTCAATGCAGTTGGATCAATCAGCCATTCTTTGGGAATATTTTTGAATTCTGGTCTCTGAGTGAGACTGCATGAATAAGTGTACAAATTACTAATGAATGTTCGTCTTTCTTGTGCTGTAGTGGATGACCATTTGTATACTTTATCAATATGCAACTCTATATCCATTGAATCATGTTTTACACCATCTACAACCTGTATATCATTCAGAGACCAGGACTGTTTCTTCTTATAAATATTTTTATCATTTTTCTTCACTTGATATAATATAAGAGATCCTGGTGTATCTGTTGTTGTAGTTAGGCACAAAAAGCTCATTTTTTTTTTCTTGTAAGCCTTACTAACGTAACATACACTCAGCAGTTTTTCATCGCTAGGAGTAAACACTTCCCTTTGCAAGGTATGCCGAATGGCTGCCATGGTTTAATCTCAGTCAATCACTATTATGTATCCTCTTTTTATTTCCTCTTATTTATAACCTCTTATTTATACTTGTACCTCTCGTTTGTATGAAACCTGGTAAATTATTGGAATATTAAATACATGTACAAAATAATTTCATCTTTTATTCTATTTTCTATTTTCTGCCTTCTTTTATCAATAAAAAAAAACTTACGTAAACATTTTTGTGTAATCCTCCACACTATATAATCGTTAATATTTTCGTTGTAATAAATTACACGATATCGAGTATAATACCGAAATTTTTTTATCTCTACATAAAGTTTGCTCCAAAATTACAGCTTCTGTCATAATATGGTGACGTTAGTTACACCAAAAATTTATTATTAGGTTTGTTCCTTTTAACTGAGTATCTCTGTGTATTAGCACAAGAAGATTTTTATTTATAACATTATAACAGCATATTAATCATTATATTTTTTACTACGTTTGTTTTATTATTCTCTGTATTTTTGAACACTTGTAAAAATATATGCTACCTTTATCTAGTTCCAGTATTCAGTATAGCTAAAAAGAACAAAGTTAACCTAAAATAAGCTTGGCTGATCCATCGTTGAGTTGTATTACTTAAAGATAGACGCAGCAGTAATATAACGATATAATACAATTATTATCAACAATGCGATAAAAATGAGACGCACGTGGCCCGTTATCGTTCAATCGTGCATCTTAAAATATTGCAGGTAAGAAATTAATATGAGAACGTAAAATGTTTCGATGAAATATGTAAATATAAAAATAAGAAAATAATAAAGAAAAATCATCCCTAGAAAGTAGAATTTCTATGTTTTAATATATAGAAAAATTCTTTTTCTTATTGTTCAATTTAAAGAGTAATATCTCTATTAGATTTATAATAACAGTCATTGCATTTCAGCATACAGCCAGTAAAACGTTGCATCAGCACAATGACAAATCCACTAATCGCAGTATGTCAAATGCGATCAATATCTAATAAGATAAAAAACTTGGAAGTTGTGACCTCGTTAGCAATGGAAGCCAAACGCAGATCAGCTGCAGTATGTACCTTTGGTAACAAATATCATTGTATATTATATACTTTACTATCATAATTTCCATAACATGTAAAATATATTTTATAGATAGCATTCTTTCCGGAAGCTTGTGATTACTTGGCAGATAACAAGAAGGATATTGTTGCTATGGCAGAGCCTTTGACTGGACAGACAGTAGAATCTTACAAAGAAATTGCTGCTAAAAATAATATCTGGTTATCCTTAGGTGGAATTCATGAAGCTGTAATATTTTAGCTTGTGTGACATTGATGTTTATAAATATCACAAAAAATGAAAGTCATCTCCTTGACACTGTAGAATAATAAGAGGATTAATTATTTCAGTTGCCAGATGATGCACAAAAAATTTACAATACACATATATTGATAAATAATGAGGGACAATTGGTAGCTGCATACAGAAAGATACATTTGTTTGACATGGATAACAAGGACACTGGAGTACGTTTGATGGAATCAGACTATGTAATGAAAGGGGTCGAAATCGTGCCACCTATAGCTACACCAATCGGCAAACTCGCGCTCAGTATTGTATCCTTAAGTTTAGATTTTCTCGAGAACAAGATGTATAGTCAGTAACACTTAACATAAAATTCAGTGTTATGATATGCGATTTCCCGAGTTATCCCTGATCCTGCGCAATATGGGAGCGCAGATCCTCACATATCCGTCAGCGTTCACCTATCAGACTGGTGCTGCACACTGGGAGGTGATGCTGCGAGCACGAGCCATAGAAAATCAGTGTTACGTCGTAGCTGCCGCCCAGACCGGCGCACACAACAAGAAGAGAGTGAGCTGGGGTCATGCCATGGTGAGTTTGTTATCAACGATTGATCTTCCTCTAGTGATAGTAATTATTCTCTTATCAATGTTAATGATTTTTATCAATTTTTATAATTAATTCATACATCAGGTAATATTTTTCTTCACAAATATTACAAATTACTTTTAGATTGTGGATCCATGGGGAGCTGTTGTAGCACAGTGTGCTGAGAAAACAGGCATAGCTACTGCAGAGATTGATTTAGAGTTGTTGGAGAAAGTTAGGAAAAATATGCCATGTGAGGAACATCGTCGTACTGACTTGTACTCCAAACTGGATTATCAAGAGTCCATTTAATATCAAATATCATGTGCAGGGACTTAATAAAAGTCACAGGAAATGTATTATAATTATATTCTTTGTATAAATTTACATTTAAGATGCAATACAAATCTATAAGGAACTATTATTTTTATAAACTTTACAATTGCAACTGATATTGTTATTACATTATTAAAATTAAAGTTGCTGTTGTACTTTATTGCTTAATTTATTAAAAAAAAAAACAAATTAATGTTGCTTAAATTGCTCACTTAAGATACAAATAAATAAGTCGTTTACTTGAATTTTTTTATAATTTTATTTTTATAACTAGATATATCAATTTGCTCTGCCTTGATGATATATACTCTCAGCTGTATCAGACTTTGATTGGGTACCCATTAATTCAGCATCTACTCCCTGTAACGCCCAATTATGTTCACAGATTTCCAATGCTTCCCATTCAGACTTGAAAGCTGCTTTTGGATCAGGAGGCATAGACATTGCAGCACCTGACACCTGATCTTGCAGCAATCTTGAAGTATCTGCAGCATTATTTTCACCGAGCACAAGTGTATAAATGGATCTCAATCCAAATACATTAAGGAAATACCACGAAGCTGAGGAGACCCATGCAGCATCCAATGTAACCAACTCTATACCTCGTTGCAGCATTGGCTTGAAACGTAGTGTCAATGGAAATGGTACTTTTGCTGAAATAAAAATGTCATAAGATGATTAGAAGCAGAAAAACTTATCTCAATATTTATTAAGATAAACTGATCCTTTTGGTATAACTGAAATTTAATTGGAAGAATGTTAAATACAGCATTATAAATGGAAATACAAATGGCACAATATATGCATTTACTTGTTACAAATCCAGAGAACATCCAATTGATCCAACCACCAATCAATACCATGGGCAATACATTGGTCACATTTCCCTTCAACATGTCTGTCATCATATTTGGGTCAGTCATAGGATTTTGGGAAACAGGAGCACGTTTCTGTGTCTTGAAGTAGCCAGTTTCCTCATTGTTGAAAAAGTGTCTTCTAGTCATAAATGCTACTTTTGGTATGTACTGTCCATTTTCCCTAAGCAGCCTGGAGCGTATCATAACTTGACTGCAAAAGATCCAAAGTTGTAATCAGTTCAATGAGAAACACTTGGAGCTCTCTCCTTGGCCCTTTATTTATTAACATAATTATTTAACACTAGAGTCCCTTCCCGATTCTTATTCCCATTTCAATGAGAAACAGAATATTCAAACGAACTGATTCACACCTGTCTTGCACTTGATGCAGCTCGACTTTCTTCTGCGATGCGAGCAGTATCGAAACATAGTGACGGACGATACCAACGAGAAACGTAATCACCACTATAGGCAGAAACACCCAGCCGCGAATATTCGGGTCCAACAGCAACTCGGCCATTATCAAACTTCTACCGCGTACAGATCTACCAAGGAAAACGAAGAGAACATACAACGTGACGTGAAACAACACTCGTCGCTAGCTCCACGACGATTACAGGTTACATAGAACCACAGACTTCTATATACTAACTAGACCGCTGACTTCTGGCGATGGGATGGTGGTGGGGTGAAGACGCCATATTGAGAGTACCGTGCGTATATTTTGTAATATCTATGATGTGTCACGTATTTCATTATAGACTACTCTAGTCAGATGGATAAAGTGAAAATCTTCGGTCCCGAGAATAAAATCTGAAATAAAGGGAAATATATTTGAAGTTAAATTTAATACTAGCGAGAATATTATTATTTGTAAATCTAACAGTAACCCACCTCCAAAGGTAACAGATTCAAATAATGAGTTCCGTTTCACCCATATGCGCGCATTTTTTATAGTATACGTGACATAAACTATAGATAAATGCGCGCATATGCGTGAAACGGAACGCACTCAATAAAGATTTAGACAAGAATAGCGCTGATCCGAAGTAAAGCAAACGAATCTAGACATTGCATGTTCTATGCTTGTCCAGGACGTAACACGAGTCTTCGCGCAGTCAAATCGGCAAAAACGCGCCTCCGCTCGCTGATTGGCTAATTTCCAAGTGTCACGAGTATTCCCCTCAAGCTTCAACCGAGGAGAGCGGATTTCACGAACGATATTCCAGAGAGCCGTTCGATATTCGATTAGAAAATTTCACTCCGACTAGCGACGCCTACCTTCGGAAAAAACAAATCTCTCCTCCCGGGCACGCGGTGTGAACCCCCTATGCGCGCAGGTTGGCTGAAACAATACTCGCGCGACAGTCACAAGAGCGCGCGGCGCGTCGCCGCACGGTGGTCGCGAGTGTGCGGGAGCGACAGCGGCGATAGACACACAAGAAAGAGGAAGAGAGACAGGGACCTCCGGCGGCTTCGCCGTCGCCATCCTTCTCCTCCGGCGCAAGCAACCCCCCACGTCCGTCGGCGGCGGCGCGTCCCTGGCTTGCGCGTGATGAAATTCAGTTCCGCTGGCGCACCGTTACAGGAGGTGAGGTGATCCACCGTCGCCGTCGCGTGAGCGCCCGTCCGGCCGCCAAAGTGCCGCGAGTCTGGCCGAAGTGTTGAAAGAAAGAGACAGTGAGAGAGGAGAGAGGAGAGTGAAGAGAGGAAGAGCGCGTGCGATATACGCACGTATTACGCGCGACGCGCTAGAAAAGTTCCCAGGCGCCGGATTTTGTTGAGGTGCGCAAGTAATGAGCGAGCGAGCCGACTGACGAAACGCAGGCTAATTGAGCGAGCCGCCGCCGCCGACAACGACAACGATCACGACGACGAGGACGAGGACGAAGATTACACCTGCGCGACGACGTATCGTCATCATGGGCCTGCGAGGGCGGCGTTGAAGGAGACGGACTCCCAAAGGGTAGGATCGCCAAACCAGGCGAGGACAACGACGGGAGCAGGAAGCGTCGGTTAGAGGCGAAAGGCAGGCAGGGAGGTCGCTCTACCTGTCTTCGGGGAACCGAACGCGAGGAGAGCCGAGCACCTCGACCTCAACTCGCCGACGCGCTCTCGCAGGCAGGCAGGCAGGCACGCACGCACGCACGCACGCACGTACGTACGTACGTACGTACGTACGTACGCACGCACGCACGTCCGCACGACCAACCGACCGGCTGTCACGACCGCCATGTTATCCCGGAGCAGCAGTGGTGTTACGTCGTGCGTGTCGTCGTTGGCGCCGCTGCTCTGCTTCCTCGTGCTCGGCGCCGCCGGCCTCGACGAATCCGGTGAGTCGATGATGTATCAATGTTTCGTCTAGGGCGGGAAGGGAGAGGAGAGGACGAGGCGGCGGGAGTATCGTCGTCGACGAGGCGCGTCCCGACGCGTCCCCGTCAGCATCCATGAGAGTTCCTGTGCTCCTCCCGTGGCAGCTGCACTCTCGAACACTTCCTGCACCGCTGACGAGGGGCGCAGGGGAAAGACGCGAGATGGAGATCTTTTTCTCTTTTTTTTTTTTTCGTTTTCTGTCCTCTCTCTCTCTCTCTCTCTCTCTCTCTCTCTCTCTCTCTCTCTCTCTCTCTCTCTCTCTCTCTCTTGTAGAATGGACAACGGGATTGTATTTTAATTCGTGCACGGAGGAGAAAAGATCGGTTGGATTATCGCGACGGATTGAAGTTGCGGAGCAAGCGAAGGTTCTGCTGAATTTGCCTCGCAAGAGCCGGAAATTTTGTTTCCTTCGAACGCAAAGCGCGTCCGCTTCGCCGTCGCGTTCATTCGACCGAGCTTGTTTTCTCCGGGTGACTACTGCGCTGCACGATATGTCTCTTCTCCTGGAGACGTTGCTGAACGTCGTTCTGCTGATCGCATCATGGTGCGATTAGTTCTCCTTCTCCTGTTTTCATTGAGAGAAGAGAGACACGACGAGTCGATATAAGAGAGATGGGAACGTTTGGGATTGGATTGAATTGAATTGACAGGCCGGTTAGCGTTGTTTCCTGGAATTTCTCAGAGCGTCTGCGTGATTTGTATTCGCCCGTATGATATTTACGTCAGGATAATACTGAGAGCCGGAAAAGAGCACGTGGAAAATCGCGCGCGATGGATCAATGAGATCGGCAAATATCCAAAATTGTAACACCGGGATTTCCTCTCGCGAAGTTTAGCACCTCATCGGGGTGCGTCGGGAAGTTCGCGGCTGAACACGCACCTCTTCACGACAGTCGAGGCTCGAAATTGCATAAATAACATGGTGTCGCGCGTCGGAATTTCCGTGCGATCATTTCCGCGCGACGCGAAACCTAACATTCGGGACTCGCTCGTAAATCAACGGCCGGATCCCGAAAGTCGGGGTTTATAATCCGCATGATGATTAAAGGTCAACATTGCGAATCAATGCGCGCATTGAGAGAACAGGAATCGATATCGATGTCGCTAAACCTGTAGTTAGCTTCGGCGTCTGCTGAATCTTCTTGTTAAAGAAAAAACAAATTTAGTAACAGGGTGAGTCATTTTAAACGATGCATTAATTTTTTTCGAGAACCAAGACTTGTGCCGAAAAATATTTCCTACAAAAGTTTTATGACTTCAAGAGAGGGGATGCATTGACTTAAATAGTCGTTTGAATGTTATGTGATGGTCATCTAAAATTTCTCAAGCGGAAGCTCCCAATTTTTATATTAATATCACATTAATATCTCATCAATATTCTTATAGCTTATCTCGAGATATTTTTAAAATATCATAATAGAGTATTTTTTTATTAAGTATTTTTTGAGTTATGAGGCTTGAAAATATCGTTGGCATTGGTATCGCCAAAGGTGTACCGCGTAGAAAAATCAAATCAAGTGAGGATACGTCGAGAAGAAAAAATCGACAATTTCAGTGGAAGAATAATCTGACATCCTTTTGACAGATGCAGGACAATTCTGTTCTTCAAGAGACCCTTCTGCACAATTGAATTTACCTTGAAGAGGTGTCACACCTCTTTTCCAGTCGGAACGACTAGATCATCAAAATTTCGAGGCAACGTGCTTTCGTCGATGAGTATGATGGTAATGGCATTACCGGCGCAAATTCCGATTCTGTGTGAGTAGACATACCTTCACCTGTTTTGACCTCTGCGCGGTTCTGTGGTGTCAATGCCGGCTATACTATAACTTTCGAGTCTTTCAACTGGAAAAGTACTTGATGAAAAAAATACTTTATTATAGTATCTTGAAAAAGTCTCGAGATAAGCTATGAGAATGTGCAATCCAAAACTGGGGTTTTAAGAAATTTTAGGTGACTTTCACATAATCTTCAAAGGACTAATGGCACTGTTTTACGTCACCTTTGAAGTGATAAAACTTTTGTACGAAACTTTCCGATAAGCCCTGATTTTCGAGAAAAATCTATGCGTCATTCAAAGTAACTCACCCTTTATAAAGCTTGTATAAATTCTAGTAAGCACCGACTGACGTTACATCACATGTTATGATTTCCAATATTATGATACTCAACATTGTGAGTAGAGTACAACACGTATTGTACACAACAATTGCGCGTTGTTGAGTGAGCAATTATAACACAGATGTAACGTTACTGTCACGCTCTGTGTTTACTGGCTTATCATCACCAGCGAGTAACAAGTAACGATTATGGTTTACAGATACCAAGCGCACTTTTCTCTCTCAGTACGTAATGCAATGCAAATGTAATGTGACAACGATTTGGCTGTGCGATTGCCGTCGCAGATAACTGCAAGTGACAAGCGTAACGACGTCGCAGGGAACAAATGCCCAACGTACTTGTTTCCCAGTGTGCGATTGCCGTGTCGCCGGCGATAATAACGAAGCTTCCGCGAAGCTTCCGCTGGAAGAAGGAAACGGGGCTCGCATTTTCCTTCCGAGTATCCTCCCGACCGGCTGCTGGGGTCACGTTCCCCTCGACGGCAGGAAAACGCAGTTGTTCCACCAAAGTCGGATAACTGCGGCTAAAGTATCGCATCATCGGCCCGCGCCTTGTCTGCTGAGTCTAATTCTGCTCTTAATTCCCGTCATTTCGTTTATCTACTTAGCATCCCGATTCACCCGCCCGACGCACGTTCTTTGGGCTCGGCCCGTTTTTCGCGATGTGCCATCGGCAATTAGGCCGGCCGAAATTGTAATTATCCGCCCGTGACACTTGACACATGCGTCGCGCTGCATGCCAGGTGGTTGCCGATGAGTCGTCTCACTTTTACGCACTAGCTTCCCGAGAGAGTGCACTTCATTCTCCGCGGATGAAAATAACTCGCCGCGAAAACGATGTAAAATCCTGTCTCCGACTCAGGTCGACTCAGTCGGGGAAATTGTACACCGAGAGAGAGAGAGAGAGAGAGAGAGAGAGAGAGAGAGAGAGAAACAATAGTCCATCTCGCTTTAAAAAATTGCAATTCTCTTCGACGTCGATTATCGTAGCTCCTCGTTGCTCTGATGAAAGAGCAGCAGTAGACACGTAAAATTACTGTCATTAACACTACTATACAGTACTAGCATAACTGTTAGTGCTAAATAGATAGTTTTCCTGATTATGATTTCTCCACCGTGTCATTGTGCCAGCACGTGTTTACCGGGCTATGCTGATCGTATTTTAAGAACTCGTTCATATTGAAAAAACATTTTGTTGCAAATGTTGCTCAACAAGATGAACTTTGCTAACAGTTATCTCTGCATTAGCAGAAAATTTAGTAAAATTGAAGCTGAGAAAAGGGCTACAATCTCTCCTTATAATTAGAAGAAATAGAGGAATCTCTCTCGTGATTCCTCTATTTTTTCCATTTTGTTAGCGAAAATATCGAAACGCGCAGAATTCTCGAGCTACCAGCGACCGAAAGGCAAGAATTCTCGCGAGCTGCGCTTCAGGGTTGTCAAATGTAATGTCATCCAGCTTACATGAGCGAATGTGTTGTAAGAAACACATACAGTGCGTGCTTAGAGGGGTCATACGCAGCAAGTGCGTACGCTGTTATGATACGTGTGTGTGTGTGTGTGTGTGTGTGTGTGTGTGTGTGTGTATGTGTGTGTGGAGCACGCGGGGGCGGTCGTTGGCATTGGACGTGCCAAATTGTGGAAATAATCTAGCGAGATGCACGAAGAGAGCAAGGAGCAAGTCCAACGCTCTTTGTGCCATTACAATGTTTTTTTCCCAATATCGACCTGCTTCCTTGACGCGAACAGTCGACTCTTATTGAGAAACTGGTTTGGGACTTACTTATTCCGGGGAATATTGACCACGATTCCGCGTGGCCATGACTAGCGAATTTGGCACGATGGGAGGGCTTTTTCAAAGGAACGAAAACGATCTACAGCAGCGACATTGTTTTCGGAACGTCGTGAATGATCGTGAAGATCGGATGAAATAATCGAAAATGAGGCTCGTGGAAAGTGGACAAGTTAGAGCAAGCTAAGGGAAGCTTGATTGGCACAGCAACGACGTCCATTGAAAGAATACGAGTTCTCTCGTGATTTTTCTGTTCATCGAAAATGGACGACCGCAGGATCTCCTTCTCGGCGAGCTATGCTAAATTTGATTTCATTGATCGCGTAAGAATAGCGTGGGAATTAAAGGGGCGAGTGCCGTGTAACTAAATTCGATGATATCACGAGGTCCTTTCGCGGAAATGTGCAACCCGTCACGAGAAGTCACATCATGAGGAAGGGACGAATCCTTTTTCGAAAATCAACGTCCGTCGAAGTCTACTAATAACGCGAGCGTATTAGATCTGTTATAATTAATTGTAACTTCTTTTTCCACACTCTTCGATTTTACCATTTTACAAGTATCCCTTTATTTCTACACCTTTCTCTATCTCTTCTTTTTCTCTCGTCAGAGAATAACGTGACTTCTTGTGACAGGAGTAGATAAGTCGAAAGCAACGGAAACAAAGGCTTCGCTGGAGATCATGTCCTCGCAGAACATCGAGGGTATAGAAGCAGGTAGCACACCGTCGGTGGAATGTTGGATGAACGTGCCGGGCCAGATCTGGTGGAGCACCGGCGGCAGGAATCTCACTACCGTCAACTCAAACTTCAGCGGACGACTCGACATCAAGAAAGCCAGCAGGAACGACACGGGCGACTACAAGTGCGTGGCGCAGACTGTCGACGGCAAATTACTCGAGAAGCACATTCATATCAGAGTGATAGGTAACGAAACTATACACAATCCACGTGTGTGTGTGCGTGTGTGTGTGTGTTTTATCCTTCTGTTGTTTGCGCATTGGCGTGTGGGTTTTGCATTTAACGCGTGTCCCTATTGTCGCCAGCGAATCTGTTCTCTTTGACTGAATTGGGTTGCACGCTCTACCATTTTAAAGCGAAACAAGTGTATAATTGAGTGTTTGGATGGAAAAGAAGCAAAGTTTCGTTACAGCGTTAGTTTCAGTTGAAAAGAACAGGCCTGTGAAGTGAAACGAATTCGGGAGCGTAGTATGTGTATTCCCGCACGGTGGTCGGTTACGATTTCTTCTTTATGTAGAATATTCTTCGACTCTCATTTTCCAGAACCCGGCAGAATAGCGTCCGGCGGCGATGTGAGAGCGAAAGTGATGGAAGCGGCCAACTTGACGTGTCACATACACGGTTATCCATTATCCCAATTTAGTTGGTTAAAAGGGAATGATTCAGAGAGCACCGAGTACTTGAGAGATCTGACGGTCGTCACGCAGATTAACGAGACCTACACCATCTTGACCCTGGAATTCAAGAATCTAGCCAAGTCCGGCAAGGACAATGGCACGTATATGTGCCGGGCGAGCGACTACAACAGCGTGATAAACACCACCGTACACCTGTTCGTCATTGACGTGCCAAAAGTTAGCATAGATTTTATGAAAGCGGTCGGTGCGGGCAGTATCTTTCTAAATTGGACCGTAAACGACGGCAATGAGCCGATCGAGAAATACTTCATCTATCACATGAAGAACGGCACGGATCAGTATCAATACTACATGGAGCAGATCGGCGGCGGTAACTCGAGCTACATCCTGAAGGGGTTCGAGAGCGGTACCGCGTACCAGATCGGCATCGGTGCTACCAATGCGGCGGGCCCGTCGCACATGCAGTTGGATCCGCGGTGGATCACTACGCTTGAGAAAGGTATTTTCCTTTTTAAATCATTTATTTTACAAGTGCTTTATATATTCAAAAAATGCTTATAATTAAAAATTAAAAAGCTTTTTTAGAACTCGATTTTTCAGCACAATATCTCAGACGTCAAGGTCTGAGTTTCTCTCGAATATCTATCTCCGTTTAATTCTCATCAATTCCTCTTTGAATTTCAAGTAATAACGGAGAATCTCTCGAATCTCTCTACCATCCCGACATTCATTCACATTAGCTTCATTTCACCAGTGAAATGACTCAATTGATAATTGCTGCCGAGCTTAATTCAATAAGTCTTAATGTCCAATGATGAATAACTATCAGTATACTCTAATAACAAACGGCTATTAGCATTTTTTTTAGTTTGGTGATCTCCCAAGAGAGGGAGAAAATAGAAGCAGAATTTCCCATTTCACTTTTACACTAAACAGCATTAAAAATATATTACAGATCCAGTCTTTGTGCCGAAGGTGTCAGTGAACGGCGTGACGAAGAACTCGATCACGATAGGTTGGACTGTACCGCCACTGGATTTGAAGGAACACGTGCACTACTACAATCTAATGGCCACCCACGCCGATCAGAAGAGAGAAGCGGTGTATCCCGCTCAGCCGATCACTGTGTACGCCTTTATAGAACTCGACCCGGCGACCACTTACAAGTTCAAGATAGCCGCCTGTAGCGAATATACGAAACAGTGCGGTAACTGGAGCACTGAAGTGAATGGCACCACTCTGGATGGAGGTGTGTTGTCAAATAACGTAATACATTCATTAGATGTAGTTATCCAAGCTACAAAATTACGGTGAAATCGCAGCATCAACCAGACAATCTAGGGGCTCTACCATGAATTTAACGGGAATTCTCTCTCTGGAGAATTCTTTTCACGGATCATGTTATTTTTGTTTCTATATAATTATGCAAAACAGACTAATTTGTTTATATGGATTTGAAAAGAAGAGGAGTCGCATAAATATGCGACCTTGGTAGCGAATATGTCAAACGGAATTGAAAGTTTCGATTAAAGATGGGATCGAAGTGAGAAACGTCGATCGATGCGTCACACATGTATGTGATGGCAAACGTGTGATGTCATTTGCTAAGAAAAATCCGTTTCCGTTCTTCCAGTGGCCAGTCCTCCAAGGAATCTCACCGTTTATTGTAGCTACGACAATATAAGCAGCGCCAGTTACATCTACATCACATGGGATCATCCAGAGAAGCCGAATGGTGTTATACAACGATACAATATACAAGGGAACGGTACGGCTGTGTTCAAAGATGAGATGGGCCGTCTGAACAATGTTTGCTCCGATCTACCGAGCTGGAGCGTACACAAGAAGAACAACGCGCGATATGGTCATGCGCTTCCCAATACAAATTACACGGTATGAAGTCCAATTGTTCACAGCCGTAATAATCCTCTTAATAATCCTTACTTTAAGTAGAACTTTATTTTCCAATGATTCGTTATACAGAATGTCTGGCAGTGTTAAGTTCGCGATATCCGTCTTGTGCTTGTAAATTAGGTCTGAACCAAAAACATCTGATTTTTAATTAATTTATAACTAATTTATAAAATTATTATAATTAATTTATAAAATCTCACGTAATCGTTTGCAAAATGCTAGAGGACTTTCTTCTTCAGATTGACCTAATCTACAAGCACATGACGAACACCGTCGAACATTCTGTATAATTCAGCCTAGGATAACAATAGAACACAAATACCGCGTCACGATGATATCGGTATAGTGATGAGCTTCATACTGAAAACAAAATTCTCGATTGAAGGTTCGTGTACACGGAGTAACTAGGTCTCGCACTAACGGCATGGACGCCGTAGGGAACTGCACGACGCCAGTAGCCGTACCGAGCCGGGACAACCTGAACATGCGCTCTTGGCGAAAGATCGAGAGCCAAGGCAGGCAATTGTTCAAGCTCTATCTGCCGCGCATCACCGAGCGAAACGGCCCGATCTGCTGTTACCGTGTGTACCTGGTGAAGTTGCCGCCGCAGAAGACAGTCAGCGACCTGCCCTCCCCGGAGGAGACCATGGTCTACTCTTACCAATACGCGCACAGCTCGCCGATTGGCGGCGCCTACATTGCCGAGACGTTCGACAGCGACCAGCTGTCGAGCGAGATCTTCCTCGGCGATGGCGAATCGTCCAATGGCGGCGCGATGTGCAACAAGTGTCTCGGGCTGCGTCCAAAACCAGCGCCGCCAGTGTTACACCTCGACCCCGAGATTCAGACCACTGCTGCGGCGACGAGCAACGGAACCACCACTACCTCCACTACCACCACCACATCGACTATGACACCGACGATGTCTACGAGCAGCAGTAGTAGTGGCACGACCACCGGCACATCCATTTCATCGACCACCAGCACCACCAGTACCACAATCACAACTGGCACTAGCACTACCATCACCACCACCACCATGAAGACAGACACAACCACGGCCGTACCGTTGATGAATAATACCGAACAAGCAGAGAGACGGAAAAGGGAGGACTCGCCCGTGTTGAGGGCATCGGTAGACGGATCCGGAGAACCCAACGTATTTTTGTCTCACGATGGCTTCCTCGACGAGACGTCGAATTATACCGGTTTCATTGAGGTTATTGGTATGTATATAAAATGCGCTTAATAGTGTGAGGCTGTCTCTGACGACGGACAATCTACTTTCGCAGTGTTCGGCAGTCAGAAGGATCAGTTTCTACCGGCTTACAGCAGTTACTTCAGTCCTCTCTATGGCGGAGTAGATCCCCTCAGTATCACAGCCGCAGAAGTGACTACTCTAGGCGTGATACTGCAGCTTTCCATCGCCTTGATATTGTTCATCGTCATCCTACTCATCGCGCTCTGCATTCTGCACAGATACACGAAACGTGCGCAAGAAAGGGAGGAGATTATAACTCTGCGTAATAGTTTCAGGTGAGTACTCGTCGAAAATTTCACTTTTTCTTAGTTGCAAGCTGCGTTTAAGATATTATTATTAATCTATCGATTTATGAAGTGGGAAATGTTTCTCTCGCTTCTGTCGTTCGAGTCGTTAGTTTAATGTAACCCTTTAATGGATGCCTTTCTCTCATAGGCATCTCTGTAGAAGTCTAAGAGGAAGGCATCAGCTCGTGGCGGCAAGCCCACCGGACATGCCACCTATACCCAAGACCGAACTCCTGCAAGCATACCTGGAGCGTCATCGGGACTCGGATTACGGTTTCCAGCATGAATTCGAACTGCTGCCGGATCGCTTTACAGACAGGACGACTCGCGCGTCCGAGGCACAGGAGAACCTCTACAAGAACCGTTATCCAGATATCAAGTGTTACGATCAGACGAGAGTACGTCTGGCGCAGATGGACGGCATCTGCGGTTCCGACTACATCAATGCCAACTTCGTGCTAGGCTACAAAGAACGCAAGAAGTTCATCTGCGCCCAGGGCCCGATGGAGAACACCGTGTGCGATTATTGGCGCATGATCTGGGAACAGCACCTGGAGCTGATACTTATGTTGACAAATCTCGAGGAGTACTCGAAGACCAAGTGCGCAAAGTATTGGCCGGACAAACGCGAGACCAAGAACTTTGGCGACATCACCGTGGAGCACGTGAAGGAGCGCGCTTACTCGGACTACGTGGTGCGTGAATTGAAGATGACGCGACTGGGGGAGCGCGACGCGCGCACGATCGTGCAATACCACTTTCTTGTGTGGAAAGACTTTGTCGCGCCCGAGCACCCTCACGCGATCCTTCGCTTCATTAAACGCGTCAACGAAGCGTACTCGCTGGAGAAAGGCCCGATCTTGGTGCACTGCAGCGCTGGCGTCGGCCGAACCGGCACTTTGGTGGCGTTGGATTCTTTGCTACAGCAGCTTGCTGAGGAGGGCCAGGTGTCAATCTTCAACACCGTATGCGATCTGCGGCATCAACGCAATTTCCTCGTACAATCGCTCAAGCAATACATCTTCATCTATCGCGCGCTCATGGAAATGGCGCAGTACGGTGATACGGAGATCCCGGCTCCGCAGCTCAAGGGCACCGTTGCCAAACTCAGGCAGAGGGACAACGGCAAGGAGAAGTGTAGAATGGAGGAGGAGTATGACGTAAGTTGTTTCTTATTTTTCTTTTTTCTTGAGAATTGGATTTTGAGTAAAAGAATATGCAACTTTCTTTTTTCTCTTTCTTCTTTCTTCTCTCTTTCTTCTTTCTTTTTCTTTATTTATTTATTTATTTATTTATTTATTTTTTATATATAGAATGTAGGATATGAAGAAGAAACACCCATCTAGATGTTACAAAATTTGGCATATATACTATCTTAATAATGGATACAATTTGGAAAATTTTTAACAACGAAGACATGTACACACATTTTTCGGTAATTAATTTTTGACATTTAACGAGAGAAGTGAAACGCGTTATTTTCTCTCCAAATGAATTCAAATGTCCAAGTGAATTCACAGAGATCACATTATCTTGCATTGCACATTGTGCACCGTCTCTATTTTTAGTCTTCAACTTTCGCTTGGGATAGCGTAATTTCCGTTTGTGTGTTGGCTGATGACTTGCTCGCAAAAAGGTTCCGTGATACACTGACTGCGCATACGACCGATATCCGATAATATGGATATAAATATACATCTATTCGGTCAATGCAAAAACATGTACGGCTTTGTCCCAACGATGAATCCCAACGATTTCATCAAAAAGGACTCTTTCCTTTACGTTGCATAACATACTTCCACGTGTAATACGTGTGTACGTGATATCTATTTCGCAGAAAATCAGCTCCGTGCTAGAGGACCGAAAATCCTTCTCCGTTGGCGGTGGCGAGGAGAATAGGACGAAGAACAGAAGCGAACTAGTGATACCTTACGATAGAAATCGCGTGATACTCACTCCGGTTCCGGGCAGAGAACATTCGACGTACATAAACGCATCGTTCATCGAGGGTTACGATAATTCCGAGTCCTTCGTCATTACGCAAGATCCACTGGAAATCACCATAACTGATTTCTGGCGAATGATCTCGGAACAATGCATCTCTACAATAGTTATGTTATCTGACGTAAGTAGAGATTATACATTTGTATATAGAGATGTACATTTTTTTCTTACTTTTGGCTTTTCTGATAAATGATGTACAATTGTATGGACGTTGCGTTATAATGAAATACAGATGGTACGCAATTTCGTACGAAAATTTTCTACACATTTTTTTTTTTGGCGCACGATATATTTTTTCTTCAGGAGCTTTCGTTGTATTTTTTGGATAATGTATAAATACAATTTAATTGATATGTGATTTTTTCTGTCACTGAATATGTTTTCTCATTAGAGTTGTGTGCGTATGTAGTATCTTAAATTGGAATAATGCGTATATAATATACAAGATGTTACACAATCGGGTGAAAAAGACGTCAGAGTCCCCGATGTTAAAAGTAGAGGATAAGAACCAGCATGCTCAAAGAAAATTTGATTTCGCAATTGTGATGGCAAACTGCGTACACGAGACACATGTAAAATAAAGATCCTGTTTCCAGTTAAACGAAGGCCCACGGAAGTGCCCGCGCTACTGGCCCGATGACGAGACCGATTATGACCACATAAGGGTTCGCTATATTCACAGCGAGAGCTGTCCGTACTACACACGTCGTGAGTTCTGCATTTTGAACACAAAGACTGACGAGAGCGGAATGGTGAAGCAGTACCAATATCACGGCTGGCCAACGGTGGAGGGTGAAGTACCTGAAGTGACGCGCGGTCTCATTGAGCTCGTGGACCAAACACTCACGAACGACGCCGAGATGAGTGGCTCGTTAGTCGTGCACTGCAGCTACGGATCAGACCGGAGTTCCATGTTCGTGGCGCTCAGCATACTGGTCCAGCAGCTGCGTACCGAGAAGCGGGTGGACATCTTCACAACGACGAAGAAGCTGCGCTCGCAGAGACACGGCATGATCAGCACCTTCGTAAGTATATCGTATATTGTGAAATATAATATGTATATAATATTAGGCAGAAAACTTGGGACTTTTGAGTCTTGGTGTAAAGATTTGAGCGTTTTGATTAACACGTTAACTATGTCAGACCGGTTAACTATGTCAATTAATTAATTTTATATATATATATTTATTATTTATTTATATTTACATATGAGAATTTTTTCGCACGCTAACCAGGAGGTAATTCATATTTGGCAATGTATTGAAATAATCGATAAGTTAACGAAATATCGACAAGATATTTAATATTTTATTTATCAATAATCTATAATTTTACAATCAATAATTTTATTTATCGATAATCACATACATCTTATAAAGCTTTAGAACTTTGACTGCTTAATGAAGTAATGGTCTGTCGCGTTACGTGCTCGTTACAGGCGCAGTATGAGTTCCTTCATCGCGCCATCGTGAATTACTCGGATCTTCACAATCTGGCTGACGACGAGCCGGTGTCATAATGCCTAGGAGAACGAGGCTAGATTGTACGAAATACTCTGTTTGGCCGGACATGTGCGTAAGGAGGACGTTCCGCGAGTGTCCGACGAGTCCACGGACGTTCGAACGAGTTCGTACATACGAGTTCGAACCAACCAAAGATGAACGAGCATTGACGAACGGTCACCAACCGCCATCATCCTTATCTCACCGTCATCGTCATCATCGTCGTCATTGCCATCGTTATCATCGTCGTCATATAAGACAAACGGACTGACGCACACGCGACGACGACGGCGGCGGCAGCGGAGACTCGCCGTGTCGTACGTGCTGCATCTGGAGACTCTATTTGTACATAATATATCCGCAAATTTTACATGTGCTGACCATAAACAGACTACTAGAAGGAACTAATAAGCGCGCGCGTAAGAGAGGGAATATCGCGGACTCCGCTGAGAATACTCGCGGCCTGTTAGACGGAAATCGAAACACGTTCGAATAGTCTGCATTCATTATTTACACGGAGAAAAGAAAAGATAGCTTGAATTAACGTGATAATGAACGTGAATCAGACGCGTTTTGCTCGAAGAAATTCCTGCTTTTCAGAACCGATCACTAAGAATCTAAGCTAATAAGAAGCACACGCACACACAGGGATGTTTAAGACTGAGAAAAAATCTCGGCACATGCAATACGTCGTCTACATTAATCTTCCTGTAAAGAAACGCATTATTCGCCACCAACATCCTTGCGCGTTTCTCATTGGCCTAAAATGATTCGCGGTGATTAAATATCCGAGAACCTTCATTCAAAATACTGGCTTTTAAAACTGAATTTATTAGAATCCTGTTCCCTTCAACCAAAACGCATTTGGTTCGTTTTTATCGTCTTATCAATCGATCTTTTTTCTTCGCACATGTATGGATTCGCGACGGTCGCTCAGTCAATCGGTCAGAATCGCGAGATGCGAGATGGACAAGACTTGCGGTGCGGCTACATCGCGAAACTGTTACACAGAAGCTTATTTTTTATCGATAGTCTAATGATCCACCGGAGCGTAACATGTGTCCAGAAGTGCATCGAAGTTCCGCGATCGAAATTCCGGGATGACGAGCGATGCTCTCGGGCCCGAGAACGGGCCGACAAGATGAAGATGTCAGAGCTCTCTCTCTCTCTCTCTCTCTCTCTCTCTCTCTCTCTCTCTCTCTCTCTCTCTCTCTCTCTCTCTCTCTCTCTCTCTCTCTCTCTCTCTCTCTTTCTCTCTCTTTCTCTCTCTCTCTTTCTCGGTATTGCTGTATTGGGGGAGGGGACTATCGCGCGGCGGGATGGGTGTATATTATTTATATAAACACGGCCACACGCATATATACGTTCTTCTAATATGTATATCACTGCGGTTCTCCGAAGCGCTTCGTTCCGGCGAATCACAATGGCTCGGAGCGAAGCGACCGAAGGACTTGCAAACGCTACGACTACTACTCGCACAATCCGATAATTAATCGCGAAACTGCTCCGAGATTTTCATTGATGGTCGCGTGTATTATATTGGCGATCGCTACGGGGCATCTTCTCGCGAGACAAAGCGTCAACCTGAGCGAGGCGGTTTTTGTTTCACGGAAGACGCTCTCTGGCAGGAAGCGTTCGCCTGTAACTTGCGCGAGACTTTGTTATGATCTGCCGTAATCAGTAATATTAATGACCACAGTCGCTTACAATGTACGCGCGTATTACATTATTTATATATGTTCTTTGATAGTATATGCGTTATTATTATGCGATCTGTTGCGCATGTGATCACGCGCGCTGATTTCTCTTAAAAAGAAAAAAAAAGAATAAATAAAACAAGACTGATAGTCTTATTCTCAGTTTGATATGCGCGACTACGCGCGCACGTACTTCGATCGCACAATATTCGGGATCGCCGATATAATAATAATCATCATCATCATCGTCGTCGTGGATCATAATGTCGTGACCAGAGAGGCGGGAGGTGAGAGTGGTCATCTCTTTTTTTACTTTTTCATACATAGGACGATTGTAGGTATCGATGTATGTATACGCGATGTGATCTTTGCGCGCGTGACGAGGCTGCTGCGCTCGCGACTTGACCTCAGCATACCTCCGACTTGCTGACGCAAGCAAAAGTTACAGTCGCTGATTCTGCGATGCTTTGTATAGTTGCGCAGCTACTAGGGATGGGATCGGATATATTCTGAGATAATATCGGTATATTATCTGCAGCATATTCCCCGAAATTTCTTATCTCGAAAAACATAACGGCGTTTACAAGATGGATATATATATGCATTTTTCGTAAAATATTTCTGCGATAATTTATTATGAAATGTATATATATTTTTTTTTCTTCTATATATATATGATATATGTTCATGCCTTTATGTTTATGTTTACACAAACGGATATACTAATAGTTGCATATTGCATGATTGAGTGTACATTTGATTTTTCCTGAAACTTGATTGTGGGAAATTCTTGGATGAAATGATTTATAATTGTTCAATTTCAATGAAATTGATCACCTAGCTGCGATCAAATCGGTTGCAATTCATGTGTACATATTGAATTTGATCCCATTTCTATGCATAGCCCAGTTACGCGCTTTAACTATCAATATATCTACGGATCTTTCTCCTTCTATTACTGGCATCGCTTCGAAAATGTTATGTTGCGACGTAGCGCTATGTAAAACGGACGAACGAACGGAAATCGCTCGCACGAGTCTGACTTCATTCACAATGGATGGTGTTAAAGTTGAAATGCTCGCATTCGCATTCCGTTTTTAATGAGTCTACCTTTTATTTGTCTAATATGAAAATTTGGTGTTATCACGGGTCGTACAATGAGTAACGACGATGCAAACTTAATGCAAAGTGCGACCTGTGAAGAACAGCCAAGAAGACAGGGTTGGGCAGAGAAAAAGCGTAAAGTTGTGTTTTAGATAAGTAAGAAATAAATTTCGATGTATTTTAAATGAGAGATGCAAAGAACGAAAAACATTGCAATGAAAAGGTATTTTTCGAAAAGGAGAGACAGGTAATATATGCTTTACGATACGTGAGATGTGCGAGATGTATATAACATACATTTGAGAATTTATTTCAAAGACACTTGACAATTCCATCAACTTAAAGAAATACGTATAGTATAGAAAAGATGGTAAAATAATTGAATACTTTTAATAATTGACGTACGCTTGAGACACTGCCCGACTCTGCGATAGAGGAGACGACGACGGGAAAATTGACGGCGTCGGTATAAACGAGAAAAGAAAAAAAAAGAAAAGAAATACGAATTTGTAGCTTAAGTGGCAAAAGAGGAAAGGATAGAATTGTGCGTCTAATTTCTTCGCACGCTCGTTCAGTTCTAGTCAAGTTTAAGCTCCAGCACGTGCGCTGCTAAGCTGTAAACCTTCGCAAGCAGGAGACAATCATATTAATTACGATTCGCAACGCGTCGCCCGATTATTTCCTTTTCCTTTTCTCTTCTTTGCATCAGGTATCAATCTCATTCCATTTTTGTTTACCAGGAGGCCCTTCGGTAAGAGACATCGAGAGAACGCGTCTTCAATAGTTTGTGCTCGGAAATCACAGATATTTAAATAATTGTAGGATATATTCAACAGCTGTGAAGATCTTGCACGATCTTTCCGCAAAATCTCGTATAAAGTACGAAGAAGAATCTTATGACAGTGTCTTTTATATTTTTTCACTGACGTTGAGTGAAACTTTCCCCTTGCATTATTTATATTTTCCAAAAAAAAAACACAATAGGGCCTCATCTCATGACTCACATCGAAGGGCTGCCGATTTTTAATGAACGTTAAACGTGCGCCTCATGCTGGATGAATGTGTCCCGCCTTAGACGCGAGAAATGGATATATATATATATAATTAGTTCTTAGTCGTTATATCGCATAACACAAACTCGCTTCGGTTACGTTACGTAGTTGATAGAGTCTCTAAGAGGATAGATAAGATACTCGCCGCAGCTGTATTTATAAATATATTATATATATAGATATATACATTGTTATATTATCGCGCGCCTATATCGCTGTTGCTATTTGTATCGATGAATGGTGTGACAATACTCGTTTCGTGCCCTGTTGTTACGCATACGCGCGTTCTCCGCACGCTAACAGTCACATGACACATTTTGCTTTTTGCCGATCAATCAGTCGATCAATCAATAACTGGGACGATTGTCTCTCCGATTGGGCGAGCGCAGCAGCGACGAACGACTGCGGAGAGACTGGCGGGTCGTGCGAATAAAAGTAAAGCGAACCCTTTAAGGACGAGAGACAGCGAAGGCACATTCGTTCTGCGTTTTGCGAGACACAGCGAATGCTGCTCGTCCTTTTTGCGCTCGTACGCATCCGCAGGTATATTTCATGTACGATCTCTTTCTTTTTTTTTTTCCTTTTTTTCTCACAATCGTCATCTCGGCGCAAGAGCGAGCAGTTTTTAGTAACTTTATATTTTTAACACGAATAATTGCTAGCGAATAAAACAATGGATATTTGATAACGTAATCGCGTTATGAATGGACGAGTCGTTCGTTCGCGGGATATTTTTCCCGGACGTGACTCATATTGACTGCGACTTCCTTTACAGCGACGAATGATATAATAACACGTCGATTCGATCAATTAGTATGCTGTAACACAGACAGAACTTTCGCTGCAGTTGAGGGTGACTTTCTCCAAACTCTGATCGATTCAATCGATGATTGACTCTGGCAAAATTGCCAACGGTAATTTTTAACTACATGTAACTATGTTAATTATGTATGCCATCGCCTGACAATAACTTGAAAATTAATAATTCTGTGAATACCAGCAGAATAGGACATTTGATAGTAATTTTAATTTGCGATCTTGTAAAAGGAGAACGCGAGAATGTCTCTGCCAGCGGAATTGATCGTCGATCGGCTTTGATCAGGATGCGGTGAGAGTCGTTACCCCTGACAGCAAGGATTTGATTTACCGGTTAATAACTGTCGAGCAGTCGTCGCGGTGGCTGCGCCGAATGTACCTTTCGCATCTTAGTACTTTATCTTGCGTACTTTACTGCGCCGTATTGTCATATCTTCAAAGTTGCAATGTCGGAGCGCGACAAACAGCAAGTACAACTCGAGGACTCGCACGCACGATCGAGCCATTTAACAGTGATCCTTCTTTTTATCGACGATCGCGATCTCTGAACACGCCTAATTGACGCGAGAGAAGGCGACCCGGGAAACGCCCAGCGGCTGGCTCTGCTGACTCGACAATTTGTTATCCGTGCGACACACCTCGTTCTTGCACAAGAGTCTCGTTTGCGTTGGGGGGGATCTCGCGAGATATCTTCTCTGTATATTTGACCATGATCCTCGTGCGACGTCTAATTTCGGTGTAGAGATAAGCAAACGAGAGAGAGAGAGAGAGAGAGAGAGAGAGAGAGAGAGAGAGAGAGAAAGGGAGAGAGAAAGAGAGACCATTCCGCCAGAGATCCTTCGGTGAGACGTCGAGGTCAAGCCGACGTAATACTTAACTATAGATATGAGCGAAGAAGTATCGCGCGTGTGTTTTAAGTAGAATAAAATTTGTATTAATGGACGAGAGAGACACGCTTGTGTAAACGGCCGTGTGTGAGCGACGCAGAGTGCAGGAGAGAACATTCGTACTCGTCTTTGTGGACGCAGAACGCACGAGCGGTCCTGCGAAAAGAAAGGAAAAGAAAAGCAGACGATATAGACCGAGAGAAGATCGAGCCGGAAATTCGCTGCTCCGTGAAGCGTTGCGAGACTGTAATCTTCGAGATGAGAGATTCTCCTCTCCACATCGTTATCACTCTCGATCTTTCTTCGATTCCTTCGCATCGATTTCCGTTCTTCCGACGAGATGGGACACTCGAGTTCTGCAATGAGAGCTCGAGATGCGCCGGAGCGACGCTTCTCTCTTTTTAGTTTCCACGTTTTCGTAGCGCGAAAAACTCTCTCGGTCCCCTTTCCAATGGATTCCCGTCAATCGATCTTGTCTCGTCAGAATGTGCGGAAGATGTTAAACGAGAAACAGAAAGAAAAAAGAGAATGGGAAGCAAGATCCAATTTTCAGTGGCGTTTCGAGCGGAAAGGTGCGCTCGTTTAAGTATACCGAGTCGTGAAAGAAATGACGTTTTTCCACCGAAAATAATTATTCTTTTATTGCCGGCACGTATGGTGTAACGAGCTACTAAAATGTACTTTCATTCGCAGGCGGGGGGAGGAGGGATCTAGACGTGCACGTTAGTAGAGATGTGCGAACTATTCGACTCGAATCCGAGTCCTGTTCGTATTCGTACTATTCGAAAATTCGGAACTGCGGAAATCTAAATACAGATCTCGCATGCTGGCCGTCTTGCGTGGAAGGTCATGTTTAATTTCTGCGTTAATTGATTCTCCTCGAGACTCCCCGGCTGTTGATCGAGGCAGTATTTTTCGCAACTCTTGTGCAAGAAATCAATTAACGCAGAATTAGATAGGATTAGGAAGAGGGGCGGCGGAGTTCTGATATTTATATTCGGCGCGTGTGTTGTCGCACGTTCAGAAAGCATTATTCTCCTGTAGTTGAAAATTATTCGCACTAATACCCGGCGACAGGCTACTATAGGCCATGTTGTTAGTCACGTTGTTAATTAAACGTTAAGTTTCGACGATTCGGTTCGATCTGGATGGAGTGTCTGTCGATTCGACACATCTCTACACGTCTCACACACTCGGTAAGACTTGGAGGCGCGCGCGCGTACACACACACACACACACACATTCGAAATGAATACTAATTACCAACACGCGCTCTCCAATTAGCATGTTTTATGTGATAATTCCTTAGTATCAATCGAGCGAAGGCGCGCGCGACGCTGATCCTTCCTGGACACGCGCGCACGCACTCTCAGCGGAGTCGAGCAAGGACCCCACACTCGTCTCGGCTGCCGCTCTAAATGTAACTCTATTTTTACATTGCACATTTTTACATTCGAAAGGAGAACGGCACGAAAGTACTCGTCTGCGGACGGAGAGGTGATGATTTGCTTAACTCGCCAGACGGCCGGACCCTCGTGAAGTTCGCTCGTTTTCGCGGCCAGGAAGGGTAAAGCGAATTTTAATCAGCACACACATACACATACCCACACACCTGCGATGAGGTTCGATATATATGCTCAGCTATTTAGCGATGAACTCTGGTAATTAATAGACTCGATGCTGAAGTTCCCAGTGTGAAGTCGCGTGCGTGCGTGCGTGCGTGCAAGATTACGTTTGAACAATACGAGGCCTACAGACAGGAATGAGAAGGACGATGAACGAATGTACGACTCTCGTTACTCGGCGATACGTTCGCGCGCTAATTGCAATTCGACATCTCTTCCCGGAGGAGAAGAGGAGAGATGCCAGTCAAGTGCAAGCGCGTGTCAACGCTCACGTCGCGGACGCGACGCGGATCTCCGAGAACGCGTTCTCGGCTCGGCTCGCAAGAAGGACCCGCGCGTTTTTCGCTAGCACCGCCGTTTCCGTGTTCGTCGACTATCAATGTAGGCTCGAATTTTGTAAATTAACTTAACGAATAAGGGGAGAAACGGCGCCGCGCCCATGAGCGCAACACCGAAGCGCGCGCGCGCCGTCGCCGTATAAACATTAACATTACGTTCGTACATGATAAACTGAGGTTACAATTAAGAGGACACATTTGCATATATAGTTTTAGATTTTGTATGATATTTAACACGGAGGAAAATGAGGGAGAAGGGGAGGGGAAGAGGAAGGCGGAAAATGGATCCGGGGAACGGATCCTCTGCGAGGATATAAAATCTGATTTACAATGTGCTCTCTGCTTCCTTTCTTATTCTTCATCTTTTTCTGGTTCTTGTGAACGGCTTGCGAAGTATGGCTCTGAAGATAAATTGAAGACGATTAAATATAAGATCCTACTGTGCCGCCCGAAGGATTTAATTTCCTCAGTTCGGATACCAAATTTCAACCGGGAAAATGTCTCTGACTAACATGGCGCGTTAGTCTGTGGATAAGCTAGACTATCGAAGGATTGACTGATCTAGGACTAGAAGAATTATTATTATTACACGGTTTTACACGGTTGTCCGTAAGATTTAAGTCGGAAAGAAATAAAGAGAAAGAAACAAGAGGCAAGGAGCATATTGTAGATGAGGCTTAAATGTACTGAGACGAAAGGACGATCGAGTTAGCGACTGGCGCGAGCACATCAGGAAAACGGAGAAGATATGACCAGGCCTGGATACACACGCACAACCGTATCGGAGTTTCGCCGTTCGAGAGAAAGAAAAAGAGAATGAAAGAGAGAGAGAGAGAGAGGGAGAGGAGCATTCGCTCCCGGACGGCGAAAAGCCGCTGCGCGAATACCCGCTGCGACACGGCGCTCATCATCGAATCATTCTTTTTGTATGAAAAGTTGTAAAGCGATATCGGTAATACAGTGCACTCGATGTGAAAGGAAATACATGACACAATAACGAGCCGTACACGCCTCGTCGTCTCTTTCGTCGCCTTCTCCTCGTCCTGATTGAAGTTCCTCACGCGGTCCCGATAAAAAGAAATGCAGTGGAAATTCCGAAAGCGGGACGGGAAATTCATAACGCTGAAATCCGAACGCCGAGACAGTCTTCTAAAATACAATTTTCAATCCGTAAAATCATTCTCTTGGGAATTCCTTGAGATTTTCGTCGTTTCTGGTTCTTTTTCTCTGCTGCCGAATGAACGTCTAGAGCCTGGAAAGCTACTGCTTGTCAGGCAGAAAATAATAATAATTCCTCGTCGCTGGAGGATGTACCGCTTCTAATGTAGTGCTTTATTCTAGCAGGATCCCGTCGGATGACCTTCTAACGGTCATGTGTATCGTTACCGATAATTAAGCAACGGTTCACTGCCAGCAATAAAATGCCTCGTGCGCAGCCCCTTATTTAGAAGGATCGCTGTTACTTGCACGAACATTTCCAAGAATGCCATCAAATGACTCTGCAAACGCGAGTGAGATTAAATTTACATGAATACGCGCAATTTCAGTGCATGCACTTTGAATAACGGGCGATTTAATACGGAAAACTGAATTATTACTGTCATCGACGTCGCAATTTTCAAACATGTCGATCGAATTCGAGAAGGATCAAAATTCATCACGAGGAACAGATGAAACGGAAAAAGGCGATGGTAAATCTAAAAAGTCGACGCGCACTTTCAAAGATCGTTCCCTTTTCTTCTCTGCTCATCCGACTTTCACAACGGAGCCAACGAGATCGTACGTGTGATTATTTATGGGAAAAAGAGGGAAGGAGAAAAATCGGAGAACGTCCGTGCATCGCGTCCTCGTGTAGCGAGTATGTCGTGATTTCTAGTCCGCACATAGATTGAAAATCCTTTGTGCAACAATAATAATAAACAATGGCTGATTGTCGTCTAACGACTCGCATCGGTCGATCGGTGAACCGCGATTCCGCATGTGACGTTTCGTTATTTTGTCGGTGCATCCTTCGCGTGCGATTTTCTTATTATTTCGCGACGATCGCAGGTAAAAACAATCATATATAATAGTAGAGGAAAATAGCCGTGTGAGAACCGCGCGAGTCACAAAGTGATCAAACGGATCGCAGATTTTATAAGAAAAAAAAAGAAGCGCACATTCGGATATCGGCCCAACGATGACCGCCGAATGTGGACCGTCACGGATCATACGATTTAGGTCCTGGGTTTTGAGTACATCCGTTACATTACCCACACGTTATATCGTGCCGAATAAAATACCGGCCTAACGACGTCGGAATACGATACCACCAAGTAGGTCGACTTGGGCTAAGGGACTGTCGTGACGAACAGGTTCGAATCGAAATTCGAGTGATTTGATTCTACTCATTGCTCACTTTTGCGAAAAAGGCGAGCACATATAGTTAATTTAAAAAAAATAAATAATTTTTTCTTCCAGAAAAAGAGAACGAAACCTGAAGATTTCAGGTCGCTCCTCTTCCTGATGAGGTGAACACTGTAATGTTCACAAAACGTCGGAAATAAATCCACGAAAGATGCAGCGTCAATTCGAAAGCCAAATTGAACATAATGAATATTAATACATTAATGATTGGCATTAATGACTGGCAATTTCCAATAATTATAATTTTAATAATATATATGTATAAGTTGTTTTTCTTTAAATAATCAGGATTGTAAACGAATCCTCGCACGATTCTGAAGATGACATTTGTAAGAACCGAGAGAGGAGAAAAATCGCCATCAGTTTTCTCGGAGTCAATTGTACACCGACTTGTTTCCGCGCGATGAACAAATGACTGCGATTACTTTGTCAAAACGCGGAACGCCCGCGTATTATCCGCACTCGTGATCGCGCGATTACACCAGGGGAATTCGTCGAATATATGGTGGGGAATGTGTACCGCTGAGGAGGAAGCTAATTCAGTTCATTCACGGTAGTACCTCCGCAAACCCGCTCTGCCTCGATCAGACGCGCGAGTTTACCGCGTCTTCGACGCGATGCACACGTATCCCTCGGCGACAGAAGATGCGACTTGGTGCGCGTTGTGAGCTGTCGCTTCGCAGGTTGATTTATTTAACCTTTTGATTGTCAAGGGTGGCTGTGTAGCACACACGCGCGACGATGTCGCTGATGTGACAGAGTGAATGAGTTGTAAATTAATTCCAATGATGTGTCGTTGTCCCTTCGTTCAGCGAGAAATTTCATCCTGCTGCGTGTTGCTTTTCGAGAATTATAACGGCGTTGGAGATGCAGCAGTCTGTATGGCAAATATTTTGTCGTTTCAGTACATCAGAATTTCGTCTCTAATTAGGACTCGCATTGTGTGATCAACGAGATATTACGTGACGAGTAAGGAAGAACATTTTTCACAAATCTACGAAGTAAATCAAATTAAATACACTGTGCAAGACACACTGCAAAGACACAAATCTATAGTGAATTAATGAAGCATGTTTGCCTGCGCTAAGCCTGGTGTGATGAACATCACACAAATGACATAACGGTATAATTTAAACAAAATAACAGTGTCATTTTCACAAGTGAAAATGTGTTTCGGCTGTGTCATCGGCGTCACGGAGGCTGGAGGATTCGTTGACAAATGCGTAAGACTTCTCTTGCATTTGCGAGATTTTAAATTAATCGAAGTTTATGAGAAAATTGTCAGGAAGCGTATAGAAATGCGTTTTACACGTAAATTAGTAATATCGTATCGTCGGTGAGACTACAACGCAATGTAAATGTGTAAATGACAAAAGGATCTTTCTCCTCGGCAGATGTTGAAAATCCACAGAAGCGAGTCGACATGAATCCATCGCGGAAGTCGAAGAGAAAAGGCGAGCCGTCGCAGCTCGTCCTATTAATATCATTAATCATCGCGAACGCTCGGTCCTGCGGCGCCGAGTCGAGCGGAGAGTATCTTCAGAAGGTGATGATCGAGCTTCAAGAGTTAAACGTGCCGTCGAGCGCGACGATGCACGATCGTTTGTCGATGAACCTCGATTATCGCACGGGCTACCAGAAAGACCGCGCGCAGTACAATACACATCGCAAACTCAACACCAACAATGCCCGTCAGCAGCCGCATCCGAATGCGCGTCAGAGCGTACAGGCGCCGGCTGCAAATCTACCCGACGAACACGCGGATACCGCTCAGTCAGCCTCGAACAATGTAGTTCAGTATTACGCGGTACGTCGAGTTCTCATGTATATCCAATCGGCCGAAGTATTAGCTTGATGCGAAAGATTGATCATTTTCCTATCGAAAACTCTCGCAGGAAGTCGGGGTATTCAAAAGAAACAAGACATCTAGAAGATATAAAAAAAGTAGGACATGCTCGTTAAACGCCCCAAAAAGGAGTAGCTAATCAACGCCGTTCGCTTCATTCGTAAAAATTCCGAATCCTTCGAGATCGGATATTGTTTCGTTTGGCAAACGCGCGACAAAGTTTTCGCATTAATCTAATATAATATAAGTAACACGTAGAAGAAAACAGAAACGAGGTAAATTTCACAGATACAGGATCCGCCAGCCACCGCCTCCGCCGCAGCTGCCGTCAGTTACCCCAGGGTGAAGCAACAGCAGCAGCATCACCATCAACAGTTGTTGCAACCGGAATCGTTGGCGGTCACACGAGCGGAGCTCGCGGCATTGTACAAGAAGGCCTTGGAAAGAGGGTCAACGATCAGCCTGTCGTCATTGGCGCAAGCGTTGAACGCCGCAGGCGGCGGCGGCGGCGGCGACGGCGGCGGCAGTGGCAGCGGCACCCATCTGCGATTACCGCTTAAATATCCGATGTATAACTACTACTTCTTCCCGCTGAAGAGCTTCGCGTCCGAGTTGCAGAGAGATCATCAGGCCGCCGCGGTAAGTGACAGTGTCTGTCTGTCTGTCTGTCTGTCTGTCTGTCTGTCTGTCTGTCTCTCTCTCTCTCTCTCTCTCTCTCTCGTTTCTTTCTGGCGCGAGGAAAACCCGTTGCCGCATCGTCCGTTACGCGCGCGAGCTGCGAGTTTGTTTTCCCTCCTCAGTTCCAGCGCAACGGATCCTGTGCAAAAAGTATTCGGTGTGCGGCAATGAGGATGTCGCGAGGCCCGACGTCAACAACGTATGATTATCGATGTATGCGCGATCACCAGCAGATTCGAGGCAGTGTAGCGAGATTCTTGGAACGGTGTGAGAAATTCGAGGGGAATCAAGAAAAACATTGGAAATTTGGGAAAACCAATCCAAGAGGATTGTACGAATTTGTCACGATATTCTGATCAAATCTCTGCTGCCAATCTGCTGGTCGACCTTTTGCTCGCTGAACCTGTTTTTTTTTACATATCTTTTCACATTCGTATCTCGCAAAATATCGTTTTGCCTTCTGTCATGTTCTGGATTCATTAATGCAGAACGTAGCGTCTGAGTGCATGAGTGGAGAGATGTGATATTCTTTATAGATCGTTCCAGTATATGCGGCCACGGAGAGTATGGAGAATCCGGAGAACACACAGAAGCAGCTGATGAATCCGCTCTTCGTGGCGATCGGCACTTTCATCAGCATGGCGCTTCTATTCATGATGGGCGTGTTATTTTTACCGAAATTGCCGCACTTTGAGCTGTTTAACGCGCGTGTGGCCGATGACGACTTCCAGCGTTTGACTGCCTTCGTGATGAATGCCATAGACAAACACAATATGTTGGAGAAATTGCAACACAGCTAGCTCTGGTATATGACAATCAAAATTATATTCCATGTCTTTTTACGTCAGAGTTCGAAAATACTTTCGAATAAAGATACATACACGTTGTAGTTCATGAGAAAATAGCATTTTTCAGCCAACAGCTGGAAAGTGAAATTACGCGCAGCAGGAAATTGCACAGAATATCCGATTAATATAATAAATAACTGATATTGGAAGACAAAAAGAACAGGAGCTGAAATGTATATTTCGTTGGTAATATTGAAGTATATATACGTGTACTATAATGAGACAAGGATGAATATAAGGAAGAACAGTGTCTGGATCTCGTTATGCATATATTACATCCAGACACGAAGGACTAATATAAGATCGATGTTAACAAAAGATACTATTTATTTATAATAACATTATCATATATATTATTTTATTTAAAAATGCGATAAATTTTTGTACATAAATATCGATAATGTAATCACGGGGATCATTATCGCTAACTAGAAATATATATATATATATATATCAATGAGAAAATACCATTAAGAGTACTATGTGAATCTATAAATATTGTGCTCTCTTTTATAGTACGCGTACTATTAGTTTACTAGTGAAGGAAGTAGAGATAAATAACGTACTCCGACTGTTTGAGGAATGTGGATGTATACGTGTGAGTATGTGTGCGTGAAATATATGAAACTTCTTCTACCTTGCGAGTGTACGTACCTACGCACTTTTCGTTAAATTTTCCGTCTTTGTAGCACGAAACAACTCTAAACGTTTCTCAACTGTAGAATCTGTGCAATGTCAGAAGAACGGAAGGGAAGGCACACTTTGGAACAGTATACATTAATTGTATGTTCCATCCCGTATTACTGCCTAACTATTTAATCGTCAGTCAGTTCGGTTGGCAGTAGAAAGGGCCGCTTGATCTGCCGCTTTCCTCCTCAATATTTGTCTCTGATGTTCGTACTCGAAGTCCTCCTCGCTTAAATTCAACCTCTGAATCTGCAATGTTCAATTACAATCGTATATAAACAAAATTGCTGTCTTTTATAATTTTAATTGAATGAATATTTTTATACCTCTTTAAAATATACAAAAAATAGTGATTTTTTAATTAAATCACTAATTAAATTAAAACACCAACTTAATTCAACTTTAATACTTTTTAATTACTACTTGGCTAGAAATATCTACTTTACTAACGGTACCTGAGAGAAACATTTACCTGATAAACCAAAGCCTCTTCCTCCATGATATGCTGAGGCGGATTTCTTAAGACTTGGAGAGTTTCGTATGTTGTCGGGCAACGTTTAGTAAACGACGAGCGGCCTAAACTACCTTTCAACAATACCAGACCGACTTTGAAAATCACTTTCACGCCTTCACAAAGGAACATGTCCCATACGCGCAAGATACTTTCCCACGGTAACGTCCGCGTGTAAACGCACAAGAACCACTCGGTCATGTACAAGATTGGATCCATTTTTTGTTTTTTCTAAAACAACATATATATTTTTACCCAAGAATTAGTCTATGATATGATGTAATTGCAACAGTCGTTCATTTCACTACAATCACCAAAAAACTACCCCAAAATTATTTTGTCAAGAAACAAAATATTTACTGACATTACAACTCTATAATAATGTGGCATTCTATTATTATGTTCATAAAAATAACCACAAAAGCTCTTTCATAATAAAGTTTTTCCACACAAAAACACTTGAAACAAGCAAGATTCAATTGTAGCAATATAATTACATTCATTTGTACTAACTAAATGTTTGTATGCGACAGGAGAGACTCTCTTAAGAAGAGCAAACAGGATATCCCCATCGCGCAATAATGTTTCCATGCCTTGACTATAATAACCAATGAGATACTTGTCGCATATAGCTACGAGGCACCAGAACGCCTGTACCGCTGGCATATGCATCAACAGGAATGCAGCAATGGGCGCTTGAGCTTGACAATAGCCTACTTTGCTGTTTAAAATGGAATACGCCTTGAGCACTTGGAATAGTTCTTGCTGTCCGGGTGCATTCTCGACAAACATTTCATGATGAGGGAACTGACGATGAAGATCTTTTTTAATGTCTTCTATGTATTTGGGATCTCCAGGCCTTTTGATAAGTTCTTCATATAGGTTCGGATTCTCATTCATTAACAACTGACCTCCACAAAGGTTTAGCCAAGCACGCAGTCTCACGGAAGGTGGTATACCTTTGCGGCATCTCTCACGAACCTTACGATAGTTGGTAGTCATAAAAACGCTCCAATTATTCAACATTTGTATCCATTTCCTTTCTCTTCGTAATATCACATCAGGTGATACAGCTTGCTTTCTGTAATTAATTATAGTTGTCACTAAAAGAATTTATTCTTATCTTTATAACTGGTATCAATTTCAATTGTTAATGTTCATAAAATCATTGAAGAGTACCATCTATTGACTGAAAAATGTTTAATTATCACTGAATAGTTAATTGTTTACTATAATATATGATTAGTATATTCATAACTTTAATAAGATTTCTACTTGCTATTTTGTTTGTATATTTGAGTTTACCTCTAGAAAGAAATCCATATTTAACATTGATAGTAAAAGATTATATAGTGCTACCTTTCAGGACTATATTGAGAACCACCCAGGAACCCATGGCGATCAGGTACAGTTGAGATTACTGAACCATGATATATACTACTAGCCTCCGACTCTGTTTCTCCATTCAGTTCCTCCTCATCGTTACGTGACACAGAGGCAGCCATAGCATCATTCTATATCTCTGTAAAATATTACTTGTTAATGTAAATATTGGTATCTAAATTTTAAAAAGCTAAATTTATGTTTTTATAATTATAATCATATGATTATAACATGTATTATAATTTTATTAGTCACATAACATTACATATATATAAAAGTTAATCATGGTACAGTCACAAGAGTTATAATTATAGTGATATAAAATGCATATAATTTTTTATAATTATCATATTATTAAAAATATGCTGCATAATTACTGCATTATTATCATGTATACCTCTCCTCTAGAAATATACAATTATATAGCATACAAGCATTACTATCATTAAATGTTAGTTTTTACTATTAAAATATATTGAATTGTTCAATCGCAATATGGTGAGACAAAAATTGTTTTTTTAAGAATTTATATAATATTCTGAATACAATGTTCCACGATAAATATATAATAGTTGCACAAAAAATTGTAAATAATAGGTTGAGGTGATAGTGTTACATTAAGAATTTACCAGATCTAAACACGGGAAATAATCACTCAACAATCCGCTGTTTGGTCGACAGGATGTCTTGCAATTGCCTCATCGTACACCACGCACCGTAGTGCGCATATTTACGCCTACCTCGCAAATGACAGTTTACGGTTGCGCGAGAATCGAATCTCGGGTCCACGTAGGGAGGATCGCGGCAGAGTCCTATTTCTCCTCTCATAAATATGCAGGAAGTGTAGCGAAATACAGTTCTCGGGTGCGCGTTGCGACGATTAACCCGTGAGAATCCTCGCGTTTCGGCTCACACAAAGGGGGCGTCCGAATTGACGAGGTATCCTCCTTTCATCTGCTTCTACGAAAGAACGCAATCGAATGCGCGACAAAACTGAACGCAAATATTTACGCATGCAGCGCGAGCGCAATTGCGAGATCCATCGGTGTGCCCGCGTGTCCACCGGAGATGGGCGTCTCTTTGCCGTAGGGGAATAACGTCAGACACCCACTATAAATCTCTGTCGAATCTGACATCTCGAAATATCACAGGAGCGTTCGCAATTATCACCTGCGTGCGGACGCGCCGCACTCGTACACACGCGTGCGTACTACGCACTCGTCGCAACTCTTCGCCGCCACACACCACGCCGCACACTTTGATATTCTTGATCACGAATTATATACGTACATCACGAATAATATATGTACATACATTGTGTCACGAATACAAATATGTATATAAATAATTACACTAGAGTCTGTTCTTTTTAGCTGCACCGCTGAACTGTGCAATAAGTTGGAATGAGAAAAAATATAGTCGTCCCTCTCTCTAACTTATTGTACTAGTTCAGCAGTGCAGCTAAAAAGAACAGACCACTGATTAATGAAGAACTCTGTAAAGGCTCGTCTACAATAGCTGTAAGAGTAAGGCTGTAAGACTGTAACGTAAGCTGTCAGCGAATGAAAATATTTCATTTCGTGCCTTGCAATCTTAAAGCCTTAAGGCTCGTCTACATTAACTGTAAGAGTAAAGGCTCGTCTACATTAGCTGTAAGAGTAAGGCTGTAAGGTTGCAAGACACGAAATGAAATATTTTCATTCGCTGACAGCTTACGTTGCAGCCTTAAGCTAAAGCTAAGATTCCATGCATGCGGTGAGCTGCGGCAAATGCTGCGATGACCAATCAGGAGGGAGGCGCAAGTCCGGTTGCGGCAAGCTCCAGCATGCGTCTGTCTCCTGATTGGTCACCGCAACCGTTTGCCGCAGCTCACCGCATGCATGGAGTCTTAGCTTTAGCTTTAGCTTTACTCTTATAGCTATTGTAGACGAGCCTTAAGACTGTAAGGTTGCAAGATACGAAATGAAATATTTTCATTCGCTGACAGCTTACGTTACAGCCTTACAGCCTTACTCTTACAGCTATTGTAGATGAGCCTTTACTCTTACAGCTAATGTAGACGAGCCTTAACGTTCCCAACCTAATTTTTTCCTCTTTAGATATAATTCGCAAAACCAAATCGCCAGAACTTACCAAATCTTTCCTGAACCTATCCAAACTATACCAAATTCACTGACAAATCCTGTAGATGCTGTATAGATCATTTCATTGGCTATAGAATATCTGAACGTGAACTCAAGCAGTCTTAAATATAAGATCCGACTATGAATATAGCCCTTACATAGACATAGCAGAGAGAAACCTGAGAACGGCCAACACGACATTTTCTGCAACATCGATTTTCCGCATTGGGAAAGGACGCCATCTGCATCTATTTTGAGAGGGAAACTACGATGCTACATCCACTTTCAGGTCTCGGTGGTAAAATCTGCATGTGGTGGAAGTCCGTGCTACATCCATTTTCAGGCGGTTTATGTCCGTGCTGCAATCACCATCTCTTGCCATCTCTATACCAGACTATGCCCGGAGGTCTAAAAAGAGCGGGTAAGGGGAGGGGGGAGGAGCAGGAAAAATAACAGTACGTATTAAATATTAAATCTTCGAATACATATTGCCGTATCAAAGTCTCCTCTATAATAAACGATTTGACATGTCTGGAGACGCATGATGTATCGATCCCTTCGTCCTGCTTCTCAATTCAGCATTCCGTCCGCTCCGGACATTCGCTCGTGGCACTGACGGTGGCCGTCGGTGAGCATTCGATCCGCTCGGACGAGCACGTGTTAATTAACGCGACGAGACTCCGATTATAAATATCTCGCGAGTCGACGAAATATTTGAACTTTTAAAAAAAACATCAAAGAAAATCACGTTGATGTTGTCATGGGTGAAATCTCACCCTGGTATATATTTTTTTATTTTCGAAATAAAAAAGCCAAACGAATGCAATTAAATGTTATTTATCATCATTGAATATTAAATGAAAAGTAGAAGAGTTATTGTCCGCAGCGGATAATCTCCCTGTATAAAATATCGAACTGAAACATATTAAAAAGTATTGACATTTTGAATATTGACATCTGAATTCTGCTTTCTAATCCGAAGAAAAGGACTAAAAAGTATTAGTTCTCATTAAATTTCACCCCTCTAAATGTGAGATGGCAGTGGTGAATGCTTCACATTAAAAATGATTCAATTCATTTCAAATATGCTTTGTATTCAATTGCAATCGATAATTTTCAAATACAAACTTTCATATTGAAAAGTATTCACTTCTTCTCCTAATTGTTTTCGGATTCAGAGGCATACAAGATTTTCACGTTCTATTCCCCGTCGCATTGAAAAGTATTGGCCCGTGATCCAATCTGAGATTTCCGCAAAGCAGAATTCACGACAAAATCTCGTGAATGCGAAACAATACTTTTAAATACGACATTTTATACAGGACATTTAATGAGAACGAGACAAAATTCGCATGGGATGAAATTCCTCTCTTTAACGCTACCATGATCTTTAATTATTCTCCGAAAACGGCGTCACAGCAACTTTGACACTCTGTACAATTAGTTGCTAACACATTTTCTAATCGTACACATTCCTCTTTAATTAACATAAAGCTAACAAATGTCCGATTCTTTGACAGAGTAATTTTCTTTATTTTCAGTAATCAATAAATAGAGTGCATCAATGTCGCGTACAGTTGAAAGACTAGCATTCCCTTCGTCGTTTCGGAACCTTCGAGAAAAGAAGAGACGCCCAAGGGCAAGTCTCTCTTGTTTCAACCGCCGCCGAGGCCCGCAATATTTACATCGCGCCGATTGTTGATCGGCTCGCGAGCGATGACACTTTTTGCCCTTCGTATTATAATACTCGCGCACCTCGTGTATTCGACCTCATTCTATCAACAGCAGCCGTGCGCGACGCGCTCGTCACTTCCGTCTCGTGTAATTGAAAGAAATGTATCTCGTCGGTCCTCGAGATACTCAATCGGCATCGCGTTGATTAACCACACGGTCGAATCGCGAGTACAGACATTAGAAGCGTGAGCGAGTGAAATCCGGAGGACTCCAGCAGCCGGGAAGCAGGATACCGACAGCAATACGTTACGTTTCCAGGTATGTGAAATAATTTATTATGTGGGAGGTCTTCGATAACGAGAGCGGACGTTTAACGAATTTTCCGGGAATAAGAAGTCGGAATTTCGCGCTCGGCATTCACAATCCGTTATCATCCGACTAGTAATCATGACTTTATGAATCTGCAATTAAAGTAAAAAAGTCTAATACTATTTTTTCTCTCGACGAATAGTTAGCGAGATATCGTAAGTTAAATGTTGAAAAAGTTATCAAGTTTCCCTTAAATATCTCAAAAAATATTAAGCAAATAAAAAATGTTTCAGACAAAAGTTGTTCAAATTAGTTAGTAAAAAAGGTGATATAATAAAAGATTGGGATTTTTATTTAAGAAAATTGATGATTAGTGAATATCTCGAAAGTGGCGTCATCTATAAACAAAATGCTATCGCTGTCTTATGTCTTTCTTCAAGCTAAACAACTTTTGTCTGAAACATTTTTCGATTTAACGCAGTGTTTTTGAGATATTTGAGTGGGTCCTTTAAAATGGGACACCCCGTATATATTGAGAGTCTCCTGGAAAGTTTTTATTTAATGACGGCAGAAGCGAAAGATCGTATGCCAAGAATTGTTTTTGTTATATAGATATATTCCAGAGGATGATATTTGTGATCGATCTAACAAATTATAAGATACTTTGGACACACTTTCCTCTTGTTGTGACAATCAATAATTTCCCATAAAAATTCTGTAACAATAATCATGAGAGATAATATATTCAACTCAACATTTGTATAAATTTCACTAATTATTTACAGTGAATGATTATCATACAGCAAAAGAAAAGTGTTCAGAACATTTTACAAATTTGTAAAATCGATCATGAGTGTCGTTTTATGAAAATCTCTTATTTTAACGTACATGAAAAAAAAAAGATTAATATACTATTGTTTTCAGTTGTGACATCAAACAAGAATAGTCACAGAAAGTTCCCAAGATCTGTAATATTTCAAAGAATGAAATAATATCTTAAAAAGACGCCGTTTTATTGACTCAATAGAACGTCAATAACATGTCACTTTGCTATTTGGAATAATACAAATCTTAAAGACTTGCGGTAACTATTCTTGAATTAATAAGACTCTAAGTTTAGAATATGAAATTAAGTCATTATAAAGCTAAATCGTGGTGATTAAATATAATTGGTGATTAAATATGAGAATTAGAGAAATATACAAAGTGTCCTATAATTATAACATACCAACTTCATAGGGGCGTAGAGCTAAGCGAGAGGAACGAAAAAGTGCTCTTCCATTTAGCGATATCTTGTATAATTTTTTAATAATAACCGCAATTTGAAATGTTGCTACAACATTGCAGATATAATAATGCAAAATATTGTTCTTACAATATCTCTGCAATATTGCACTGCAATATGCAATGTTGCAACATTGCAGCAATATTGCTGCAATTGTCTGTGCTGGTTATAAGTATTTTATATTTTTTATATTATAAATTATACATTGTAAGTCCGAAAAGACGCTCAACTGATGCTTGTAGTTAAGAGACCATGCCTATAAAAGCCGCGGCTAGACGCGGGCGCGTATTCAGAAAGAAAAAATCAAATCGTTAGGACGGTAGCGTCGAAGAGCCAAAAGGTTCATTCTAAGAACGGTCGTGTTTCACAGTTCAACCTAGAATATTTCAATCGGAAATCCTCACCGACAAAGCAAAACCAGAAAAAGGAGGTAAGGAAATAATTATTCTCGGGCCTTCTGATATCGATTACACAACATTTATTAAATTTCATTTGAAGCTGCAAGTAAATTCAAGTGAGCCTCTTCTTAACTATTCTTCCTTTTGTTAACCACATTCAGGCGAAAAAAAAATCCGTTATAGATATAGTATGAAGAATTCATAATATATATATCTGAAAGTAAAAATAATTCATCTACCGACTTATATTAATAATAATAATAATAATAACGATAAATCCAAAAAACCAAATTTTAACCAGCCTTTAGAGACAATAAATCTAAATATTCCTCCTTTAAACATTCAATATCTCAAAAATAGCTAAAAGCGCATCAAATTCGTGGCTGAATTATAAATCTAACTCGATGCATACTCTATGGCTTGTCTAAGACGTAACAACTCACACTATCTTCGATGCATAAATTCCGATGACCAATAGGAGAGCTCATTTCCTAGGAATTTTAATACGGAGTTAACTTTTCGTTATTGAACGAACTGTCATAAGAAATCTGAATGTCCGTTATTTTTCTCGACTTCTGAACCAGTGCAATAAATTGAAGCGAAACAAATATATTTTTTCTCATTCTAATTTACATTGCATTGGTGTGCGCTAGTTCAGAAGTTCTTCGAAAAAGAACGCATCCTGAGTTACGCGTTGCTGAACCCGCCATTACGATTTTAGTTGAAAATTTTAAATAACATCTCGTTAATGCAAAATATTCTATGGAACCAAATACGGGGCATCATGGTGTGGCAAGTCTGCCCTGTTCGACGCATAGACCTATAAAAGAACTGTGAGCGGCGTAGCGTGCAGTTCGGACGACGATACTTTGTCGACATTGCCTTAACGTACGTTATTCGATGCGGCAGGAGGTGGAAAGAGAGAGAGGAAGAGAGCTGGTGTGTGTACGCGACGAATAATCGTTTTCCCGAGGACACACGTCTCTAATACTTGTCCGGTATCAAAGCAGTCATGAAGTACATTTTGGTGACCGGTGGAGTGATCAGTGGCGTTGGCAAGGGTGTCATCGCCAGCTCTTTCGGCACTATTCTCAAGCACTGCAATATCCATGTGACGTCCATCAAAATCGACCCCTATATTAACATAGACGCCGGTACCTTTTCGCCTTACGAGCACGGTGAGTAGCCGACGTTCACATGTGATCATTTCAAACATTTCTCGTCGATTCGGAATACTTTACGAGAGGAAAGCACGAGAACGCCACGGCCGGATTGGGCATGAGGGAAGAAAAGTATAGCCCCATGACGTTTGCATGAGGGAAAAGAAAAGACCATCCAAAGTTCATACGGCATACTTTCTTTGAAAAATTCAGTTTTTCGTGCGAATTGAATTGTCGCATTTGCGACAGATTCGATTTCTGTGCTGTCGATATATGAAAAAGTGGACACTACGTCGATCGCAATAATAATACTCTCGTCCTGTCACCTGAGTTTGGGCCCGAGGAATTTGTAGTTTCAAAGCTTTATTTTCTATCCCTTGATAAACGTCCTGTGACAATTCCTTGAAACAAACGTAGATTAGATCTTCCATACTCTTTTCAAATTGATATGCAGGAATGTCACTTGTTTTTCGTTATCAACCATGAAAGAAAGAAAGAAAACTAAAAAACGCGTCGTTTAAGTAAGACAATATGATTTCGTCGTAAAATTGGACGAATATGATTTAATTCGATAGCCTGATAGATCTGCGCTTTATGGCGGTAAAATTGCCAGCCACGTGCTCGTGCACCGCCATTTTAGCGCTTATTTACTTGCGGTTCTTCCGGTTCGATACATGTATGTAGAAGTATCAATGTTATCCATTGATGATTGTCGACTACGCTCGCTTTGGATATTCATTGTGAAAGAATTATTCTGTTTTCCTCTTCGACATTTATTTTAATTAATGACGAAGATTGAATGAAATGATGCTGTTAGTGTAAAAATGTTTAAAGTTAATAGCCTGTACTCAGAGAGAAAATATCAAAATGACATAAAAATGACCGAATCATGATGAAAATATGAGTTTTCCTTATCATGTCATCATGATTTTCTGTTCTGCCTGGGTATAATTCCATCGATGCATATAAATGCTTGTTCTATACATAATATTTAAAACAAATTGGTTTTTTTCAGCTATACTTTCTGCATTTTAAAATAAGAAATATATATTTAGGAAATGCAGGAAGCATAATGTAAATATAATATTTTTGTAATTATTATGAAACATAATAATTGTAGAATTTTCTACACATATACACATACACATATGCATATATGCATATTGGTAGTATTAGCAAATATAATTGAAGTTTTAAGTAACAAATTCATCTAATACACTTTTTCTATAAGATCATGATTGAGTATAATAATATAGATGGAATTTAATACATCCAAAACAGTTAACAATATTATTTACTGTAACTGTTAAATGATAACCATAATAATTACTGGTAATGCATTATTTGTTCAATTTTGCATTTATCACTTATTAAATATGATCTGTAATATGTATTCTGCTTTTTGTTTTCTATTCTTTATCTTTTTCTGGCTTGAGACACAAGTTTAATTCAAAAAGAAAGAAGACAAAAAGTGAAGAACACATCGTAGAAAAAGCTTTATCTACGATGCAACATCCATGTTTGATATCCAATGAAACATTAAGCTCCCATTGTTTCGAGAAGATAAACATGTGGAGCTATTCGTAGAAAGAAAACACACTCATGTTACTGTCTTTGTACGGACTTCTGCATATACTTTTACATTCCATGATAATATGTTCCAATGAAAAATGTTTTTGTATGGTATAACAGGAGAAGTTTATGTACTTGATGATGGTGGAGAAGTAGATCTTGATCTGGGCAATTATGAGCGTTTTTTGGACATTACTCTCCATAGTGACAATAACATAACCACAGGAAAAATTTATCAACATGTTATTACCAAAGAAAGACGTGGGGATTACTTAGGAAAAACAGTACAAGGTACAAAATGTACCTATAATATTGTTTAAAAAATGTATACGTTGTATAAATTAATTAAATAGTTTTTTTTTTCCAAAGTGGTGCCTCACATCACTGATGCTATTCAAGAATGGGTAGGAAGAGTTGCAAATCAGTCTGTAACAGAAGATGGAACTATACCAGAAGTATATTGTTAATATAAATAAAAAATGTTTTAATATAAATATAGTTTTAATATAGTTTTAATATAGTAATATAGTTTTAATATAGTTAATATAAATAAAAAATTTTTGATCATATATTATTAAATAATGTGTTTTATGTGGAAGAAAAAAGGCTGATATTTATTTTTTGATTTTTAATTAAAAATTTTAGAAAACTTTAAAGACATCTTTCATAAATAGAAACTGAACACAAATGGACACATACATATAGGATCTCTCCTTTATTATTTTCCACATAACATACATAAAAAAAGAATAAAGGAAATAATTTTTTTTACTAATGATCTTTTTTCTATTATCTGTATATATTTATAAATATATAATTCTTTACAGGTTTGCATAGTGGAATTAGGAGGCACAATAGGTGATATAGAAGGAATGCCGTTTGTAGAAGCATTTAGACAATTTCAGTTTAGAGTAAAAAAAGAGAACTTCTGTGTTGCTCATGTATCATTGGTGCCTCAGGTAAAAGCATCCTTATTTAAATATTGCTTTTCAGCTTAAATTAGCTGTTAAAATGCTATAATTAATTTCAACAGAAAATCTCTACAATAAATCTTTCCAATAGGATAACTCTAAAAATATTTTTGATATATGTCCATCAAAAATTTTACTCAGTTTAGTAAATACTATATCCTGCAAGTCGTAAATCCTCTTTCTTAACATTTTATGCTTATTCGAGTATAAATATTTTTCAGCCAAAATCGACTGGTGAGCCTAAAACAAAACCAACACAATCTAGCGTGAGAGAATTACGTGGATTGGGTTTGTCTCCTGACCTCATAGTTTGTAGATCAGAAATGCCTATTGGCGACTCTGCCAAAGAAAAGATCTCTAACTTTTGCCATGTAGCTCCAGAACAGGTAATTGCTTGAAAAATATTTTCTTTATCTAACACGGATAATTACCAGAGAGATATCTTTGAACAAACAGACATTTAAAATGTCAATTATACAATACTTGTATAATCGTCACAAATATATTTTCGTACATATGGAAGAAATGTAAAGTGCAAAATTAATTACTTTTTTTATTGACCAGGTCATAACTGTACACGACTTGACGTCCATATACCGAGTGCCGCTTCTTATGGAACATCAAGGTGTCATAGAATTTTTGAATGATCGATTACAATTAAATATTGGAGTTCCACGTCCGCGTTGCTTTATGCGAAAATGGCGAGACTTAGCGGAACGCGTAGATCGTCTGCGCAAAGATGTTAACATCGCTCTGGTTGGTAAATATACAAAACTCGAAGACTCTTATGCGTCTGTTACGAAGGCATTGCAACATGCTGCCATTGAAGCCGGATATAAATTGAACTTGACGGTAAGATGTCGTATTTGTTTGAAATATGATTATGTACATGCTGCATGATCGTATTTTGTAATAGTATGATTATTGTAGTTTATAGAGGCTGCTAATCTAGAACAGGCTACAAAAACAGATGATCCTGTTTTATATCATGAAGCTTGGCAACAGCTTTGCAGAAGCAAGTAAGTATTTTAGTACAATATTTTTCTACATTCTGATTTATGTACATACGCGATTACTAGTTATACATAATTATAAATCATGTCATATATTTCGTAATAAAAATTATAAGAGTTAAATTGAATTAAATTATATAAAATTAACCCTTTGCGGTCGGAGCCGCCCGACGAGCGAGCGTCGCTGTGGACGAGAGGTATTGGTGCGCGTAGTAAAGAAAATGTACACGTTGAACGTTTGCGTTATAAAAACTAAAGCTTTATTTAAATATGAATAAACTTTTTGACAAAATCGAACAAAATTAGAAACAAACAAATTGGAAACAAACAACAAAAACAAATTTGGTTATGTTTATATATGACTCGTTTTGTATTCGTGCATGGTGTGGTATCGTTCGAAACAGTCACCTATGTGCAAGGCCGGTTTAACCGAACAAGTAGCACAATAATACCTCGACTCTCTTCTTCCACCTTTGATTTTCTGATTGGAACATACCACACAGTCTTTACTTCTTCCAGCATCATCTCGCTGAATAATATGTAAAAGGCCGTTCAGCTTTTCTGCTGCTTGGTCATCATCTCACGTCGTGAGTTTACATTATATGGAAGATAATACTTCATCGCTAAAGATCTCAAATTTCTTTCAAAGGAAACTTGACTCTTTAGTCTACTATACCCATGCGTTTGTTATCGTTCAGAAAGATAGACGTACGCGAGCCGCTTCATAATACGCAGCTGTAAACTCAATTGGGCGGCTATATGTCGACATGCGTCCGCAACGGTAAAAAGGCTTGGTCGGCTATTTTCCGACACTCGACTGCAAAGGGTTAACTCAATAAAAATTAATATATTACAAGTTAAATTATACATTTAATTAACAAGTGAAACTAGGATTATAAATTATATTAAATATTTATCATGTGCTTCTTGCTAGCGGTGTCATTGTGCCAGGTGGTTTTGGAAAGAGAGGGATGGAGGGGAAGATGGAAGCATGCAAGTGGTGTAGAACGAACGATAAGCCATTTCTTGGTATCTGCTTGGGTCTACAAGCGGCAGTTATTGAATTTGCTCGAAACGTATTGCACCTCGAGATGGCGAACACAATGGAAATCGATCAGAACACCAGTCATCCTTTAGTGATAGACATGCCAGAGCACAATCCCGGACAAATGGGAGGAACAATGAGACTTGGTAAAAGACAAACCCAATTTGTCAACAATAACTCTATCCTGAGTAAGTAATAGAGTCCGTCAATCGACATAAGTCGTGCACATTCTCTTAAATTGATATTTTTAAGTATCGATTTTCCTACAGAGAAATTGTATGAAAATAAAGAAGTTATAGAAGAAAGGCATAGGCATAGATATGAAATAAATCCGGAATATATCGCTGATTTAGAAGCAGCTGGTTTAAAATTCGTCGGTAAGTTACATTTCATTTTATTCAAACATTTTACTGAATAGTAATAAGAGAATAATGTCCTAGATATTATTTATGTATTATATGATAATGCTAATTAAGAACGTGATGAGTGTTCTTATACTTGCAGGCCGCGACGATCAACATATACGAATGGAAATTGCCGAATTAGAAGGACATAGTTACTATATAGCCACGCAATTTCATCCAGAGTATTTATCGAGGCCATTAAAACCATCACCACCATTCCTTGGCTTAATTTTAGCTAGTGTTGGTAAACTAAAGTATTACTTAGCACGGGGATGCAAATTTTCACCTCGTCAACTAAGCGATAACGAGTCAGGTAAGAGAAAGAGACCAATGAACATTTAGTATATGTAAGAAAATGTAATTGTTATATTTTTTTGAAATGTATGGAAACATGCATATTTTTGATAAACGGAAATTGACAATTTACATGAAAATACCGTTTACTATATATTTGTGATATGGTTTGCTGCAGATGATGAGTATGTGCTCGAAGGAATGACAAAGTTACATTTGTCAAATGGTGTAAGTAGAAGTGGTAGCAGTACATCAGGCGTCAATGACTAGAATCGATACAGTTCTTAAATTTTTATTAGCAATTTTTAATAAGATCTATAGCAGACTAGTCTCTCATTTATACATGGTTGTTTGACGCTACTCATACGTTCGTTCGTGTGCTAGAGATTATTAAAATGATTAAAGGAATCCTATATACTTGTTTTCCAGACAGTTTAAATATTTTTCATTGCAGTTCGATGCGCTATTGATAGTTCAATAAGAGAATTAAAGATCAATCAAAGACAAATTTTTTAATTTCTGTATTCCAAGTAACATAGAGAAAGAATTGTTTTAAAATAAAGTATCACCTGCATCTATTTGCTAATTTCCTTTAATCAACATCATTATAATAACCGTTGTTGAATGTAAAATCGCATAGGATTTTTATGTTTAATGATTCCTGCAGATTGTAGGCATCTGCAGACGAACGGATATATGAAAATTAGATCAAACACTTATATTAATGTTTTAACGATAGTAAAAAGAGAAAACAATATATATACTTAGTTTCAACACGATTTGAACATTTTTTCGATTAATTTAGAACAGCTTGTAGTGCAATAAAAGAAGAATAAGTTTAGAAATTAAAAACGTTTTTTTTTTTTTTAAAGATCACCGATATCGAAAAAAATAGTATTCAAACCGTTTGGAAATTAAGTATATGTCAAAAGTATACTTGTATCTCATTAATGTATCTTTGAATTGAAATATACATATACATACATGTGTGTGTGTGTGTGTGCGTGTGCGTGTGCGTGCGTGCGTGCGTGCGTGCGTGCGTGTGTGTGTGTGTGTGTGTGTGCGTGCGTGCGTGCGTGCGTGTGCGTGTGTGTGTGTGTGTGTGTATGAATGTATGTATGTAAAGAGAGAGAGAGAACGATTGATATTGCACAGATGCATAGTTGATATCAATTGTATAATGAGAGCTATACTTGTGACAGTTATTATTTATGAGAGATTTTATAGTTGAATGGAAAGTTAATGAAAACTTGTATTTCCGGAAAACTAATCTTTTTTAAAAAAGTTTTATAACGTACAAATAGATAGTATATCTATATTATTTTATAACAATAAAGATTTTAATTTTTTATCTCTAAAGTGAATAGTATCCATAATTTTTTGTTTTATGATTTTAAAGATTTTAGTCATTTTAAAGATAAGTTTAAAGATTTTACGAATTTCTTGTCTAAATTAAATATTCAAATAGTTTCGAACATTTGAATATTGTTTACATGATAATATTTTTATCAAATAATGATACATTATATAATGTGATTTAAAATATGTATCGGTTGAACTTCGTTAACTACTGTAAGTTTTATATCTTGTAATAATTAACCTTTAAGATAATCAAATTATTTTATAATAAATTAGATTACTACAAGTTTCTTCTATATGTATGTAATACATCAAAAAACCACATTCATCTCCAGTCATTAATGGCAAAAGGAATTTAATAAAAAATTAGATTTGTCTTTTGCCGATTAGAGAATAAGAGATTACAATTGTGAAACTTTAAAGACATTTTTGTAATCATAAAATGAAATATATTATTATATATATATATATATATATAAGTCGATTTTTCAATTATCCTCTTTTATCAAATTTATTGCAAAATGTCATGTAGTATGTAGTTTCTTGAATTTTGTTTATTCATAATTATAAAAAGTTATTAACTTTATGTGAACTTAAAATTATATTACATAGTTATATAAATACATAAAATAGCGCCACTCACAAATTTTTCTTGCACGATTAGACACAAAGTAAATGATTGGTTGGATCTAGTAATTTACCAAATAAAACTTTGCACCAATTGGTTATGTCCAATTGTGTTGCGTTAATTGGGAGCTCCCCGATATCATCCATTATTATATATAAGGCCGTGTTCCGTTTTACGCATATGCGTGCATTTATATATAGTTCATGTTACGTATACTGTAGAAAATGCGCGCATAATGCGTGAAACGGAACGCAGTAAAGTATGCCTTTCTACGTAGTCAGATTTCTATGACAATAGTTTCGATCTTTTACAAAGTATTCCCGCCAAATGTGGCTTCCCTGAACTGGATGTTTTGGTTACTGACAGATTTATATTACAATAACTAGAAAAGAAACGTCAACTGATATTATAGGGTGGTGACTTTTTTGCAACATTTATAAAAAAAAATTGTCAAAAATATATCATAAACGACAACAATGGTAAAGTTATAATATTCTACATATAGATATTAGATATTGGATTATTGTTGTTACTGATCATTACGAATTTGATGTAATATTCATATAATTTTAAAGATTTCTTTACATATATCATTACAAAACAAATATATATTTCTCTTGCATATATATATTGTAAAAGAAATATTTATATTTATCAACATAACAATATATATTTATAGTTATATAAGAAAAATGATCAACTTTGTGTAATATTTGATTTTTGTTATGCAAACTGTAAGAGTGAACAAAACTCTCCCATACATTCTGAACGAAACACAGAGGCAATGACTTCTCCTGCACCTGATATAGATGAACCGTTCGAAAATGAATCTGATTTACTTGATGGAGAAAATGAGCACAATAATGAGGAAGAAGAAGAAGGAGAAGAATTATTTGGAGATAATATGGAAGCGTAAGGATTTAATATTCCTCTATACATACATATATTCTCTCCAATAAATAAATAAATATATACATATATGTGTGTATGTATGTGTGTGTAGAAATTACAACTTATAAATAATATATAAAAATATTTATTTTATTTAAATATTCAGTGATTGTTAATTAAGCAAATATTAAAAAATAATGAGCATCATTTAAAACTACTTTGCATAGGCTAAAAATGCTTTAACAATATTTTATGATTCCATCCAAGGAAAGTAGAGTAAAGTTCAGGGATTTTTAACAATATTTTATTTCAATAGTGATTATCGACCTATGTCAGCATTGGACAGATATGATCCTAATCTTCTTGATGATGAAGAATATTCAGACATATCTCAAGGAGAACGTGTAGCTGCTGAAACTGAAATGCGAAAAAGAGATCGTGCAGCGGGTATTATAAGGGACGACCGTGATTTACTCTATGGTAATTTTTTATTATGTTTTGTTCAAACAAAAGAATTTTATTTGAAAGTATTAAAATTGAATTAATTTTTATATAATATGTTTATAATCATAGAGTATATCTAACAAATAAACTTTTAGATGAAACTGATGAAGAGGATGTACAGGCGCGCAAGCGACGTATGGCTGAAAAAGCTGCTGCTGGTATAATAGAAGATGCAGAGGTAACAACTTTTTTCATGAAATCTTGTGCATAAGTATATTGTAACAAGTTAATAATGGATTTTTGTTATATCAGATGATAGAATCTATTGAAAACTTAGAGGATACAAAAGGACATTCAGTAAAAGAATGGGTCATGATGCTGGGACCACGAACGGAAATTTCAAATCGCTTTAAGAGTTTTTTACGTACTCATACGAATTCGAAAGGACAGTACATGTATAAAGAACGTATTCGTCATATGTGTGAAAGTAATCAGGTACAGTATTGAATTTAAATATCACATAATCCTGATGGGAAAACTTTAACTTTAAATATGATTTTCGTTCGTTTATTTTATTTATGATACTTTAGAATCGGAATCGTTAGTATAATTTTATAATATGGAAATGTATCAAATGTACAATTTGTACTTATATGTATATTTATATACAAGGGATTTCTTGTTTTTTCTGAAAATGAAACAAACATTCTCGTTTCAAAACAACGTAACTTCTGATCTTGATTTGATGTTTCAACATCTCATAAGACTTATGTTTGTTTTAACAGTCCAGTTTTGTAGTGGAATTTCCTATTCTTGCCAGTAAGGAACATGTTTTGGCCTATTTCTTACCAGAGGCACCATTCCAAATGCTTGAAATATTTGACGAAGTAGCAAAGGAGCTGGTATTAACAATTTTTCCTAGTTATGAGAGAGTCACGTCGGAGATTCATGTAAGAATATCCGAGTTGCCGTTAATAGAGGAATTACGAACATTCAGGTAAGATTTCGTATTTAACTCGATAGTACTGTGATTCCACTTATTTAATATAAATTTATTTAATTTTAATTTAGGAATACACACACACACACATATACACGCCTAATATACAATACATAATAATGTAATTTTTATTTTAATGTAATAGAAAACTTCACCTAAATCAATTGGTCCGGACTCTTGGAGTCGTCACGGCTACGACTGGAGTGCTGCCGCAATTATCAGTGGTAAAATATGATTGTACGAAGTGCGGCTACATTCTTGGACCATTCGTTCAATCCCAAAACACGGAAGTCAAGCCAGGCTCATGTCCCGAGTGTCAGAGCATTGGTCCGTTCATGGTGAGTCGGAATCGACTTCAAACGAATCGATTTTTTGTGCATATCGTCGCTTTACTCAAATTTTTTTACATAATATAGTAGAAAAAGATGATAAAAAATGGCAATTCTTACCATCTTTTTCTATTGCATTATTTGATTTTAGTCAAAGAACCTTAGTCAATTTTTTGAAGCTATGTTTTTATTTTCTGAATCTCTGTCATCTTATAAAAATTATATTTTCACACATATACGTAAACGCATCGTTTTCCAGATCAATATGGAGCAAACGATATACAGGAATTACCAGAAAATCACGATACAGGAATCTCCAGGTAGAACACCAGCTGGCAGAATACCCCGCAGTAAGGACTGTATTCTGTTATCCGATCTCTGCGATCGTTGCAAACCAGGAGATGAAATAGACGTCACCGCTATTTACACCAATAATTATGACGGCTCTTTGAACACCGAACAAGTAAGATGCAAGCACGCGTTATAGTACATTAAATAATTATGACTTTTTGATACTAATTTGTCACATTAAATAATTATGACTTTTTGATACTAACTTGTCACATTAAATAATTATATTTTTATTCTCAGACATACAAACAGCAGCTGGCAAAAGTTGTAATTTATCGTATCTTATTTTGCATGACAGGGCTTCCCGGTATTCTCCACAGTATTGTTAGCCAATCACTTATTCGTCAAGGATTCGAAGGAGATCGTGAATTCGCTGACAGAGGAAGACATCTCGAGTATACTCGCTTTGAGCAAGGACCAACGCATTGCCGATCGCCTAGTTGCAAGCATCGCACCTTCGATTTACAGTCACGAAAACATTAAGAGAGCCTTGGCGCTCTCGATATTCGGCGGCGAACCGAAAAATCCTGGTACCATTTCTTCAAATTATATTATTAATTTATGCATCCTTTTTCTCTTTCTCTTCATTCGCGTCTGTAATACCGAATACTGACGTATAGGTAATAAGCATAAAGTTCGAGGCGACATCAATGTTCTGCTGTGTGGCGATCCTGGCACCGCCAAATCGCAATTCTTGAAATACGTGGAAAAAGTGGCACCCAGAGTAGTCTTTACCACTGGTCAGGGGGCTTCGGCCGTCGGTCTGACCGCTTACGTGAGAAGATCGCCCACTACCAGAGAGTGGACCTTAGAAGCTGGAGCTTTGGTCCTTGCCGATCATGGAATATGTCTCATCGATGAATTTGACAAAGTATAATTCACATATAACTTAATATAAGAAAGTGATTTATTTATTTATTTGTTATTGTATGGACAATATTCCTTTAAAAGAAGACAATCGTGCAAATATTATAGGCGATTCAGTTATTATCATCGCTAATTATAGTTAATTATAACTATTATTATTAATTATTAATTATTAATGCTAATAATAAATGATTAATAATAGTATTATTACTGGATAATTGTTTCAATCATTGTTATTTTAGTAGAAATGACAGCTTTTTTATGTTAACACACTTTTTTATATGCATGTAATATTAATATTTATATCTATATATAATTTACATCATGACTAATTCTAACGAGAATACTTTTGCCGTCATAGGCGCGTTACAATTTCCATCTTTTTCCAGATGAACGATCAAGACAGAACGTCCATCCATGAAGCAATGGAGCAGCAAAGTATTTCTATTTCCAAGGCCGGTATCGTCACATCTCTCCACGCCAGATGCGCAGTGATAGCGGCGTCTAATCCTATCGGCGGTCGATACGACCCTAGCATGACCTTTTCAGAAAATGTACGAACCTGTGGAACGGTTTAATCTCCGAGCGTTTTCTCAAAATTGTCACGTACGAAATTAGCAAACCGACATATTGGAAGAAATAATCAATATTATCGGAGATTATAACATTAAAAAATTATAATTACATAAACGTGCAATAGTGCAGTACACATGTACGTAAATATCACGTTATGTTATGCAGGTGGACCTGTCGGAACCGATTCTCTCGCGATTTGACGTGCTGTGCATAGTCAAGGACGAGATCGACCCCATGCACGATCGTCATCTGGCCAAATTCGTTGTCAATTCGCACATCAAGCATCACCCCACGAGCACGGAGAGAACACAAGCCGTAGAACTGGACCCCGTCACGCAGAGTTTGTGCATTCCGCAAGACCTTCTCAAAAAATATATTGTTTACGCTAAACAGAACATCCATCCCAAGCTGACTAGCATTGATCAAGACAAAGTAGCAAAGTTGTATAGTCAATTGAGACAAGAAAGCTTAGTAAGTCTCTTTAGAGTCTCTCAATGAATAAATTGAACATTTTTCAAAGAAAACACACGATAAAAAATACTAATATCATCATTAATCTTTTTAATTCCGACGTATTTTTAAAGATATATCTTTGAAAATAAGAATGCTTTTTGATTAATCTATATCGTTTAATAGAGCACTTTTAGAACACTTTTATTTCTTATACTTTTTAAAAATTTTTCTCACTGATACCATTTTCAAATGAAATTTTTAAAACATGTGCTTCTCTATCTGATATCTCTCTATCAAAATGTATCTATTAAATTTCCAAACTGTTATTTTATCATAGGCGACCGGAAGTTTGCCGATCACTGTTCGCCACATAGAGAGCATTATTCGCATGGCAGAGGCTAGCGCGAAAATGCATTTGAGAGATCATGTACAAGAGAGCGACATGAATCTCGCCATCAGGATGATTCTTGATAGTTTCGTCGAAACACAGAAATATTCCGTAATGAAATCCATGCGCCAGGTACTTTGCACCACTTCTATATTCTCTCGTTTGCGTAGTTTTATATCGCGACATCGATTCATCTTCGAATGTGTGCGTTACAGACGTTCCAGAAGTACCTATCGTACAAAAAAGATCACAGCGAACTCTTGTATTATATACTACGGCAAATCACATTGGACACTCTGGCGTTTCAGAAGGCTTTGCACGGTGGACGTATTGCAACTGTTGAAATTTCAGAAAAGGATCTATTGGAGCGGGTAATAAAGTCAATCATGTTAAATTCGTATAAAAATTATATAAAATATGACGTAATATTACTATTTTACAAGTTGTCTCCAAATAATTTAAATTGAAAGAATGTTTATTTTTAATAATTCCAACGCGTAAAGTTTGTACAATTTTTGTTCGTCTCTCTTAAGTCTATATAAAAAATAGAATTCGTTTTTCTATCGTATTTCATGTAATGTATAATATGCGTACCGTATCGCGTTATTAATGATATATTTAATGTTCTCAGGCCAAGCAAATCGACATACACGATCTGCATCCATTTTACGAGAGTGACATATTTAAAACGAACAACTTCGTTTATGAGCCAAGACGAAAAGTAATAGTACAGACTCTGCCCGAAGGTATTGAGGATTGATCTGAGGAAAGCGACATTATATTTTTGTACATGTATTTTGTATATGTATTTAAATCTTGTAACAAAATAGTATATATGACTTTTTTATCCAGCAATGTAAAACTTTTATATCGTTCAAGTGCCTGACAAAATAAGAATTAACGTACTATATCAACCGCGTATTATTATTATACAATTATAGTATAAGAGTCAAGAAATTTAGGAACAAATTAATATATAGAACACCAAAGTACATCCAAATGACTAACGCGAAATCGATTTCTGTAAACATATTAAGATTCACGCCTAAATATATAATTTATTTAAGTTAAAATGGAAACTCGCTTTAACTTGTAAAAAGTGTTTCCAACTAATTCATTAAATATTCTTGTTTATTTTTGTCAATACATGTTCCTAAATTTTTTGAATCTTAGGTCATTTATATAATTCTGACAATAAACCTGTCATTAAATATATTAAATTATATTCCTGACAAAGAGCAGCTATATCAATACTATCATAAGTACGGTGTGCATACAATAGTAGCAAAAATAATCGTCATATATTTAAACATTAACTTTATACATTAATCGATGATAGATTTTTGTATCATGCTCAATATCCAAAATTATAAAATTTTTACGAAAAATAATACTAATGCACTTGATAGAACTCATGCAGTATTCTCTTGCAATATATCAATGATAAAAATAATTTTATGTAAAGTATATATATATATATATGCAATGTATGTCATCATATATATATATTTATGTAAAAAAGAAATTAAACTTATGATATAAATCAAAGTAGCAAATTGTCTTGAGGCAATGAAACATGAGATGAACAAATGATCAAATTACGACAGTTAATATCCAATATCAAACGAATATATCTATCATATATATCTAGCGAGAGAAGAAATTGAGTTACAAATAATGTAATTTTCACATGTGAATTATATTGCTCTGTATAATATGAAGTAAATCTAAAGCAGCAATGTTCTGTATTTTTCTTTACTTCCATTTGTACTTCATACTTTCTTGAGTTGTTCTACTCAACATAACATGGTCATATAAGCCATTATCAATACAAAACAAGGTACCGGAGAAATTTTTTTTCCTGTACTATTGGCTGGAATTATTACTACTACTACTGCTACTACTGCTACTACTGCTGCTAGATAGACTATCACTGGAGTCTGATTCGCTGTCTGATGAAGAACTGCTGCTACTTTCACTACTACTTGTATTACTAGCATCACTGCTAGAAGAGCTTGAGTTACTGGAACTGCTGGATTCCTTTCTCATTTTCTTCCTGACATGACTTTTCTTTGTTTCTTCCTTTTGCTCTTGTCTGGAAATATCACAATATATTCATGTAAAAAAAGACAGAAATACACAATAATTTGATAAATCCCTATTATCAAATTGTATTTTTCTATTTCTAAAGTACTTAAAGACAGGCAAAAATTCAAAGCTTATCACAGAATATTTCATATACGCAGGAGACAAATTCAAACTACATACTCATTGCTTTCCTGCTGCTTCTGCAAGACCTTTTTGAGTTGTGCAGTACGAGAAGATCTGTGCAAATACTTTCTCTTTCCCTTGCATTCGTAGCTCCAGTGACCCATCTCCAAACATTTCTGGCAACGCATCCCTTGAGGATACGGATTCCTGTGAAGAGAACAAAAAATCAAAATCAGTATGTGACCTTATAATTTCTATTAAACAATATATATATATTATGGTAATTTGACATTGTAATATGTATATATATATATATAATCACACGTTATATCTATAATAGTCTAAATATATACATCTCAAGGTTAGGAAAGATTTCTCGAATTACGAGAATGGGTTAGGAATCATGTACTTACGTTTTCTTTAACATTTTCATGCCGTTCGTGCTCATTATTCGTTTTTTGTATAATTACACAACAAAAAATTCGATCGGAAAATCGACCGCAATTGCGTTCTCGACCTCGTGTTTTGAACTTTGTTTACATATCGAAGAACCTCACTATCAGCGCGCTCGTTTGATTGGTTGGTTCTATATCTGGCTCCGGTCTATAAGACTATAATTTCCACACGCCATTTTCCTCGCTCATTTAGTTATTAAATGCAGAATTGGAGAATGCTTTTCAAGCACCGACTCGACGAATAAACCGCATATTTATTGGCTGATGAAAATTAGCCAGAGTGCGTTCTATTTCGTTTAAAATTTAATATAGGGACATTCTGTATATAACAGCTGCAACTCTCTATTTAAAAAATTTATGTCTGTTTTCTAGATATGGCGGATTCGGATAAAAAAAAGAATATGATTAGCCAACATTACTTGAAAAATGTCGCTTCTACGAGCGATGCTAAGAATGTCGCTTCTAATTCTCTATTAAACACATATGTAAACAAAAGCATAGAGCTGAGTGTCATGAATGATGTAATAAATATGTACCAAAACAGCTTACTGGAGGAAGAAAAAAACTTAGAAGAAGAGAAACAAAAGCTGGTAATAAATTAATACGACTTTTATTACAAAACAGTATTTTTTATTAATTACATATTAAATATTAGATATATATGCAATTTGAATGTTATTAATTCCAAAGATTAATTATTCGATATACAATTATATGCACATTTATTTTATCGAATATAATCCAAATATCATAGGTTGTAATGTTCTCAATGAAATACGAATGCTTCTATTTTCAATTTAGGTCGATTTAAATGATCAAGTGTGGTCGCTAAAAGATTCATATTGCAATCAGGTGTGGCAGTTCTCGCGCGAACACGATTTCTTTGCCATCTTCCAAAATTATCCTTTCGTTACGGAAATCAATCATTACAAACAGCAGAGGGACAATTTCAAAGACGGTAGAACTGTAGTGAAACATTTATCTAGATAGCTTTATCGATTAAATGAATAAGCTAAAAATAATTATATTGAGCGTATAAAAAATATTTAGATATTCATTAAACTGAAAATAATTTTATCAGATATAGAAAGGAGTTCGGAGCTGATTGACCTCATAAATGAAGTCGATGCTATTAAAGCAGAGATCTCTAATCTCAATCGTGGAAAAAATCTCAAGCAAGATATAGAGAATGCGTTAGCGATCTTGAAGAAATTACAACTAATTTCGGACGATATTACAGAATTGCTGAGGTATATCCAGAAAATTTTCAGAATTACAAATATATTATGTAGCAATTACTGAGTCAATTTCATGTCGTTTTCATGTATAATTTTATCATTTGAAAAAAAATTGTTATAATTTTACCACAACATATTGCTTTTACTTCTTTCTTTCTCTCTCCTTATAGATTAATAAGCCAAGAAAAACCATCGTGCGATATTACTACATCGATATCAATGCCGATATATGATGAAATTCCTCATTGCGATAATAAAATTGCACGACATAAACATAATTCAGACCGCGAAAGTATGTGCGTTTACTTTATAATATAATTAATTTAATTAATTTAATTTACTTTAATAAATTAACTATGTTCTTAAGTTTATCAATTTGCCAAAATTCTGATCCTCTTGGAAGAAATAGAGCTAAGACATAAATTTTACAATTATTCTTACAATTTCTCTACCAATATTTTGCTGATCGTTCTCCACAGATTTAAAGAACAAGAAGACACGTGGAAATCAAAAGGGTCTGTCATTGAAAAATAAAGCGTGCTCGAAGGATGACAATTTAAATGCCACTGCTAACAGAAAACAAATGATTGCGACTCCTAAAGATTATCCACAATTATCCTTTGAAAGAAGCATCGTATTCAGTACGAAAAAAAGGGTCACCAGCGTACGTACAAAAGTACATAGAGTATCACTTTCTTTTCATTCGGTATTTTACATCATGTTAAAATGAAATAACGTAATATATTATAATAATAATTACAGCCTTCCAGTGATAAAAAACACAATTTCACTCCAAAGAAACGTAGCGATGTTTCTGTTAGATTCGAGCAACATCGGAAGCAGTAGTAATTGTCAATATTGTAAGCCTACCTGAACACAAATATAATTTAGAAATTATTATTTTCGCGGCGAATATTATAAATTCGTTCAAAAACGAATAATGTCAGATACTACATTCCAGGGATAATGTTAATATAGTGTTAATATAAATGTTAATATAGTGATACCTGAGGGAAATAAATATCGCATATATGTGAAAACGAATGCATCAAAAGGGTCATGCAAGAAGTAGAAAAGTGTGGGTTTCGGGAAAATATTTCATAATATATTTATATATTTAGAAATATTTATACAGCCTCTCATACATAATTACGTACACATAATGTACACCAGATTACATTTAACATTATATTTCTGGAATTATACACATAACACAATCGTGTGTTGCGCAATAGACTATTCAACAAATGTTATCCCAGAATAGCGTATTGTGCGTTTGCAACTGTCATATTAATTGTCGCTTGCAAACCACGTGGAAAGGGGGACTATGTGTTATTTATATATATATTTGTTTTCTCTTTTTCCTTTTTTATCTTTTTGTTCATTTTTTTTAACTGTTTAACAGTTTAATCGCATTGTACGACCGATTTCTTGGCAATTTGCAAGTGTGAATGATCCGATGGATTTTCCAGGCGTGAGAACTTTCATTACATACTCTAATGAGAGACTAATTTAAAAAGTTAAACGGTCGCCACGAACACATTATCGGACAACTCCGTAGAAACGTTAATTTAATTAACGAACAATACTCATCGATACATTTAGAATTGTATCTTGTACACTTGCGGTACGTATTAACATTCTTCTTATCTTCCTCTTGCAAGTTTCCTAAGTTTCTCTCATTTAGAATTGTATCTTGTATACTTGCGGTACGTATTAACATTCTTCTTATCTTCCTCTTGCAAGTTTCCTAAGTTTTTCTCATTGGTTCCTCAAAGTCAACCATCGAAATGAGAAGATTAAATATATCTATTCTCTTTGTTGGTTTCTCGTTTGATATCATATTCTTAAAGTTTTAACTAACATACCGATATTACATGATCTTTAATATAATAAACAAGCAATCTCAACAAACTGAGACAGTCGAATCAAAGCAAAGTTGCGGAAGTGTCGACGCGTACTTTTGTAACTCTGAATTAAACATATGGCATAGAATACATAAAAAGCAACGATAAATGTGTGCGTGTATATATATATATATATATATGCATATATACATATATAACGCAAGGTATAAAACTATACTATATTTTAACGCTAAACTTCGCAAAGGCCTCTATAAAACAGTAATTGTAAAAATGCATATTATTTCTTGCGCATCATATATATGCTAAGTAAATTATATCTTGGCGGTATCTTTAACGTAAATTTCCTTCTCCACCTCCTCTTCCAGTGCCGGTAAGAAGCGCGTTTTTGAACGAGACAAACGTCTTTCGAGCTATTCGATAGTTCCCGCGCAATCAGCAGTCCATGGCGACCGTTAATTGCAACTGCTTTATCCTACGATACAATAAAACGGAATTTTTTTTTCACTTTCAGACTTAACAGATACTCGCTTACCCGTTACAATCAGCAAGAACCTTAGCAACGTTCCACCATCACCCGACATGCGCCTTTCGCGAGTCGGACTTTAGTGTGTTCATCGCGCGATCTTCACGAATCGCGAGCGTGCTCGTCCTGCAGTCAGCAGTCGTCGAGATAATGAGGATTACCGAGCGGAATAGTCTCTGAGAACGTGCGTTGCAAAAAACACAAAAATAAAGTCATTCGCGGCCATGTCGACTATGTCGCAGGATCTCCGAGGAAGAAGCTGCGCGCTTTAATTGATACGCGCGATCGCGATGACCGCGTCCAGAGCAATACAACGAAGATTCTTGCGGACTCGCGGAACAGGAAGCCACAAGACACGAATGTCACACATTGTGTAAGGTGCGAGTATACTGTGTCTCTCCCTTGCGTTTGTTCGAAGCGGATGGATACTCGTAGACACACACTAATAGAGTTTAAATATAAAATATACATGCATATGTGGGGAGAAGCGGCAACATATCGTTAGATACACGTCTGCGCAAACTTCTCCGCAACGAGCGGATAAGATCGCTCGATCGATTAATCATCATTAACCGTACTTCTTTCTCCGTTCGTACTCCTCTTTTCTCTTCCAGTCACTTGACGCAACAAGTGGTAGACCATTCAATGTGCGACAATAGGATCGTCACAAGTCGTAACGTCTCGCAACATCGAACTCCTTCGTAGCCTCGCGTAGATCGAAAAGAAGAAATCAGGATGACACCCATAATCTCGGGATCGACCGAAGCGGCAGACACCGGCGGGGAAATATATTTCTTCCGATAAATGCGAGCAAAGTGAGAAACGAGAGAAATCAAGTGCGCACGAGTAGAGCAGAGAGACGAGTATGAGCTTATGAGTAGAGCGAAGAATGAGGAAACGTCAGTCCGACTGACACGATCGACAATATAATAGTATACGCGGGATCGTTTAGATAGTAGTAGAGTACAAATTCTTTCGCACACAGCCACAGTAGTTGCAACATCTTTTTTTTCTCTTTAACGACGTTCTAACAAGATACGTCCACTATCGCCCACGATCGCTCGTAATAATAGCGATCACTCACTCCGACTCACGGCGAACGCTTCTTGTGCACTTGTTTTTTTCTCCTTCTTTCTACCTTTTTCTCGCCGAACTAATACTCACGAATGGTACACAGGGAAATTTTTACACTTTCTCCGGACGTCACACTCGCGTAATCTCGTCGCAACACAGAGAAAAAAACTGATAAGTCGGCGGCTACTAAACAATCTAGCGCTCGAGAACATTCTACTGATACGCATCATTCGCACGCATCGTCTGGAAAATTTCTTGGCGGAAATATTCCTGCGCATCAACGGATCAGGATCAGGACTGTCGATTCGGCGCATGACAGTCATGATTCAATCTTGCACATTTATCGCTAAATGAGACTGCCTGGAGAACGGAGAATCTCGAGCGTGTGTGTTAATCTTCAATTGAATTAATTAAATTAATATCAATCGCATCAGTCCCCGCGCAACTTTACTGTCTCGCTGTAGTTATTATACATCGTCATTACTTCAATTGAATTTAATTCAATCGGAGACAATCACGTTTAGCATTAAGCGTGCGACTAACTCTCGACTCGACTTACTAGGTAAACCGCCGGAAATAATTGCGAGAACAATAAATCGGCTAGTTTCACTCGCAAATCATGATACAGCACAATATACACGACTACGTCATTAATCATATACAACTATATGTAGAAAGAGAGAGAGAGAGAGAGAGAGAGAGAGAGACAGACAGACAGAGAGAGAGAGAGAGAGAGAGAGAGAAAGAGAGAGAGAGAGAGAGAAATATAGTCTATTGTAACATATACAAAAGCGAAAGAGACCACGCGTGGAACGAAGAAGTCGACAAGCTATAAAGGCTCTATAAGAGAGTCTACAGGTTTAGAGGCGTTGTTAGACGCGAATCTGTATGTATGTGATAGATAATAAATTTATCTATAATCAGTAGTGTGTTGTGTTGTGTGTGTAACGATATCTTCATAAAGATACATATATATGTATATATACATATAATTTTACAATTACATTGGCACTATTTTTTTGTGCATAGTCAAAAGCGGAACAACGACATTGATATGAGAGAGAAAGAAGAGCGAATGAGAAAGCGAGGGAGTGTGTGCGTGACTGTGAGAGAGAAATAGAGAAAGAGAGTAAGGAGGGAGAAGGGAGAGAGAAAGAAAGAAAAAGAGTGAGAGAGAGGGAGAGGAAGAGAGAGAGAGAGAGATGAGAGACAGCGACGGAAAAAACTGATCGCTCTGTGTGGAACTTAGCAAAATATAATCTCAAAAAGGTGTTCAATGTGTCGTTCTCCGTTTCTTCACTCGAGTTTTGTTCTTTGTTTCTTCTTTGTGCTTTGGCAGCGCAATCTCTTTAATCTAATGAAAGCACACTCTAAGACGGTACAGTAGTGGTTTCATTTTGCTTTAATCGTCGTAACTACGAGAGACGTACCGTTATATTGAACAAAAAAAAATTAATAAAAAATCCGCTTGATTTTTTTTCTTTTTCCGCGGAGTTACAAAATACTGTCGCGTTGTTGTCTCTTTGACCGTGTATATACCACCACGTTTTTCAACAATTTCTTCAACACGGCTCATACGAGCCGTAACATGGACTCAAACACATATTTTATACGCTTGAATACTTTTCTTTTTTTCTTCCTCACGTGTATATTCGTGTCTGTATATTATAATTCGATTCAAACGGAGTTGCTGATTACACCGTGACAGTCCGTACTATTTCGTAGCGATACAATTGCACATGGAACTCTATCACCTTCTTGCTCTATCACGTGAATTTCGATCGAGTACACACAATCGTCGCTAATTATTGCAAATTACTTAACAAAAGTAAATCTAAATTTAACATGATATCGCGCATATACAGGCGTTATTTCTCATATATAGATTAACTTCTGTCTCTGTATAAGTCTTACTTTCACAGATATATATATATATATATATATATATTGAGTGTATATACTTTTTGTCTCATGACTGCTTGAATTTATCGGCATACAAAAGGAAAGACGAAAACAATGCTATTGAAATTAAATACGGCCCGTTGAATTAGATGAGTAGCTACAGTTTTACGTTTCAGAGGAGTGTGTCTTGGATCGTCAAAAACAGTATTGTATATGATCTAATAAAGTATGACGCATATATGGATAAAAAAAAGAAAAAAAACATGTACCGTACGCAACATTTGTAAAATGGAAACTAACGCGTATCGACATTTGTTCTATGTATATTCGCATATTCATAAACTCTCGATTTAATATTTTTTAGTAAAATATTTCTTTCTTCTCTCGCTTTTTTTTTTATATGAAGTACATCTCGACGCTTTATTAATACAATGAACAATATCATCGATGCCGATTCTTAACGTTTTCTTTTTTTCATCTCTTTCTTCGTAATAGTTTCTACTTTAAAGATCTTGTCTCACATCTTTGTACTTATATATATACACAGTAGTAGACAGGACGTTTTTATTATGCTCCTTCGCGAAGGATATTCCCTATGTCTGCGTAATTTTGTCGTTCTATCGTAAAGAAATTATAACTTAATTATAGCTTGAAAAATTCGCAAGCTACGTTTAAATAGGCATTTACTTTGCCATATTAGATGAAACCTTCTGTGAAATTGTCTGTGAAATTTGTCGAGTTTAGTTTTACTAAATCCAAAGATAATTGCAGTATACTTGAAAATATTTCTCGTGATATTAAATCACGTCATTATGTCGTAAAGAATTAAAATGAACAAGAATCACGTTCACAATTTCTTTTTGAGCTCGAAGCAATGCCGAAAACTTTATTCGTTTCAAATGTCAAACGCTCCGACGCGATAAAAACAGAAAATAATACAATAGTCGTATAAAATATTCAACGCGACTCTAGTGCGTTTATGCACAATTTGGAAGTTTCACATTTCGGTAGGAGAAAACTTCGTCGCCTTCTTATTGCGTCATGCAAAAATATATTGCTCCTTCGGACGCTAAGTCCAAATTCCATCAGCGACAAATCATACCTTAACAAAGCACATAAATACAACGCGAACTAATACGAATACAGTCGTATAAATATAGTTTATGTATAATTATGTAAATACGGCTTCTTCCGTAATTTACGTTCGCTGAAATTACGTGTCACTGCATCCAGATATCTAAAATATCGTAGAATTGCACAAGCTTTAAATCTCCTCCGTTCGCGAGAAAAACACCTGATTCAACGCTAATTTCGTGTACGTATATACCTGCGCGCGCGCGCGCGCGTGTGTGTATGTATGTGTGCATGTATATTATATATTAATATATAATATATTATATTGTTATTATATTGTAGTGTATATTATATATTAATATATAATATGTACACATTACACATTATTCTGTTTCACACAGAGAGAAAAGCGTGCATTCTCCGCCTCTCTGGCCGAAGAAGCGAGGAACAATGAAAACATTTTCACATACGCGTATACACACACATGTATACACACGCACACACACGCGCGCGCGCACACACACACATACACACACGCACACACACAGATGGTGCGTGCGTATAACGCGCGAGCACACGTTGTTGCGCGTTCCCGAAAAGCGAGATCATTAGAGCGAGAATTTAAGTCGACAGATTTGATCCGTACGAAAGATCTCTCCTCGCGTCGTTGTTAGTCTAAGGACAGTCTGTCAGTCGCTCCCTCGGTAGAATTAAGAATCGACATCCGTGTGACATTGCGGCGCACGAGGAACGTGCGCACGAATCGGCTCAATGGCTTGGTTACATCGCCCGGTAAGGGCCCTGCATCTTCAGGAACTGTATCACCATCGCCGGGCCACCGGCGACGATCTCCGGCGGCATAAGGGACAGTGGACAATTGTCGATCGACATGAAGATGAGCTTGGGGCACAGCGCCAGCTCGAACGGCAGGTTGTGCAGATTCGCGTTGTCGTTGATATGGAGAGTCTCCAGGTTCTCCAGCGTACCGATCTCCTCGGGCAGATAGTTGAGATTGTTCTCGCCGACGCTGAAGACCGTGAGATTCGTCAGGTGGCCGATCGCGCGCGGCAACGACGTCAGCTGGTTCGACTGCAACACCAGCTGCTGCAGTTCCCGCAGAAAGCCGATCTCGTTCGGCAGCGACTCGAGCCGGTTCTCTTCGAGGTCGAGCACCCGGAGCTTACGTAGGTTCGCTATGCTAGCTGACAGGCGCTTCAGTAGGTTGTTGGACAGTATCAATACCTCGAGATTCTGCAGGAACTGTATGTCGTCCGGGATCTTGGTCAACTGATTCGTGCCGAGATTTAACTCGACCATGTTGACCCACGTGCCGATGTCCAACGGCAGCGCCGTCAGCTGATTGTCCCTCATGTTGAGCTTCGTAAGCTTTTTCGCTCGCGAGAAGATGCCGTAAGGTATCTTGTCGATCTGATTCTGCTCCATGCTGATGGAATAGATGTTGGTGAACTGCGACGGACCGCCGCTCGGGTACGAGGTGAAGTTGTTCCTGGAAAGCGTGATTGTCGTGAGGTTCGACAGACTGGACAGCAAACCGTCCGGCACCTGCGACACGTGATTACCCTCCACGCTAAACTCGTCCATCAACTTGCAGTTGGACAAGGACTCAGGGATACTCGTCAGTGCGTTGTAGCGGAGCCCGAGCCGCATCAACAACACGAGATTGCCGATCGAGTCGGGTATGTCTAGGAGGTCGTTGTGCTGCAGGTCCAACGTGGACAGCTGCACGCACTTGCCGATCTCCTCAGGCAAGTGGTCCAGGTGATTGTGGGAGACGTCAAAGGTGTGCAGATTCAGGAAGTCCCCGATGCCCGATGGCAGCTCCTTGATCTTGTTTTCCCGCAGGCTCAGTGTGGCGAGGTTCGTCAAGTTGCGGATGTTGTCGCTGACGTATTTGATCCGGTTGAAGCGCAAGAACAGCGTGACGAGCGACTTGAGTTTGTACACAACGTCCGGTATCTCGTTCAACTTGTTGTGCCTAAGATCTAACACTCGCAAACGCTTAAGATTTTCCAACGTATTAGGCAGGCTGGTGAGTGAGTTTTCATTCAACGCCAATGTCTCTAGGTTGGTCAAGCAGCCGATTTGCGATGGCAGACTCACTAATTTGTTGCCGTACAGGTAAAACTCTTTCAGGTGCGTGAGGTCCCGTACCGTGCTCGGTAGGTGCGTGATGCTGGCTTTGCTGAGGTCCAGCAGTTTCTTGCACTCGTCTCGACAGCGGACGAACGCCTTCGCCACGTCCAGATTAGCCTGAATCGGCTTGCCCTTCTTCGTTGTGGGTTTCGGTTTGTTCGACTCCGGACGTTTCACGGTTACCATTTTCTTCGTGTCGGCGTTGCTACAGCCGCTACTACCGCTGCTGTTAATCGAAGTGGCCGACAGCTTCTTCTCCTTGTCGCGCATCTCCATCTCCTCGGGCATGTCGACGGACGTGCAGGTGGTCAAACCACAGCCCTTCAGGTACTCTGGTACGTCCTGTTCCTTCATGTAAAAATTCAGTAGACTGCCGTCCCTGAGGTCCGCGGGACAGTCACGTTCTGCCACACACAGCCTCGACAGACACACTATCGATATGTTACCCACGTTCGTTTAGTTTGCAAAAATTTTTATTTAAAACCTACACCCGTCTCGTCTCCCTCTGCGCGCACACACGGCGTTTCCTAAGATAGGATACGCAGTACACACGTACGCACACATATACTGGCAGGGATCAGAAAGAGAGAAAAAGGGGAGAGAGAGAGAGAGGGAGAGAGAGAGAGAAAGGGGAGAAAGGGGGTGGGAGAGGGAAAGGGAGAGGGAGAGGGGGAGAGAGAGAGAGAGAGAGAAAGAGGCGATGGTTCTTTCGCTCGCCCGCCCCGCCCGCGCGAGATAGTCGTAGTTGCCGTTGTAGGATCTCACGCACTGCGAAAACACGTACCCTGAAGAATCGTGCCCGTCGCCGTCGCCGTTCAGAGCATCGTATCCTGCGCGTGGTACGTAGAACGCGCGACCGTAAAAATCAAAGCTCGTGAAGCGCGACCGCCACTACCGCGAATAGTATTGACATTATTGACGCCGAGAGCGCTCTGTGGTACCGCGTACGCGCACGGCGCAGGCGCGCGTCGCGCGCGTTCCCAAAGGCATCGGCGCGATGACTGTCAAAGTACTTTGAGGTCGCTGTCGTACGAGGTCGTACGCGCGATGAGAGACACATATAGAATTGCTCGGTTCCGAGATTCTTTTCAAGTTTGACCTGATCCAACGGTAGAAATGTTGCAAATTCCGCGTTTTCGAGTAATTAAGCAAGCTCATCGTCGATCTAGCGGTGGCACTCAATTGCGACTATCGGTACTCGATCCGTTGTATTCCGCGACATCTTCAGACCATTCGACTTACCGAGTCAAACTTCGCTTGCACACAAATCGTGGCATCGTGCGCAAGATGTTGCAGAGGTTCGGTCTTACCGTGACAATCGTCGCGCGATATAAATTCGAACTCGTCGCTCGAAAAGTACCTCTCGGCTGCTTTCGCTTCAACGGCATTTCTTCTCTCGCCTTCTCTTCGTTCTTGGCTCAATGACTCGCGCGCATTTCAGCGCGACAAAGAATGCAAGGCATATACGTGCAAACAGACGACGATACATACGCTCCGCCGTTCGACTTTCAAAAAAAGACGCAGCGGCGAATCGCGTCGCACGATCGCAACGCACGGCGCTCGGTGTCCAATGGCATAGCCGCGTTTTCTAGAAACTAACAGTCATCGATGAAGTTCTTATGGCGTCCGTTTGCTCATTGGTCGCGTCTGGGAAAGAGCCGCCTCGAGGTTAACGGAAGACCCACATCGCACGGCTGATATCCGGTGTACACAAATGTCAGGTGGTCGGTGTGGCGCTGTGACGTTCGTTTTCGGCTCGGCCACGGCGGAAAGAGCGAGAGAAAGAGGGAGCGAGTGGCGATGCGTTGACCAGGCCGCGGAGAGAGAGGAGTGTCCGCTTCTCGAATGGTGAACGGCCATATTGGCTCAGCGCAGTGTTTGTTTTGCGGTGGGAAGGTGCATTAGCGGCACGCATTCGCAACCGCAGCCCGTCCTGACCGTCATCGGCGAGATACGCCCGTGGACGTCGCCCTCGCCGGTAAACCTGACGCGTGGCTCGCACGAGTGGCGCACGTCGTCGTCATCGTCATCGTCGTCGTCGTCGTTGTCGTCGTCGTCGTCGTCGTCGTCGTCGTCGTCGTCGTCGTCATCGTACGTTCATTCTCGCTCAGGCGGCGCTCCCCTCCCCCGCCACCTTTGCTCGGAACCATCTCCATCGTTCTCCCAGTCGGTCCTTCTCTTTCCGCCCCCACCGCCCCCGCCCACTCCCCCGGGCCACGGCCCGTGCGACTGACTGCTGGGTATCAGTCGTATACGGGACACGGCGAGCTCGAGAGTGCTGCACCACTAACGCCACCAACGCCATGGCGTGCGCCACACTCAAGAGGTCCTTGGAATTCGACCCGGTGCACAGCCACGGCCGGCCGAGCAAACGACGGAGATGCGTGCCCATGTGCGCGGTGTCGCCCGGCGGCTCCGCCATCGTCAGCCCGTCGTCGTCCCGTGGCAGTCCGCTACCGCAGAAGGAGTCGCCATTCGGCGACACAACCAACAAATTGACGCCTGGTAATTACCGCAGGCCACGGCCATTTTCTCTTTCGCTCTCTATCGCTCGCCGTCATCCCTCTCTCTTTCTCTCTCTCTCTTTCTCTCCCCCCTCTCTTTCCTCTCTGTCTCCAGCCTGCCCGTCTTTCTCTCTTTCTCTCTCTCCCTCTGTCCTTCTCTTCCTCTCTTTCTCTGTCTTTCCCTTTCTGTTTCTCTTTCTCGCGCTTTCTCTCCTTCGCCGCTTTATTTCTCCCTTTCCTTTGCGCGCATGCACACCTTTTCTTGCGTGGAGCGAGAACGATAAAGGTGGAGAAAGACAGAGAAAGAGAGAGACGAAAGGAAGGAGAAACGTCTAGAAGGGGCGGTTTAAGCTCCAGCGATTTAAAACCCGTATTCTGGAGATCCCAAGGGAGGGGGAGGGGCATGCGTAAATCATATGGTAATGTAATAACGGACGTTCCTCCTTGGAGATTCGGCTTTTCGCCCTGTTTTTTTTTTCTTTTCTTATTTATCTTCATGTGCAAACGGAAGCGCGCTGCTTACGTCGCCGAAGATGCGCAACATCAGCTAACATACAACGCAGTGGATTTTCTACTCTTCTGCACGTGGCGAGTGTCATATGTGGTGACACGGCGTTTAGGGATCGTTACGCACGTTAGACATATCGTCTTATTTGTCTATCTTGTGGTTATCGTACATTCTAGAAATAACGTTCAATTTTTGCAAAAAGATTCAGTAATTTGAGGGGGGTTGTTGCTCGGGTTAAAGTGTCCGTTTTTTTTTCCATTAGTTTTAATATTTTCTAAAAAAACGAAGAAACAAGATTTTTTGTTTATTTTAATGTATCGAGTGTTTTAAATCCCTTGTTCAGCCTCTTTTTAATATTTATTATGCCTGAGAGACAAAGAAAGAGAAAGAATATGATGCATAGTTAGTATATATTCAATTTAGCAACAGATTAATTTACTCACATATCTATAGAACAATACCACAGATATATAAGTTTTTGTAAAATGAAATGAAGAATTAAAATATTTTTCTTAACTTTAAAATCTTTGTATTATTGTATCATTCTTGTTATTTTATTTTTTCCATCATTTTATTTTTCTATTTGCTGAAAAATTTTAATGAGTATACAAAGCAAGGAAATAAAACGTCACATTTTCTTGAAAATTTTTCTGAAAATTCTTGTTTTTTATATTCATATAAATATTGTATATATTGGGATATATTCCATTGAAACATAAGCTCCTTTAAACAATGTTATATCTGTTTGTACAGAAAAAATGGCTGCCAATATCAGAGAAGAAATCTGCAGAATGCAACGGCGTAAGCAGTTAAAATTTCCACAGGCTAACAGTGGTGATTCATCTGACACAGAGGCTCCTTCAACTTCAGCTGCCTCTTCTGCAACTCCTTTTAGTCATAGTTCTAGTGGCAAAGAAAAATTGGAAAAACCCCTCTTCACATTTAGACAGGTAGAGTACATAATCGGATGTATCCGTCGAGAAAGATAGGAGAATATCTTTTTGTGTATACCACCTCTTTCTCGATATCATCAGAGATGAATGTTGATTGATGTCCGTGGGAAGTAAGCATTGGTCTTGTAGATTGGCTTATAGGTTGATTTTATAGGTTGGTTTGATTTGCGAACGAATGCTCAAGGACCAGGAAACGCAAATTCGAGAAGAGTACAATCAGATTTTACATCTAAAGCTTTCCGAGCAATATGATGCATTTGTTAAATTCACATACGATCAAATACAAAAGAAATTTGAATCTGCAGCTGCACCGAGTTGTAAGTATATTTATTATTTCTCAAGGATAAGATTATACATAAAATATAAATCGTACGTGTCTCTCGTTTTTATTGTTGTCACTTCGTAATTTCTTTTGTTCTCAGATCTATCATAAGAAAGGATTCTTATTTATAAGGAGATACTTCTGTGAAGAATATTAGGTAACCACCATTTTCACAGACACAATTTTTTTTCTTTTAACAAGAGTGCAAAATCTTAGAGTAATGAAATATCATTAGAGTTTTTTCTGAATTGTTTTTGTGCAATAAAGGGATATGTAACACTTTATCATGTTGTAGATTTATACTGTGTGAGACAAATTTCGTTTGCTGCTGAGGTTCGCAGCGCAGCCTCGTTTCGAAAATCACCTCCAAAAAGAACGATAACAACGGTTTCAGCCAAGTGTCCTGTAAAAAGAAATGAAAAAAGAACTAAAAATGGCGACTAGCGACGTAAGTTCGTAGAGAAGAGAGAAAGAAAGCAAGAGAGTTTGCGCGCGCGCGTGCGTGTGTGTATGTGTGTGAGTGTGTACGTATGAGTATGTGATTTGTGTGTATCGCGATGAGCTGCAAACATAACTACGAGAATCTACCTAATGTATACCTTCGAGACTAACACAATATTTGTACTGTTCGACATTAGAAGTGCGCTGGTATCAGGGAACTGTACTAGAAGAATTCTACTTATGTACAAATGTTATTACGGTTGAAAAGTATGACACGTGTACACAGTGCAAGACTATGGTATGGGAGACAGTGGTGGCATGTAAAATGTACGCCAATACATTTACAACTGCATATTCAAAATCGTTAATCATCATGCGCGAAACACATTTTGTCCAACACTGGTGCTTCGTACGAAGGCTCGATATCCTTCGGTGGAAGCGGAGAGAACGCGAGACAGAGATCTTCCCAACTTATCACGAACGTCTGTATTTTTCTCTCAGCTCGCTTTCGGGATGATTGCGGAAATTCTGGGCAATTTTACTTTTCCTGCACGTTTCGATAAAATATTGTGCATTGGACGCTGAATAAAATGCTTCAAAAAGTAACTCTTTCGGTTGCTGCGACAATTTGATATTGCTTTGATATTGCTCAAATATATACGGCAACGAGTGATTTTCCCGCGATGTAAACAACGCGCGTAATGTGTATAACCTGCGAATTTCCAGAGAGAAAACTATAAACGTACGTGCACAATGGAAAAGAGAAGATTGCCTTTCTCGAAGTCTAACTGGCTCGACGAGGAGCGTGACGAGTGTTTTGAGGTTCGATGTAAGATTATTATGCAAAATTAGCCGGTCGAATCGTTCTTGTTTCACGAATTATTTGTAAGATGTAATACGAAAGTTATGATACATATTTAGCGTAACGTGTAGCGTAACTTGTTATAAATGGATGGTGAATTCGTTTCGACTGGTTTTGCGAAACAACGAATTCACTTCGAATTCTATCGGAGAGATTTTCATTTTGTTTTATAGAAATAATCGCGCGATATACGCTTCGTCGTTTCGTGAATCAAATGTATGAATTGTAAAATTGGTATTTATCGCGATTGTGATTTTCATTTTTTGCAAATTACTGGAAATTCTTTATAATAAAAAACGAAAGAAAGAAAGGATCTCATTTAAGGTATAAACGTGTTGAACGAGCCGTATAAAAAAAAAGCGTCGAGATAATAAGTAGGCTATAGTAGGCATTGTATGAAAGCATTGTGAAACGCATAAGTATTTGGAATAAAGATTTCATAAAATCTCGTCGGCATTTCTGTTCCCTGGTAGCAACGAATTTCTGTAGCGTAATGGAAAAGAAAACGCCGAATAACGAATACAACTATAACTTTAACTATGCCTGTTACTAGATATGTCTATATATTATAACTGCTATTATCGTTTACTCTCTGTTATCATCGTCGCAAGGATGTTCTTTTCCTCTTTTTCTAGTTTGTAGCGATTCTTATTTTGTAATGCGTACATTTGCGGCGATACATGTTTTCTTTCCTTTTTTTTTCCGGTTTTTACTTCGAGAAAATGCGATTCGCGCGCGAGTGAGAATGAGATTATCCTGATGGCGTGTACATTTTATAAAACGTTAGGATATTTGCTTTTTGCCGAAAATAAAAGAAAAATGAGAAGAAACATTTGAAGCGTTAAGGATCCGCCGAGAATTTTTGTTACGATTTCTAAAACGATCCGTGCGATCGACTATGCCGACCGTCACGATCGAAGAAACGATCTATCTCGTATGAATTCGAATTACTACATACTGCCTTTTTCATATCATGCAAGAAGAAAAAGAAGTCTCTCAGTTACCATATTTTTGCGAGCATCGTACCGATGGTGTTCACGCATACATATGTGTATATATATATGCACATATATACAGTAATATACATAGAAAAAAAAAAATATATATATATATATACATGTTACATCGAGTGTCTACTGATCACCGAATGTGAAAAGGAAACGCGAGACACAAAGAAATATAAGCGAGTTCGATTATTGACGCTGAGTGATACTTAAAGCTCGATAAATAACATTTTACTATCGACGAGTGATTAAAATACACCTAAAAAAGCGACCGCTTGAAAATTCAGGGGATTTTCTTTCGACTAACGGATATTTCCGTGTTACACACATTGTATAAGCATCTATCGAAAATAAAAATAAGCTTAAGACTGAAATCTCTGATTTATTTGTCCCATTCTAACGAAACTGTGCGACTTTTAATTTTATTCCAAATTTATTGTAATTGATAATATATAAAATCTCTTAGAATATTCAAGATAAATATAGACCTTTGTCAGCTGATTTATTAAGGAATTTATTAAGGAATTGTCCCGCAAACTGGGACGTTCGTCTTACTTTCCAGTCGTTAGCTTCCGCACGGAAATGTCGTTCTGCAAAGAAGAATGATGTTACAAAATATTATCGACCGACGTCATCGAATGTTCATGATTTACTGAGCGCGGCGGCCAAGAGCATATACGATGATTTTCCACGTCATATAACTCACAATCCTCTTAAAATCAATTCTATAACGGCATAATCCCATTAGAGTGATACGGCTTCGAGGCGAGGAAGCCCCGGCGAGACTATATGAAGATCCGTTCTCGCGCTGTGGGATGTGTCACTTCTGGGCGGGAAACAAATTTCTGCTAAAACACTCGTTCGTTTAGAGAAAGGACAAAAACCGCCAAATTTACAGCGCCAGATGTTCCCGATATTATTTTTGGCCTACGTCGTAGCCGTTAAGGTATTCAAGAAGACCACTCCTAATGGTGAGTCTAATCGATAGCCTCATGGCTCCGCGTGGAATTTTATCTCCTTCGTTGTGTCACTCGCTCGCTATCGATATCACATTCAAATACATTACCTAGGCAAAGTCACGGTCTACCTGGGCAAAAGGGACTTCATCGACCATCTGGACCACATCGAGCCTATCGACGGTGTGCTCGTAGTAGAAAATGACTACCTTCAGGGACGCAAGGTCTTCGGTCAGGTGGGTGAAACTCCAACGAAACATCTCCAGTGAGCAGGAAATGATAGACGTTCATCATTACGATGTTCAATAGCGCATAACATTTTCGAACAACTATGTTTCTAACGTCGTATCAGCAACAGCGCAAATACAACTTTGGCTCTTTGATATGTTCCCAAGACATTTTTATAATATTCAAAAAGACCATCGGCATAAATTTCATTTTTGAAACAAAAGGCGAAAAGCACTTGTTTCTTTTAGTTTTATTCAACGTCTATACAAGATATAAAAATGTATCATAAAAAATTACTCGAGTAATTTTTACAAGAAATTACGAACGGATCATATTTGATCGCTTGATAGTTCCAATATTCAAAACGTCTTCAGAGACATGCATGAAATCAACATTTCAAGATGTTGATCTAGTGTTCTTTTTTCACTGGACTCATTTCTCTCTCGATCACATCCCAAAGTGTTCGGTGTTTGTTACCAGCGACAAGTGACATCGTAACATTGCACTGTGTTCATCAGGTTTTGACGACTTACCGCTATGGCCGCGAGGAGGACGAAGTTATGGGAGTTAAGTTCAGCAAGGAGCTCATGCTGTGCCGTGACCAAATTGTACCACCGAAGAAAGAGAAGCAAGAGACCACGTCGATCCAGGACCGCTTGCTGAAGCGTCTGGGTCCAAATTCGTATCCCTTCACCTTCCAATTCCCGCAGAATGCTCCTTGCTCGGTCACCCTACAACCCGGTGATGATGATCAGGGAAAACCCTTAGGAGTTGAGTACACCGTTAAAGTGTTCGTTGCAGACAGTGAGGAGGACAAGGTATCGAAACAGAGCGAGTGCTCGAGTGGCAAATATAAGACAACGTAATATGCGAGAAAAGAAAAATTAACGCTAATCGGTGAAAGTACAGACATTTTCAATGACCCAAAGATTCGCACATTGATAAATATACAAAGTGTATATAACAGCTGGATAAAATATAATATATAATATAAATGCAATCAGAAAACTAGAGATTAAAAATTTAATCATATAATTTTATACTGATATATTTTGCATATTAAAGTTTAATTACGCGTAATTTTATATTGAAATTAAAGGGTTAAAAATCGATTGAAAACTGAATATCTGAAGATTTTATACCCTTCTCGTTCATCAGGGACACAAAAGATCCTCTGTGTCGTTGGCCATCAAGAAGCTGCAGTTCGCCCCGCCGACGCGAGGCCGTAGGCTTCCCAGCTCCTTGATCTCCAAGGGATTCACCTTCTCCCAGGGAAAACTGAATCTGGAAGTCACACTGGACCGAGAGATCTACTACCATGGCGAGAAACTCGCGGCAAACGTCATAGTAACAAATAACTCGCGCAAGGCGGTGAAGAACATCAAGGTACATCCCGCAGTTCAGTAGAAAGTAGAAGTAAACTGTCACCCGTACTTCATCTCTCTATCATGGTCCTTTTTCCGTACAGTTGTACGTGGTGCAACACTGCGAGGTGACCATGGTAAATGCTCAGTTTTCGCGACATGTGGCCAGCTTAGAGACCCGCGAGGGTTGTCCAATCACACCTGGCGCATCCTTCACGAAGCAATTTTATCTTGTGCCGTTGGCCAGCAGCAACAAGGACCGGCGCGGCATTGCTCTCGACGGACATCTCAAAGTACGCGACAAGTACAGCAGTTGTTCGGATTTACAGCAAACCTTCAACACAACTTCTTCCAACAGTCAGAAGTCCCGCGACGAAATCGTGCTGCTAAAATAAGAGACAATGACGTCATGTGGCATTTACTCAAACTACGCTCAGATTGCAACGACACAAATTAGATTACTGGCAAATAATCCTAATTGAGTTACCGGGGATAAATTCGTTATTCTGTAGAAAATCGGAATCACCTTCGGTTCATTGTTCACACGACGATCGATCTTCCACTTTCCCGTTTTTCTTACAGGACGACGACGTAAATCTGGCATCCTCCACTTTGGTCGCCGAGGGCAAGTGCCCAGCTGAGGCCTTGGGTATTGTGATCTCCTACTCTGTCCGAGTCAAACTGAACTGTGGTACTCTGGGTGGTGAGCTGGTCACCGATGTTCCGTTCAAGCTGATGCATCCGGCTCCTGGTATGTCTAGGATATTATATAAACATATCTGTGCCATTAGTATTCACATATGTAAACGCAAACAAATGTTAGCCGCACTTTCTATAGGTTACTCTGTTCCACATTATCTTATTTCTATTATATCAGACAAAACACATCTGTTCCTTCTCCATTTGCAATTTCAAGTTGCGAAAATCCTTCCTCTTTGTGCAGGCACTATCGACAGAGAGAAAGCCATCCTGAACAAGAGCAAGAGCATGGAGAGAGCGCGTTACGAGAATTCTTGCTATGCAAACGATGATGACGACAATATCGTATTCGAAGATTTCGCTCGTTTACGCTTGAACGAACCAGAGTAAGCCGCTAGGGTTCTCTTGTCGAACGATTATTGATCAAAAGAATCCTGAACTTTTGGCGCGAGTTTGTAGTGGATCATTCTTCGCGCTCGCTTAAAATTATATCTTATCTTCATACAATGATATTAAGATTAAAACAGATTATGATATTGATGAAATATCTATTTAGGATTGTTTTGACGTGGTTCTCAATGAACGAGCTGTATTAAAAGAACGTAGGTGAGGAAACGGTAACAAGAGATTAGTTATATCATATTATGGAACTCTACTAATCAAAAAGCAACGATACAAGAAAAAATACAAAAAAAACCGAAAAGACAAGTAAATGATTGAAAAAATATCGTCTTGGAATTTCCGTGCGATGGTGGTGGTCGGACGGAAATTCATCGCAAGGCGAACCAAAAAAAAGAAAAAAAAAGAGAGAGAGAGATAATATCAAGTGAGCTTAATACCGTAATTCGCCCGTTTGAGTTTTGAAAAAAAAATTTCCCGTCTCACCAGAAGTGACATGTTATGTATTATGTATTCGTTTTAAAGTTTAATTTCTTATGTTTACGAAATCCCGTTCCGATTGTTTATTTATTACCAAAGGACTGTTAACTCACGGTACTCTTCAGTTGCGATTATGTTAGAAAGAAAATATATATATACATATATGAAACTATAAAAAGGCTGCTTTATTTCTCCTCAGATCCTGATCTTCCCAATGCGAATGTAGCGAAAAACGTGTCGAAGCGTCGCACACATTTAACACAAAGTAACACATGATTTGACGACAATTGTCCCTCTATAGAGTATTTGCGATAACACGCGAGAGACGAAGGATCATTTCGTGAAAATTCCCGAAAATTAGATATATTTCATATACTATACAAAATATTACAGGATGCAAAGGTTTCCTGAATTGATCAGTCTTATGCACACGATGATCCATACGGTTCCCTTCATTTAATCATGCATTTAATCATACATATGTGAATAATATTCCTGATACGTTTGGATGTAAGCTTCCTTCTCCATGGGTGTCATCTGACAGATTAGAGTGTTGTTCACGTCGGTGATCGCGACGGTCTTCCCGGCGACGCTGACAGTCGGCGCGAGCTCGTCATCTTCCGAGTCCATCAGCTCCACATCTCCTGTGGATCATCCAATTAGTCGCAATTTTATGAACTGTTCACAGTCAAACAACAGCAATTTTATGAAGAAGTCAGTGATAATTTAGTTAAAATTTAATTCTGTGTTTTATTAAACATAAGTCTTCTAAGTTTCATGAATATAATTAGTTTCTGCTATTATTTTCAATATGGAATCTTGTAAATTACACACTTGTAATATATATTTGGAAAATTTTCACATTAAACATTTATTCAAAACCAATAATACTTGATAATTTTCGAGATTAAGCATTAATAATAAATGTTCTATTTCTGTGATGATTAATAATTTAGGATAAATATAGTACTCTAAATATATAATTTTTTTTCTTGTACCTTTCATCACTCTCTTTACATGCTAATTGTACTTAATTATAAATTGTTTAATTACCAGTTAAAACAAATTAAATAAATTGTTAAACAAATTAATAATGCTTAATTATTAATCTTAATTTAATTAATCTTCAAAAGCCTCGAGTATTAAAATCGGAATTTAGGCTAATTAATATATTTCTCATACCTGCATCGATGGTCTGCATTTCTGAAACTTCTTCATTTTCACTGCTATCACTGGAGTCCTGAGGAAATGCAGCTTTAACAGCTGCTGAGGTATTGGTGCTACCCCTCTTCTCGTGAGCTAACAATACTGACATGATATCATCGCCTTGTTTGTTGTTCACTGTGGTTGTATTTGTGGCAGTGGCTGCAGCTTTGTCCAAGATGCTTTCTTGTGTATTCACACCGTCAGGCTGCAAAATATGAAATTAAAATGTAGTTGGATAAAAACGTAACTTTTTTTAATGAAAATTCAGACTGTTACTTGTTACTCATAGTAAAAAATAATTATTGTCATCTTGTAGAAAATTTATGCAGAAAAATAAATAAATAAATATAATAATAAATATAATAATTATACTCTTTATTATATATTTCTTTAGTAACATATGAAAAACTCAAATATATTTGTACTTGTGTTACTGTTATGAAGATGATAAAGTAATGCTATTATTGAATCATTACCAAAAAAACTTGTAACATTAATGGCATTATGATAAAGTTATTTTCCAATTTTGAAATATATTAATGACTGATTAGTTACTATAAAATATCCAAAACAAACTGATGATAAAATAAATATACCAAAGCAGCAGATGAATTTACCTGAGAACCATCAGTATTAATAACTGTGCTTTCCATCATCCATATAGGTCTTTCCTTCCTGTGATTTACTGCATTATCATCAGCATCTTCATCTCCAATAGTGACGTCCACTCTGGTATCTTCTACCATAAAGCCTGATGTTCTGGTAGCTTCACCTGACCAGTGTTCACCAGGTGCACGAAGAATCGATTTTCTTGTGTCAAGGCTAATAAAAATTATTATTAGCAGATGATTATTTTTAAATATAATGTGATTATTTATAGGAATATATACCCTCGAATAGTGTTGATATCGACAGGTTCTGGTTCTAATATCTCAGGTGCCAATTTGATTCCTTCTACTTCCCTTAATAGTATATAGAGTGGTTCCAATTGTTCATTAAACTTTGCTAATAATAATCTAGAATCTTTCTTCGGTAGAGCAGATTGATCTTCCTCAACCACTTCTCGACAATACGTACATCTAAACTCACCAGTTGTCATGTCAAAAAGTTGATCTGCCTGCGCAGGGATTTAATAAAGTTTCACCTGTTAGTTATCACCTTCAGATCAATGTCATAACTGTACCAACATATCATCGTATCATTAGTTCAATCTGTCTATATTGTCACTTCAACTGTAATGTATATACGGTGCAGTAATCATAAAATCTGATTCTTTCCTATGTTTAATTTGATACAATTACTCTTTATCATAATACTTAAGATTTCATTGTTCATCATATTACTATTGCACTTACCTCAAGGTCAGTAAAAGTTTTTAAGCAAGTTGTACATTTAAAACTAGCCCTACTAGTTGCATCTCTTTCTTCTGTTTCCATTCTCTTTCTCATTAAATCCAGTTTGTACTTTACAACATTTACAAATGTCTAAAATAAAGATATAAGTTTATCTTAATTACTTCCTATTTTATTTCCAGTCAGATCCAAAAAAGTCACAATTGTTCTATACCTACTTTGTAATTGATAAAATAATAGTTGACTTTTTGGGCTTTGCCATCAGATCCTGTCTCCATCTTTAATCTCACTTGGATAAATTTGTCACTGCGTAATGTAGATATCCTAGCTCTCAACATCTTACGTTCGAATTTTAGTAATTCACAAATATCATCCTCCTTCATACCTGTTAAGATGTAAGTTTCACGTGTACGTGATTGTTGCAATTGAAGTGTTCTGCATATGTACTTAGGGCGGTAATTACTTACATGGATTTCTAACTAACATGTCCACAATTAATGCATCCTCTATAGTATAAAATCCTCGTACAACAAGACGTGCCAGCTGTTTTAAACTACTCGGAATCTCGGTAACAAGCCTCTCCTCGGCGCTCATGTTTTACTTGTGTTTTCTATAAAACGATAGAGCGGCCATCTCTCGCATACGCGGGAGACGGGCCACTAGTCGCAGTGGCTGCCGCGAGGCGGCGGGCCCGCGCGTTTCGTGCTCTCGTTGTCGAAGTTTGAGAACAGCTATCCTGTAAGGGTTTTGGAGAATGTATTTTCTGACGCGCCCTCTATAAAGAAAGTATACCAACCGACGAGACACTAATAGCTGACGCCTTCTTAGGAATATCGTGGCTGGAATATGAGGCTGTAGCTTGAAATAACTATCAAGATGGTTAAAGCAGAGAGAAGCCTGAAAGCAGAGAGGAAGCTGAGAGCGGCCAATACGGCGTTTTCGGCGATACCGATTTTTCGCACTGGGAATGGGCGATATCTGCATCCATTTTGAGAGCGGAACTACGATGCTACATCCACTTTTAGGTCTCGACGGTAAAACTTGCATCTGGTGGCTGTCCGTGCTACATCCACTTTCAGGCGGTTTATGTCCGTGCTACAACCATAATAGCGTACTTGACAAGCACGGTCTCGCGCATTGTTATGCATTTGTAACATGAATTAACATGTTAACATGCACACAAAAAATAAGAATTGAAATTGCATATGATTAATATCATGAAGATTATATACGATTTATATCGATATATAAATATATGATAATAAGATAATATTTTGTGTGTACCCAAAATTATTTTTCCAAAATATTTCAGCGTTACGTTAGTATTTATTTATACTCAGGCAGGCGTTTTTCAGCGCAGTTGTATCCGTGTGCATGTGTTGCATTGAAAGTGTGCGTGACGTACGTGTGCATAAACGCACTCACACACACACATACGTGTCATACGCAACAGATAGAATCTCAGGGTATATGTTTAAACATTTTCAATTGCCGTACGTTTCTATGTAAGAATGTAGTCGGCACACACACACAGAGAAACTGCTCCCGTCTATCCGTCTGAGGTCCCTACCATACGCTCGACTTGTTTTGACGAGCCAAGCGAAAGAGAGAAAGAGAGGGAATGTGTTCGCTTCATCTCGTTCTGATTCGCAACGTTGCCGAGATAGTGCTTCCCGACATACGGCTGAAACTGACGTTTCACTCTCGGCGTGAATCCAACGAGATGATCAATAGCAATCGAATTCGACTAAACTCTTTATTTTGGACTTTATTTTGGTGCAAGAAACAGGCCTGTATCGCTAGCCGTTTAGGAGATATCGAAGGTTAAAGTTTTCTCACATTTCTACGTTGATATCTCCGCTTCTACTGGGAGTAGAGAGTCGTCAATATAGTCGAAAATGTAGGATACTGAGAGGACTTTAATTTGTTGCCAGAAACAGGCCTGTATCTCTAACCGTTTAGGAGATATCGAAGGTTAAATTTTTCCAACCTATCTCCGTTGATATCTCCGCTTCTACTGAGAGTAGAGAGTCGTCATTGTAGTCGAAAATGTAGGGTTTTGAGAGGACTTTAATTTGGTGCCAGAACCAGGCCTGTATCTCTAACCGTTTAGGAGATATCGAAGGTTAAAGTTTTCCAGCCTTTCTCCGTCGATTTCCAGCCTTCCTCCGTCGATATCTCCGCTTCTACTGGGAGTATAGAGACGTCCATGTAGTCGAAAATGTAGGGTATTGAAAGGACTTTAATTTGGTGCCAGAAACAGGCCTGTATCTCTAACCGTTTAGGCGATATCGAAGGTTAAAGTTTTCCAACCTTTCTGCGTTGATATCTCCGCTTCTACTGGGAGTAGAGAGTCGCCACTTACGGCATAATGTAGGGTTTTGAGAGGACTTTAATTTGGTGCCAGAAACAGGCCTGTATCTCTAACCGTTTAGGCGATATCGAAGGTTAAAGTTTTCCAACCTTTCTGCGTTGATATCTCCGCTTCTACTGGGAGTAGAGAGTCGCCACTTACGGCATAATGTAGGGTTTTGAGAGGACTTTAATTTGGTGCCAGAACCAGGCCTGTATCTCTAACCGTTTAGGAGATATCGAAGGTTAAAGTTTTCCAGCCTTTCTCCGTCGATTTCCAGCCTTTCTCCGTCGATTTCCAGCCTTCCTCCGTCGATATCTCCGCTTCTACTGGGAGTAGAGAGTCGTCCATGTAGTCGAAAATGTAGGGTTTTGAAAGGACTTTAATTTGGTGCCAGAACAGGCCTGTATCTCTAACCGTTTAGGAGATATCGAAGGTTAAAGTTTTCAACCTTTCTGCGTTGATATTCCGTTTATGGAGTAGAGAGTCGCATAGCAAAATGTAGGTTTGAGGCTTAATTTAGAACCAGCCTGTATTCGCCGTTAGGAGATATCGAAGTTTAAGTTTTCCAGCTTCTCCGTCGATATCCCCTTCTCGTCGATATCTCCGCTTCTACTGGGAGTAGAGAGTCGTCCATGTAGTCGAAAATGTAGGGTTTTGAAAGGACTTTAATTTGGTGCCAGAACCAGGTCTGTATCTCTAACCGTTTAGGAGATATCGAAGGTTAAAGTTTTCCCACATTTCTACGTTGATATCTCCGCTTCTACTGGGAGTAGAGAGTCGCCACTTACGGCAAAATGTAGGGTTTTGAGAGGACTTTAATTTGGTGCCAGAACCAGGCCTGTATCTCTAACCGTTTAGGAGATATCGAAGGTTAAAGTTTTCTAGCCTTTCTCCGTCGATATCCAGCTTCTCCGTCGATATCTCCGCTTCTACTGGGAGTAGAGAGTCGTCCATGTAGTCGAAAATGTAGGGTTTTGAAAGGACTTTAATTTGGTGCCAGAAAGCCTGTATCTCTACCGTTTGGAGATATCGAAGGTTAAAGTTTTCTAACCTTTCTCCGTCGATATCCAGCCTTCATTCGTCGATATCTCCGCTTCTATTGGGAGTAGAGGGTCGTCATTGTAGTCCAAAATGTAGGGTTTTGAAAGGGCTTTAATTTGGTACCTGTCCGAAGCCTGTATCTCTAACCGTTTAGGAGATATCGAAGGTTAAAGTTTTCTAACCTTTCTCCGTCGATATCCAGCCTTCATCCGTCGATATCTCCGCTTCTATTGGGAGTAGAGGGTCGTCCATTGTAGTCCAAAATGTAGGGTTTTGAAAGGGCTTTAATTTGGTACCTGTCCGAAGCCTGTATCTCTAACCGTTTAGGAGATATCGAAGGTTAAAGTTTTTCTAACCTTTCTCCGTCGATATCCAGCCTTCATCCGTCGATATCTCCGCTTCTATTGGGAGTAGAGGGTCGTCATTGTAGTCCAAAATGTAGGGTTTTGAAAGGGCTTTAATTTGGTACCTGTCCGAAGCCTGTATCTCTAACCGTTTAGGAGATATCGAAGGTTAAAGTTTTCTAACCTTTCTCCGTCGATATCCAGCCTTCATCCGTCGATATCTCCGCTTCTATTGGGAGTAGAGGGTCGTCCATGTAGTCCAAAATGTAGGGTTTTGAAAGGGCTTTAATTTGGTACCTGTCCGAAGCCTGTATCTCTAACCGTTTAGGAGATATCGAAGGTTAAAGTTTTCTAACCTTTCTCCGTCGATATCCAGCCTTCATCCGTCGATATCTCCGCTTCTATTGGGAGTAGAGGGTCGTCATTGTAGTCCAAAATGTAGGGTTTTGAAAGGGCTTTAATTTGGTACCTGTCCGAAGCCTGTATCTCTAACCGTTTAGGAGATATCGAAGGTTAAAGTTTTCTAACCTTTCTCCGTCGATATCCAGCCTTCATTCGTCGATATCTCCGCTTCTATTGGGAGTAGAGGGTCGTCATTGTAGTCCAAAATGTAGGGTTTTGAAAGGGCTTTAATTTGGTACCTGTCCGAAGCCTGTATCTCTAACCGTTTAGGAGATATCGAAGTTAAAGTTTTCTAACCTTTCTCCGTCGATATCCAGCCTTCATCCGTCGATATCTCCGCTTCTATTGGGAGTAGAGGGTCGTCATTGTAGTCCAAAATGTAGGGTTTTGAAAGGGCTTTAATTTGGTACCTGTCCGAAGCCTGTATCTCTAACCGTTTAGGAGATATCGAAGGTTAAAGTTTTCTAACCTTTCTCCGTCGATATCCAGCCTTCATCCGTCGATATCTCCGCTTCTATTGGGAGTAGAGGGTCGTCATTGTAGTCCAAAATGTAGGGTTTTGAAAGGGCTTTAATTTGGTACCTGTCCGAAGCCTGTATCTCTAACCGTTTAGGAGATATCGAAGTTAAAGTTTTCTAACCTTTCTCCGTCGATATCCAGCCTTCATTCGTCGATATCTCCGCTTCTATTGGGAGTAGAGGGTCGGTCATGTAGTCCAAAATGTAGGGTTTTGAAAGGGCTTTAATTTGGTACCTGTCCGAAGCCTGTATCTCTAACCGTTTAGGAGATATCGAAGTTAAAGTTTTCTAACCTTTCTCCGTCGATATCCAGCCTTCATCCGTCGATATCTCCGCTTCTATTGGGAGTAGAGGGTCGTCATTGTAGTCCAAAATGTAGGGTTTTGAAAGGGCTTTAATTTGGTACCTGTCCGAAGCCTGTATCTCTAACCGTTTAGGAGATATCGAAGGTTAAAGTTTTCTAACCTTTCTCCGTCGATATCCAGCTTCATTCGTCGATATCTCCGCTTCTATTGGGAGTAGAGGGTCGTCATTGTAGTCCAAAATGTAGGGTTTTGAAAGGGCTTTAATTTGGTACCTGTCCGAAGCCTGTATCTCTAACCGTTTAGGAGATATCGAAGGTTAAAGTTTTCTAACCTTTCTCCGTCGATATCCAGCCTTCATCCGTCGATATCTCCGCTTCTATTGGGAGTAGAGGGTCGTCATGTAGTCCAAAATGTAGGGTTTTGAAAGGGCTTTAATTTGGTACCGTCCGAAGCCTGTATCTCTAACCGTTTAGGAGATATCGAAGTTTAAAGTTTTCCAACCTTTCTCCGTCGATATCCAGCATTCATCCGTCGATATCTCCGCTTCTATTGGGAGTAGAGGTCGTCATTGTAGTCCAAAATGTAGGGTTTTGAAAGGGCTTTAATTTGGTACCTGTCCGAAGCCTGTATCTCTAACCGTTTTGGAGATATCGAAGGTTAAAGTTTTCTAACCTTTCTCCGTCGATATCCAGCCTTCATCGTCGATATC